ACCACATATAGGGGCTTTCATAGTCTATTATTTTTGTAGATGTTTCTATACAAATCACTGTGTACAGTGAAATAGCTGGAGGAAAATGTTGTAACAATTTTTCCTAACTTTTGCATGTTCTTGGTTCGATAGTCTATGTAAATTTTCAATAATCTGTGTACAAGAAAGCCTGGTTGGAACAATAAAGTAACATTTTTTTTGAGTTAAAGTTCAAAGAGACTGAAAAATTTAGGACTCAATGTTCACGTTGAACACAATTGAACAAAACAGATAAACTTTAAAGTATTATTTTCTTACTTACTTACTTTATAAAAATGGTGTCGCACTTCTTTAATATGGCAATACACTTGGTAAAAACGGAGTGAAAATTATTTTGAAATCGTTAGAACGGTAGCGGCGTTAGTGGTACAGAAATAAACGGCGATAGAAAAAAGAAATTTAATGTATGAATAGGTAATTTTCAATAACAAGTGCGAATTCCGAGAGATTGTAGTAATATGGCATGCGTTTCTTCTTTGCTCTATTTACTATCTAGATTCGCTTCCGTTCTCTGTTATCAATCCTTTGGGTTATATAATCTAGGTTTCTTTTCAAGATAAAGCACTTCATTTAATTAGAATCAATTGTACTGGGTTAGCGAGTGATCTGTAACATAAATAAACCACTGCTCGATTTTCATGCCCGGCAAATACGTGTAAATAAAAGATAAATAAACAAATAAATTAATGTTATTAATGAAGCCCAGAAAAACCTACTGAGATTGAAAAAAAAATTACTACACGGGCGGGTCTCAAACCTGCAGCTACACCGTGCTATTTATTGCTATAGCAATAGAATTACCGTGTTATTAAAATACACTATTTTATTATAAAAACATTTTTTACGTTACATTTTACATCATAATCGTAAAGTTATCAGTAAAATGGAAAAAAATAAAAAAGACTGGCGCTACAGAAAAAATACACTTTGAGATCTATCCTTTTTTTTAAATATATACATTTATCAATTGTAACTTAACAACTAACAGAGCACCTAAAGTAGTTGATGACCTGGATGTTGGATTAGTAGCAACTTGACCCAATGTGTCAAGTTGCTACTAATCCAACCGTTATTAAATATGATCCATCCTATTTCGAGCAGCGCCCGCCTCCACTTACCCGTGAACGTGAATCCATGCACTATTTAGCGAGCGAGTACCGCTAACGATCAATTAATAGAATGTTATTTGAAATTGAAAACTTAATTACTCATTAACGTCGCGATCGCGAACCGAACGTAATTTTTTGCGAAAGATGGCGCTGTAATAAAGATAATCTTCTAATTAAGATTGTTATCTGTGTATTAAACCAAATGGTACATGTGAGTAATTACAGATACAACAAGAAACACGACAGTTTAATCTATTAATTAAATGGGGCGGATAGAAAGGTTGCCCATAATAATAAGTAGTAAATATTATTAGTAGTCTAAACCAACATTCGTAGACAAACGTTCATATAGAAAGCAAACGCGGGTCAACGATAGTGAAAACGGTGTTAGAATAGAAATGTTCGCAACAGGTTAAGGCTTTTATTGTTTCGGCGTTACGTGTCGCTTTTCGACGGTTGTCCTATTAGTTCATCGATAATATGTCTCTACATAACATAGGTGTATCATATTTGACCTCATTGGTGTAATGGTAGCAATGTATCGGTAGTAATCAATGGTCGTGAGCTCGATCCCCACCGGATACAAGATTTTTCTAATCATTTTAAATTAAAAACAAATTCTGAAACATGTTGGACTTCGTCAAGAAATCTGAATCTATGAAGACATAATAAACCGCTCCTCTCGAATGTTAGGCTTTGTTCTTAGAAACATAAAAGGTTTTCATAACCCCAAAGCTAAGATCACTTTATTCAACAGCTTAGTTCGTAGTGTTTTAGAATATTGCCCGGTTGTATGGCGACGACATTATTCAACACATATCCGCTTAGAGGGAATTCAAAAAGGATTCAACTGGCATTTAACATTTGCTGGCGGAGTATCGAAAAGGGTCTTGTCTAGTTATAAGATACGATTGGGATTTTTTAATATACAGGCTCTAGATGAACGTTGTAAAAATTTAGACTTAACCCTTCTATTCAAAATGCTAAACAATAAAATCGATTGTCCCCAATTAATCAACAAAATTAAATTTCGTGTTTTCATTGTGATTTCTTAATAAACCAAACTACATACAATATTTGAATTAGTATTATTATTTACATGTTATTGAAGACCATATTATAAGCTATTTATATTAATTTAAAATTTATTTGACGTGATGTCTATGACATAGGACAACGATTGTGAATTTTAGAATTGACTTAACATTGCATTGCGCGGGAACATAGATTGACAATCTATTTTGACGTACACTCTAGCTCAAGAGTTAAGCTACAGCACGTAACACTGTGATCGTTACTTCGAGTACCGTCCGTTAACTTGTTAATCTAAAATTACATAAAACAGGCATACAATTTTATAACCTGTAAGCTTTCATTGCTGTGTTTTTGTCCATACGTTAGTCTACGCCCTCAGCTCAATATTACACCAAAAAAAATCGTATAATACTAAGTAATTTTATATCAGTCCCGTTACAAGGACAAAAGATCGTTAAAAATACATTACGTTAAGATAAAACGTTCCTGGTATTTAAGGCTTTTTAAACAACGGAATGAAGATAAGGCATTCGTTAACACATCTGCTACTTTCACGTGTATAATACCTGGTAGAGTGGTATTTTTTAATCGAAGGGAACTTTTGACGAACTTTCGTTTAGTCTTTCATTTGATAAAAATACTATTTTCGTAACTCATCGCAACGGCTTATATTTAAAGTAAATTAATGTTTGTCTAAAGTTTTATAAATTTATACATACCTAGCGACCACCCCGGCATCGGTGGGGTGAAATGCTGTACTATACACTACATAAAAATTATGAACGTCGTATATATATATACCTTCGTCTCGAAACACTCTATTTATTAAAAAAACCGCATCAAAATCGTTTGCGTAGTTATACAGATTTAAGCGCACATAGGGACAGAAAAAGGGACTTGGTTTTATACTATTTCATGATGATAATATATACCGTATAATTTAATAAACACAGTAAAAAGTACTCGAAATAACTAATCGCTAATCACATACGACGCGAAAGAAAGCAGTGAAAACGACCGGCGACCACAAATTATGTTTGCCATATAAGAAAGTGACATAAATTACAAATAATTATGTAAAATGTTTATTACTTACACAAATAATCACTGCTTACTCGTATATGAGACCGCAGTTAAAACTATCTAAGAGAACGTAATTATGAACCTCACGCTTATCTGCAAGCAAAAAATCTATTTTGTGAATTATAATGTTGATAAAAAAAAAAAAAAAAAAATTTTTTTTAGAAAAAAATTTTTTTTAATAAATTTTTTTTGTGGGGAAAACCCTTTTTAAAAAAAAAACCCCGGGGGGGGGGGGCCCCCCCCCCCCCATTAAAAAAAAAAAAAAAAAACCCCCCAAAAAAAAAAAAAAAAAATTTTTTTTTTTTTTTTTTTATATTTTTTAAATATTGAGTTGATGTGATGTTGATTGATGTTATGGGTTGTAGAAATATTGATATGAGGATGTATGATGATGTAAATTCTTCATATCCTCTAGTTGATATATATGTAATTTCATACAATAAATAGCATTAAACTCATAGGCATTTAGTAAGAAATAATTCTCGTTAAGCCTTATTATCAGACAGGTTATTGAACCGAAACTGTTTTGAGCTAATTAAGTGAAATCAGCGCGTTCAGCCGCTAAAAACCGGTGCTAACCGATCGTCGTTTTTTTGTAACGGAACCGTTAAGGCTGTGCATATATTGGAAATCGTTATATTTGCCTGACTCAGACCATATAGGTGTTAATATTTACCACGCTCTATATTAACAGTGAAAGAATGGAAAATCTACGAACATGAAAATTATTAAAATGAAATTTAGTTTTTTGTACCATTTACATGACATTTGATGTTATTACATAATTACTTATATAGTATATAGTATACGTGTATTTGTGTATTTTCTTTTGTGTTACGTAGAGCAGCAATTTTAACCTCAGACAAATTTTGCATTTATTTCTGCCCTAAAACATACAATACACGCTAAAGACTTCCGTAACTCGAAAGTGTTATAATAATTACATAAATAAGTGAAATCCTGTTTCCCATACATTGGACAAATATATGGGCTTGTACTTATTGTCAAATAGTAGTAGTAGATCATTAGATATACATATATACCTAATATGATTAAGCTTACTTTTTTATGTGACTCTTTACTCGCACAAGGTGTTAAGGTTTTAAAACCTGTGCGAGTAAAAAACCACAAATAAAACTATTAGGGAGGAAATACTATTACTAGTTATGGAGTGAAATGGGCGGGTTTATCACTATAGATCGATCTCTCCCAGACAACGCATTGTTCAGCATGCATACAAAATAAATAAAGTACCTTTAAAGTTGTATTAAAAAAAAATACTTAATCGAAAGTTTTTTTAATGTGACAAAGAAATGATACAGATGTCATACATGTGAACGCTTAAGTAAACCGGGTCATCTGACCGGTATTTTTGACCGATCATTAATCGGGCTACGGAAAATGTTCTAATTCTTTGACGAAAAGGTTTATTTAGTTCTTAACGGCATGTTTTTTTATTAAAACAGTATTATATGACGCCCAGACATCTTCAGTTAAACTAGTCTCGTAGAAAAGTATTCAACGCGCGCACAGCTCGATTTACGAATAATAGATATTTTTTTTTTAATTTGTTTGTTTAATAGTCTGTAATGTTTTACTATTGTGTACTCTGTGTATAAGCTATTTACTGCCTAGGACATTATACATACAGTTAACAAGTGTAAAATGTTTGTCGATGTTTTAGATCTTTGGATGAACATGATTTAATAAACATTTTCATAGACAAAAAAATACCTCTATCGTTCTCGTATCCAGCCCCAAAACTAAGAACCACGACAAACACTATCACCCTCACTAGACACCCGTTGAAACACTCGCGCGCTGTCATTTTGTTTCTATTCAAATCGAGCAGCGTGCATATTTTGGTACTTTTTTAATTTTACGCCGGCATGACTCCGACATGACACGTTTTTTTACGTCCGCGCTAAGTCACAGTCTTGGCACTACTAGCCGAGTGACCAACTTAAACATTGTAAGAAACACACATTACTCGACGCTGTCATAACCAAAGGACTTAACAACTTTCTCTAGAATGATAATTTCACTCTCGAGTCTATAGCGATAGAGGCTATATTTCTGTAAACGCAAATGGGAAAAAGAACTCTATGCTACGATATGAAAAGTCGCTAAGCAAGTGAACGGTGAAATGAGAAATTGTGAGACAACGCTGTGACAGAAGGAGATGGCTAGACATTTCTTTTTAATGACTACTTAAAGTGTGGAGTTTGGACAAAAATGACAAACTTTTGAATAACTTTAAATTCGTGAAAATAGTTACGCGTCGACTTTTACATAACCATACATTTTGTCCACAACAGGTAGTCAAAGCTTTTGTATAATTTGCAAACGCCTTCTTAAATGATTAGTAATCAATTGTATTAAATAAATTCAGAAATGTTTAAGTACTTTTCTTATAAATGTGGACTTGAATAATTTGTTTTATTACTGTGCAAAGCAATCAATCGACCAATATAAGATTGTCTTATTCGTCCAAACTCGTGGGTGTAGTAAAAAAATAAACAAATAGCCGAAGTTCATAGCTTTAGTCGTCTAATATTATCAAAAACGATGAATCCTACTCTTTACAAATGGATATTAAGTATGACATAATGATTCAAAAACCAAATTATTCCGTCTAATCCTTATCTGTTATAATTTAGAAATGAGCGAAAGAGAGGGACGATCTCTAGTTATCACAACGCGAACGGTAAATTAATTAGCATAGAGTAAAATAAATATTGTATATAGGTCGGGGCATAGCTATGGCATATGAAATTTTAAAATTTTTACCACAACCATAAAAATTCGTTTTTACAAAACTCCTCTTCATCTTTATAAATTTAAGCAGTTACCTACGACGTCGGTTGCGTCCCTTCCAGTCGTACTTGAGATAGACATATACTGACGTAGACTTTTTATTAGATCATTTAAAGAGAAATTATTTTTCTTTCCTACATTTTATTTGGGTATTTTGAACCGTTTTCGCAGCGTATGCAAAGGAAACTCTCAAGGATTAATATTTTCCCCGTTTTTCGGCATTTCCCCACTGTTTCTTTATTTCACATTTTATATAGCCTACAATTTTTTCTCAATAAATGCTCTAACCAACACCAAAATAATCTTTTAATTCGAATGCCTGTTCTAGAGTTCCTGAGATTAGCGCGTTCAAACAAACAAATTAAAGGTTGCTTTAGAGTCGATTTAATTATTGTAATTTTCGAAGAAAATGTTTGTTCGCTAAACCCACGTCAAAGACCTATACAATTATAAATGAGTAACTGTATTAAGATTAAATAACTTTCCTTGTAAATTACAAACCACCCGGCTTATATTTAACAATTGGTCATATGAGTAAAGCTTTCGCTGAAGGTTACTAGAGATGTGCCAACCTTGTCGATAATTCTACAAATATTCATATTACTCTTATTTATTATGTAATATTACGTACATTTATTAGGTACGTCTCTTAAAAAGTATAAACGTATATGCCTTAAGCTGTTCCCACTAAAACATTCATTTATAAACTAATAAGTTTTATGTAATAACAAAAGTAATCTTAGGTAATTTAATTAAGTACTACATATTGTATTGTAAATATCTCCTTCAATATCTACATATTTAGCGTTATTAGTATCAAGAATTTCCATTTTAACTAATATAATATAAAACTGTTAATTATAACTTAAAAACCTTTCAGATATATCAAAAATATCGTTAACTTAAACCCAGGTTAGCTGTGACCAATGGGTACTTTTCTGAGCAATTAAAGAGAAATACAATTACCAACCTTTCGATGTTCTCTTCGCCATAAACGACGCATTAAAACCTTAACCGTACGAGCACTTTTCACTTTAGACAATGAGCCATAAATCAAACGAACTATCGACACAAATCATCGACTCTTTCCATCACTACTGAACGACCCATTATCGATAAAACATTCCAGCATGCCACACAATAGAAAGTTTATTTGTGTTGGAGAGTCAGCAAAAAACTTACGTATTTAAATAGCCTAGTAATGTACAAAGAGACTGTTAGAAAGATAAGAATAATTAATATATAGCAATGTAAAAAGTAGAAGACAATGTTGGATCTCGGATGTCTTTGTAGGCTTTTTTTAACTTTGCATAACAAAATGTATATATCTCTCTGCAGTTATATCGTCACTTACAAGTTTTTATATTATATAACGCATACGTTTTCACGAAATACCAGACGAAATTGTAAATGTTTTTTTATAAATTGAAAAGGTTTAAACATTGTTGGCCTTTTGTTGATATAAAAAAGGGCAAATATTTCAATAAAAATCAACGATATAGACTGAATATCGACACTAGTTTAATATAAAAGGCCAAACACTAACGTTTCGTAGTCGGCAAATAGTTACAATTAAAGTTTTTCTATTATTTTTTTCTGCTATCGGTACAATAACAATGAGTGAGTAAAATTTTGAGGTCGTGATCATCTCACTGCCGCGGGGCAGGTGTCATATCAGGTGAGGTGGAACAGGTGCGGCGACAGTAGGCGCGGACAAGAAATGGATGGGTAAAGAATATGTATAAATCGATGCTTACTAACAACATGTGAAGTAATGGTCATAATTATTCTTTGTCATTTAGGCTTTTAGGAATAACTTTTAGTGGTGCTACGTATATTAGTGTTTTAATAGGCCAATGCCTTCGAGCATGAGACATATGTACATACTAAAGCCTTCTATAGGATTATAAAGATAAGTAATTTATTTCCTAATAATTGACTTTATCAATTTTTTTTATCATTTATTATGCGACATATTAATAATAATAGATATATGTGAGCTATATAGGACTACTTAAATAAATAATAAAAAAACATATTTTTATTTAACTTGTTAGTTTTCTGTATAGGTTTTCATACGTACATATGATATTAAAATGCTCTTATGGACTCACAGTACATAATCAATCTTTAGCCAAGTCGGGTGATAGCTAACAATACGTCGAAGCCGTTACAGAAGAAATACCAACGATTGGCAATAATAGTGAGGCAATAAGTCGCATATCAAACTCAGCGAAAGTCACTTTCACCCATAATAATCCGAGTAAAAGTATTTGAACAATCTTATAGGTGGCATAACTTTCCAACGGGTTCAATGACCTTTCCACTTCATTCGATTTCGGGAAATTACGTGTCTGTAATTCCATTTCTCTGTGTCACATGCTACAGAATCTGAAATGACATTTAATATTGTGCACCATATAAATTATAGTCTATTAAAATGTTATATGCTAGTTAATGAAACGGGCATTTCATTCAATCCCCACCAGGTCCAACAAATATCTAAATTTATGAATTTTCTCAAACAAGCTGAACTTCGTTGGAAATCTGGATTTTAAATGTGTGGTAGGATTACTATAATTCCATCCAGGTCACGAACTACCGTCGGTACTGATAAAAAAGCCGAAAAGTTAAATCGGTTTCAGTCTGTCGTTTTCGAATATCCAAAGCCAAAATAGGTTGAAAATGCATCCTCTTATTCTACTCTATTTCCAAATTATTGATAACACTCACATATGTAACAGTAGATAAGTTCTATTTCCTTTATTCAATACTTAAGTGTGTACGTAAGTATTATTCCATTTAAATAAAACTATTTAATTAAAATTGTTAAAATAAGTTAATAAAGTAAATTAGTTTACTTATTTTAACTAGGACTCGATGTTTCGAACACTTTACTTGTTATATTAAAAACTAAATAAAAATATGAGTGTTGCAAGTATTAAGTGTTTTATCTAAATATCCTTCTTTTTAAAATTTGAGAAGGCCGTATAACAACTGGTAGTTCCAATTTCTAAAATATTAATTTTCTCGTTACTTGTATAAATAAAAAAATAATATTTCTAATTGCATGTCAAATAAACATTTTATCTCGGAACGATAAACCCGGATGAAACGGCGTTACGCCTAAGATTAATCCTCCGTGTTGGATGTTAAGGAAAGCGTTGAGATGACCTTACATTTTCACCGATGATCCGAGCTTTCCCTCACTCAAGTTACGATTAGAACCATTTAATGATATTAATTACAATTTTCACTTCAGTCTATCGCTTAGCGATGCGCCGTTTAAAGAGAAAACATTGTTTATTGCCTATCAAAGTTCTCGAACCTTTGGTGTGGCCAAATGACATACCTTATATTCAAAAAGCAATCATGCAATTTAAACCTGTAGAATTAAAGCGTAAGCTTTATCTGTGTGCTAATATTACGAATTACCTAACCGCAGCAAGTTTTCATTATAAAGAATTATAGTAAAAAACGGTACGGATAAAAAGAAATTTTAAGAATCACAATTAACTAATTTTCCAAGAATTAAAACCCTAACTTCTGACACAAAGTATAAACGAGACTGGTATTGGTCTAAAAAGCGATATTTAACTGATTAATGGGTAATTTATTATAACTACGGTACGATTAAACAGATTCCGCTAGCTTAGCACATTTGACTTTGACATTAGGAATACCCTCCCCGTAACTACAACTTAGCATCTGAAACATTGTGCCTTAGGTCAAATAAATTCATAATTCTTCGAGCAATCGGGGAGGTAACATCTCCTGATGATGTCGTCCGCTTGCCTGGCGAAACGTCGGCCGAACAGCCCGAAAAACAATGATACGCTGAACGAGGGCCGTGAAAGCCTTACACAAATTATGAAAATAAATTGTAAATTAGATCTAACATATTTCGCGTTTTAAACCGTTGAGTGTTTTATTAAGGTACAGTTACATAGCGATAAATACTCTTCTAATGACTATTTTGTTATTAAGCAAGACATATTTATTAAGATCGTGTATAAATGATTTATTATTTGTAATGTTCGTGTACTGTTATAATGTACATTTGCTTATGTACGGACTGTCCTTTCTACATAAGGAAGTTGAATTACCAATCCCAATAGAATTAAGTTTGGATGATGACTTCCAAACTTAATTCCTAACTTTGAACTACCAACTAAAACTCCAAGATCCTTTGCGTATAAGAAATTAATACTGCCATATACACTGGAACTAAAAATTAGTTGAAATTAAAACTTTGAGCGTAGAAAGCTCAGTACCGACTTTCTCAGGAGAAATGCAAAGTTTCTGCATATAATACCTGCCAATGCAAACTTACCAGTCGCATGGACTCGAGGAAGCTAGGGTTGTCACCGCGTTGAGATTATAAGTGATAAGGAATAAGGATACATTTTCTGCTTGTAACATAAGAACAACTTAGCTTTTTCAGAGACGGATACTATGTTGTACGTATTAATAAGATAAGTATAAATAAAACACTTTAACGGTTTAAAACGCGATATATTATTTTAACTTTTGAAATAAGATTTTAAACTTCGGAAAGGCGGAATTTTTTTTTTTTTTTTTTTTCGGATGATTTAGCACCTGGTCACAGTCTCCCCTACTCTGCAAAGCATCCGAAACTCGGGCCGAAGTTAAAAATCATTTTCAAATAAGTTTAACTAATATATCGTTTTAAACCGTTAAAGTGTTTTATTTAAATGTGTACTACTCGCGTAAACTATAGACAGTATTTAAGAAATAAGTTTTTCCAATATTTTTAATGTTGTCTTTTTTATCATAGAGAAGGAAAGACTAGCATTCAAATTCCCTTCCATCTAGAGAACCCCCATTTCTCTAGATGGAAGGGAATTTGAATTTAGAGAAATAAAAGAATTCCTAATCCACTTTCCTCAAAACTCATTACATATATGTTAACTATCACTATAAAATCAACACTCTTAGCGGTGTAAATGCATAAAAATACTATTTAATTTATTTTCAACCACGACTCGACGTTTCGGAAGCCGGTTGAAAGACATATTCCAGACAAAATATTTGCCGTAAGTCACATTGTAGGTAGATAAGTAGACCTTCTTAGCGCTCGTCTACCAGCCCTAGACAGCTCGGCTGAGTCACACGTTTGCTTTCTATGTTATTTGCTTGTATGGTAATGTTCGCCGAGTAACGCCGGTGGACGATCCACCTCTTTACGGCGTTTATATTTCATCTTCTCAAACAACTTCTAACGCGTTTTTATTTGATATTTCATTAACTGCTTTCAAGTGTACTTAGACTAGTTTGAAGTTCTCAATTGAAGAGAAAAAAACGCAAACAAATAATAAAATCGTAATTAAAGTATGTCTGTACGTGAGAAGTGTTTAGGAAACGTGAGAAAGTTTTGAGAAAAGTCTTGTGTCGTTGAAACTCTAGTCTGTTTGAGTGATATATGAGGAAATTTAAAAGTGAAATAAAAAATGACCAATAAGGCTTTTGCAGCCAGTAGGCACTTGCGGTTTCTAGCTCCCGTCGTAATTGGGATTCAGTGAAAACCATTTTCCAATTTCGACGCGGCCAAACAGCTCACATACGTAGCGTTCAATAGAATATTACCTAGTTCAAAAGAGTATACGTCACGCCATATTAAAAAAAAAACTATCTATCTTCTGCTATTTATTATTAAAAAATCAATACAAATTTATATTATAATAACGTTTCTACTTCGGTAACTCTATACACACAGAATTCATTAAGTTGTTTATAAGTTGAGTATAACTTTAAAATTTACGAGCCTTACAACTAGAATCATAAATATATGTCAATAAAAATATAGTCTCTATTCTATATTAAGATCTACGATATAATATTTATCGTCAATTTAACCCAACAGCACTTTTGAGTTAAGCTGACAATTATTTTCTTATGTCACAGTACTAACTCAAATTTTCAATTGTAAAGTTATAAGAAAATATTTTATCCCTCAAAATACTGTATTAATAATAATCTTATCACAATTATAAATACAAAAAATTAAAAAAATACAATCATAGATACATTAATGTTTAAGAATTAATATTAAACACTATATGATCCATGAATATATTATATATTTCTTTAAGAACCTTAACATGCAAGTCTCATTATTTATTTTGTTGGCAGGACTCTTAAAAGATGAAACTTTCTAGATTCTAGACCTTAAAAGTGAATTAACTCTTATTATCAGTGACATTCTTACTCTTCTCTCGTTCCAGCAATCTCTTTCTGACCTCCTCCGGGTTATATCTCTTTCTATACACTCTTTTAGCCCTTCTTATCGGGTTAACATTTCTTCTAACATTCTTTTTAACTCCCGCTGTTTCTATTCGTAAACTTTTTCCTTTCCTCGTTGCATTTATTTCTCTCTGATCACGAATCGTTGCGTCGTAAAACACTTTTCCATTTACAATTGCTTTTCTTATATTCTCCGTGGTACTTAAAATTCTGGGTGGTCTAACGTATGTAGTTTCACTCACTTCGAGACTACCGTCATTAAGAACTCTTGATACGTCTTTCTTTAAATCTTCCTTACTGACTCTTTGAACGACACCACGCCTTGTAGGCAACCTGTTATTTATATCCATAAAATCTCTGTCCACTGCTATATTTTTTGGCTCTAGATCCTGTGCATCTAGGGTCAGTTTACCAGCTCGCTTAGACGCTAGTAGACGACCGATCGCTTCGATTTGTCTCTCTTCAGCTTCTAAAGTTTTCACATCTGCCTTGTCTGCTGATTTTGCATCCTCAATGTTGAACACTTCTATTGATGTAAAATCACTCAGCTTTCCATCTAGACCTTTGACGTAGTCATAATCTTCGTACCTTATATTATCAGCTTTGGAATCTAAATATGTGTTATTCTGCTTAACAATATGTTGCTCTGTTGTTGTTGAGACTTCCGTGGTAGTACTTTCCGGCTTAAATGTCGTAGTTGTTGTTGTGCTGGCTTCATATTCTAGGTCATCAATGCGTGTTATGTTCCTCTGTTTTTCAACTCTATGATTGTCTTCAATAGATCTGCCTTCGAATTCTCCTGATTCGTCCCTTTCAGGGCGTAGAGTGGTTGTTCGTGGTTTTCGCTCTGTTTTTGTTTCGTTGAATCTAAAGTAAGTTGTGTTGGGAGGAGGGCTTTTATGCAAATACGCGACGGGCCAGTATCTGTAAAATATAAATTGTTATTAACTATGATTTATTGCTATCATGTATACCTTTTCAAAATGGCCGCAACAGCTTAAGAAAATTTTATCACTTAATTTGGCATTCAACTAGTACAGTTCTAGTAAATAATTATAAATAGCATTAAGCAATATGTAGATATAAAATCAAAGAAAAAGATCATCATAGTATCATTGATTCCATAAAATGCGATTTACAGACCTGGGTACTCCAAGGCCTGCTGCTTGTGGCTCATCATCATACTGAGGCACCTGCACCCACTGTCCGGATCCACCTCGGGGCGGGTTTCTTTCGAATTTAATGTATGGTCGATTTTCTGTTGGTACTCGTGTATATCCTGAAATGAAACAAATTACTTTTTCTTTACAATTTTAAATTTTAAAATGTGGTAGGTATCGAAAAAAGTTATTGCAACGTTAAAAAAGAGATAAGGCAAATAAAGGTTGTTTACTTCAAAGAAGCGTAAAGTAAGAGTAAGAATAAAAGTTTAAGTTTCGAATTTTCAGTATTTTCGAAAGTTAAAAGATTTCAACTTTACAAGAAAAAAGGCATATATAGTTTGAGTGAGTGGGACACACAAATGCTTAAAAATTTATTTAACATACTTCGCCTTATAACCGCGTTAAAAGTGTTTTATTTAAATAAAACATTTGGGCGCCGTTTCGGGGGCTTTGCCGGCGCCGGGGGCGGGGGCCCCCCCCCAAAAAACCCCCCCCCCCAAAAGGGGGGCCCCCCCCCCCAAACAATTACAACGCACAATATCATTATCTTTAATCACCTGGTAAAGGATTTCCATATCTATCGTAATACGCTTTAGGTCCATTCTTGTATAAATCGTCCCAATACCGTCTGTCACCTTCAGGCAAATATGAACTAGGTTTGGATCTGTCTGGATCTTTTTCTGTAATTGGGCGATCTGGTCGTGGACGTATAGCCTCTGGAAAGAAAAACTATAGGAATAAGTCATGGGTTGTCATAGTAAGACTAAATTAATACGCCTGAGAGAGTTAAATAGCTAATCGCCCGCACAGTAAACACTGACCAGAGCAACATCTATGTAGTTCTACAAGATACAATCAATCAAATGCCATAAAAGTCGATTGCGCATCTTGTTTAGATGTAATATGGCTGGTGTATTTCACCCTCCATTAAGTAAACTACATGCTTGTATGTCATCCTCTATCCTACATAAATTACTTCAAAATAAAATAATACAAAATGTAAGTAGCGGTAGTACCCAATACCTTCCCAATTTAGAATTTGTTTTTACACTTCATAATTATTCAACGAACCTCGATTTCCTAAAGATGGATGCGGCACATTATGTTGATGGTAGGGGTAGTATTTTTCGCTGCAGGGTCGCCACTGGTCTTCCTCTGGGCCTACATAACACCTGGAATCAAAACGAGAATGATTGGATAAAGCCATAAACAATGGGCTGCCAAAGCTAAGACATTAAAACAATTGCTTCGATTTCGTAGTTAGTGCACTCGTCTGCAGACAACGCGGATACGGATTCGTATCACAGGATGGAAATTTTTTAGTAAGAAAATTGCCACTACCAAGTCTAATTTCAGAAATAGAAGTTAGGAACACCTCTGTGCCTCAAAAGTCTGGAATATGACTGCTTTTTTGGCAGTATTCGTTGAAGCCAGGTATGAACTTATGCAAATGGCGCTAAGTACTTAAAACCTATCTATGAGATGAACACTGTGCCCAGCCGTGGGCTGGACTTAAGTTGAAATCGGGGATGGCTTACCATGGTTTACGAAAACCTTCGCTGTATCCACAACGATGTGTCGGCGCACAACAATAGTCCCACGAACCTATAATTAATAAAAAGTTGATCAATATTTGTGCTTAATAAGAAAAATAGATGCCCTCAACCGTACTACTTATAGGCATTCTGAAAATTAAAATATTAAACGTCATAAACTAATTCATTATGCCTGATAATATACCTTTAGCAACGGTTAACATTCGTTTGTGCTCGTTAAAAATATATATAGTAGGTTGTATCCACAAAAAAAGCTAATAAAGTTTTGAAGAAGTATTGCCTATAGTTTAACCGAGTATTAGACATTTAAATAAACACTTCTAGCGGTTTAAAACGCCAATATATAAGTTATTAATATAATAATATATTTTTCCTTTTTTAACCAGAACCCGGCGTTCGAAAGCTTGGCCGTACCACCAAGGCTGCTCCCGCAGAATTAAAAATAACTTAACTTATACTTTGCGTTTTAAACCGTAAAGAGTGTTTCATTTAATAGGCATTTATATCATTTTATTCATACAATTGCGACAAATACAACACAAAACAGGCTGCACAATACCACTGTACTAATTGCTACATATGAGGCTGCTAGAGGTAGAGTGGCCTAATAACAAAAAAAAGGATATTCAAAAAGGAGGAAAATAAAAACGCGCATGCAGCTTAGGCGGAAATGAATTTGTCATATTATTTGTGTAAGAAATATGTTAACAATTTTCGATCACTGTGTAGATTAACATTTTTAGCCTATGAAAATAAAAATAACTCAAGTCGATTGTAGTTAGGCTACTCTGCTCTTAGCGGCCTTATAAATGTGTATATACTGACTGAAGACTCGTAATAGAATACTTACCAATCTCGCCGCCCTCTGGTTCGCATGCCCAGTGGCCAGCGACGTGGTTCTGCGCACAAGTTGTTCCTCGTCGACAAGGGAATCCGGATACCGTGTAATGGCGCCATGATGCTGCTGAATATTTACAATACACGTAAAAATACCAATTAGGAGGCTCCATAAATCCAGTATTTATTTTCAAGATAAATGGTAATTTAATAAAATCTCCAGTGAAGTGTCAATAAATAAGTTTACATATGTAAAAAACTAATTGGATAAGGTTATTACGAGATTATCAATTTTTAAACGATTAAAATGCTTGAGGATCGAGGGCTCTAACAAGAAAATGATGAAGTACATGAAGTCTATAAAATTAAATTTGGCGATAAAAGGAATGGTGGCGAGTTTCTTGCCAGTTCTTTTCGTCAAGGCCTTGATTTGAGAAGGGGTAGTTAGTGAATGTAATTTTAGTCTTTTTTTCTTATACATACTGACGTTCATAAGTGTAGTTATGTGAATAATTTGTTTAACGTTCATTTTGACATTCACGAATGATTTTTTTAAAGTAATTGATACATCACAACTTATTTATTACTCTTGCAAACTGTGGTCAACTTGCCGACTAAGACGGATTAAAACGCGGTATATTTGTAGTTACAGTATGTTTAACTACAGCTCGTTCGCTGTAACAGTTGAAATAACAATACACTTAAAAATAGGGTAATACATATTTTATTTTTATTTTTCAGGAAGCTACCTTGATATTTTCAATCTATACTTTACATATTATTAAATTAACTTACTGTATTCGTCGCCAGTCGGTTTCACTGGTTTCACAGTTGGTTTTTCATCCGGCCTATAACCGGGTAGGAAATCAGGCCTGGTCGGTAGCGGTATATAACCGGGTTTAACATCAGATGAGAAATAACCGGATGGTGGGTAACTCGGTTTGTAACTATCTATCGGTTTGTGTGGTCTGTATGGCTCCGACGGTGGTTTGAAGGGTCTGTATGGTTCATAATCTAGACCAATTGGGGGCCCGATAGGATCAGGACCGCTGGACGGGCTCGGTCCGCTGACGGGTAGATAACTTGGCTGGTAACTAGGTTTTGGACCATACTCGATTACAGGCTTCGAATCTGGACCAGTGAGATAAGTTGGTCCACTGGGGCCGGTTATGTAATCTGAAAATATTTATAAGAACTGTTTACTTCATATTAAAAGGAATAATCATATTTATTTTTTTATGCTGGAGGAGGACAGACAAGCTTTTGATGAAATACCCATCCATAGAATATCTTAACAAGATGTGGTGTTGGCTTTTGATATTCGGAAATCCCCAGACTTGAACCGAAACGGTATTAAAGGTGTCTTTATCATCTGTTAACGGCGGTTCGTGTGCGGGCGGTATATCCATATTACTACTGCCTATTTCATATCCAGATTTTCCAAAAGAGGTCCATGTTTTAGACAAATTATAGATTGATTAGAAACATATTCGACCCGGCGTCGATCGAACCTACGATCTGTTGATTATTATTATAGATTGCTACCATTACGCCAACGAGCGCATCAAAAATTAAATGCAACTGATTTTTTAGTACAATTTAGTTACAATTATATATGAACGTTAACTGTTATTATTTAACTAATGTACATATAATTTCACTGACCTGGTGAAGAAGGTGGTACCGGTTTATCACCTGGATATTCCTCGATCGTAGTTACAAGAGGATGTGGTATTTCTACAGTTGGGACTCTAAAACAAATGTATCGTACCGTTATTATATCGTACTTGACTACGAATTGGGACTACGAAAACATTTAATCATGTTCGGAATGATTTGCAGTGCCCCATAGTGGCAAATAGTGACTATCCCTTTTGGCGTTTCCTTTTTGAATTTAGTGGAAGTATTTGTGCATTTTATAATCTTTTTGGAAAAATACCCATATACGTTTGAAAACTTTAATATTTTTTATCTATTAATTGAGAAAACTTCGCGAGAGGTTGGAAAAATTCGACGATGACGTGTAGTAGGACAAGGCACTCAATTGGTTAGAGCAACAGCACGGAATATTATTTCCATATCAATTGATTTAAAATTTAGTACTAAAAATAAATAATTATACGTATTTAAATATAACTTCATACTCTAAGTTTAATTTATAAGAGGAAACAAACTTACTCGTGTGTCCCATACACTTTCCTCCAACACTGTCCATTGAAAAGGTCAAAAGCGAATAAAAGGTTATCTTCAGAAGGCTCGTAGTCAACGCCTCGTTGTAAATCAAACAGTCTTATTTCAGATAATAGGCAGTTGTCTGATCTCGGTGGCGCGGTATTTCTGTAGCAGGAACAGACAGGTTAAAAGAAATACATCGCAACGTACTGATTTTTCAAGGAATATTGTTTCTGTGTTTTAGTTTGTTTAATTTTAAGTACTTACTAATACCTATATTTATATACTTTGCGTCAGTATAGTTATTAAATTAATTTAACCCGATATTTTATGATACATACGTACATACGTGAGTCGACCTACATTACAGGTCGATGTCTTTATATTTATTTTGATAAGCAAAGTCGTGACTTTAAGTTCCACAAGGTCAATCATGTCTAATGAATTTATAATTTTTCTATTTATTTAAGTAACTGTATGTCGTTTTTAGTGAGGTTACCTGAGGTATTTCGCCTTTCATCAAGTCAAACTAATTCTTTAAATAAGATGAAAATAAGAGTCATAGTCTAAGTCAAAAACAATTATTTACGTGCACTTATGGGTGTCGTTCATATTTGATCTCCACAATACATGTACTTACGTGAAAGAGAAACTAAGACATCTAAAAGGAGCCTCCGTGCAGGCTTCGCCGCAGGCTTTTGCGTCTCTAACACGCGCCTGGCCGCGTACAGCGCTCGACCGCAGTTTTGCCGAACTGTCATACTGGAGGTAACACTCTGTGGGCATAATTAGTTTTCATTTATTCCGTTACATTGATATAACTTGTAAAGTTTGAAACGTTCAATATTTTTCATATTTCTTATGATATTAAAATGTGTTTCGTTTTTTTTCAAATCTTCAATCAATTTTTAATGTATATAGTTTCGAAAGATTTATTGTTAGTAGATTGTTTAAGCACAAATGGCTTGACTAATTTAGGCACAATTTAGTACATTCAATTTAATGCAACATGAATATTGTGCTATAAAAACCTTTAAAAAGGAAGAAAATAATGAAATTTAACTATTCACTGTGTGTAGTCCACATTTAAACGGTTACTTTTAATGGTTTAAAACACAAAATATATTTTAACTATGGCCCGACGTTTCGGATGCTTTGTAGAGACTTTTTAAACCGCTTAAAATATTTAATTTTAATTGTTTTTTTTACATAATAACATTTTAAACAACAATTACCTAAAATCAAATACAATTTCTTTTTCTGTAACGGCTGATGCGGTGGCTGATAAAAAAAATACTTACGCGTCTCTCTATGATGAACATCATCATACAATGCTGGTTCACAGCCCCGACCATAGTTTCCTCTTGCGTAGAGCTCGTGTCCGCTCGAGGGCCGGAGACCACGACCGGTCTCCAACGAAGTTGGAGGCGAGGAAGTGAGAATGCAGTTCTGAAGATCATCACCGACTGGAGCTTCAAACCTGAGAAAGCCCTTCACTTATTGTAGTTCAATGTATTCGGGTTTTCTTATATAGAATTTGACGAACGTAGGTTAATTATTGTTCTAGCCTTCGTCGTGAATATAAGATATAATTGAGATATTTGTATCTTTTTCACTTTCTCATGAGTTTCTGATGAGACCTCTAACCTGCAGGGCCGAAACTATTTGTATATTAATTCACTGGAGAAAATAGTTCAAAGATCACAAAGTTTTGGGTCCGGCAGCTTGAAAATCCAAGTAGATAGCAAAATGGCGGCGAACCTACATATATTCACTTAATAGCAGTGGTTCTTTAAACGTAGATCAATCACGGTTTGGGTTTAAACTTGTTTAAATGGTAATACCTGAAACTAAACCCTCTACAGAAGAATTTATGAGCTCGTATGCACTCGGCCTCGCAAGCCCCCAACCCAGTAACAGTCAAAGCAGCCTTCACTGCCGTCCCCGATACTGCTGCACCAGATCGAACGTGCCAGAAGCATTCTGTAAATTTTTAATGTAATTATTTATAAAGTAAAGATGGGTATAGACTTTGATTTATTTTGTATTTTTATGTAAAATATTAATTATTGAAAAAACTTAGGACACAATGTAATATGTAAAATGTAGAAACGCTTTCGGGTTTAGATATAGAGCTGTTTCCTTCGTTTGAAATGAAGTATTGTCAGTAGTTTACGCGAGTAGTACAAATTTAAATAAAACACTTTTACGGTTTGAAACGTGGTATATATTAATTAAACTTATTTGAAAACTATTTTAACTACGGCCCGACGTTTCGGATGCTTAGCAGCAGCCGTGGTCACGGGAAGACTAAAGACGGAGGGTTTCTCTAATGTCATAGTAAAAACTGCTCGCTAGCGCCATCTAACCCATTGACGTTAGTATTTAGCGATAAAGAATATTTGTTTTTATTTTATATCGGTTATGCTAAGTTTAATTTTGTTCCATAACTTACCACTTTCAACCCACGGTTTGGTACTGACAACGTGACAACCCTGATGCTGAGGCATTGCGTAGACATCAGAGTCCACGTCTGCTGACATATCCAAACCTTTGTAGGGACGTTCACTCAGATAACAGTTATCTGAACCAGCTGGGCTCGAGTATCTAAGGACCATTTGTCACAATTTAATCAAAATTGTATTGGACCTATAACTGTTTTTAATAGAAATCATGCATCTTGCCTATCATAGACATTTTTTCATTGTTGAAAAAGGTGACTCTTTTCAATTATAATACATACAGAGAATTTAAGTAAGACTAGCTGTGCCAGCGACTTTGTCCGCGTATTTTAATCATCAAAATTTGTTTTGAAAACTTTATTATTTTTCATATTTTATTGCACATTATGGCACTTTATAATTCAAAAATCGAAAATTTATTGAAAAAAATTTCGACGCATCGTCAGCGTTACGAGCACGGATGCCGCTTCAAGTACCTGCCCGAGTCGAATTTATTTTCGATTTTTAAAAATTTACCTTGTTTTTGCAAACCTCCTCATTAATCGTCTTAAATGGTAGACTGTCGCTGATATTTTTAGATTATATTACTTTATTAGATTATTTAAAGAACGACAATATTTTTTGGGTATCTAGGTAGAACCGTTTACTCAGCGTACGTAACGGAAACCCTTAAAGATTAAAAATTTGCCCCCTTTTTTTCTATAATTCCGACTATTTCTTCGCTCCTATTAACCGCAGCGTGATGTTTTATAGCCTTTGGCCTTACTCGATACATGTTTTAACCTTCGCAAAAAGTAATGTTTACAGTAGTTCCTGAGATTAGCGAGTTGAAACAAACAAACAAACTCTTCAGCTTTATAATACAAGTATAGATAAAATATAGAATATAAAAAGTCTTGTTATAGTTGCATTAAAGTCATAAATACAATTTTTAAGTCACATACCTGTAACTATAACTAACACATTTGAATTCGCGTTCACCAAAACAGGCCGCTTCGCATTCTACCACTGTGCTAGCGAATAACGAACGCCGGACCGCGCCAGAACTTAGCGACATGCCTGGGCGACGGCGGGACGAACAATCTGAAGCAAGTCGAATTGTTTCAACGCTGACTTTCGAACGTGCAGTTCAATATTAAAATACTTTCAATATAAGCTACGAAGTACAGGTTAGACCTATGTCATGGTCAGCTAAGAAAAAATGCACTAGTTGTGTTAGCGACTTCGTTATTGGAGAATGGTTATTTTGGGCATCAAATTTTCGAAAGCCCACGTTGCCCTCTGCGTCCTGCAATTCTTGCAAGTTAATCTTTAAAAAACATAGATAATTTAAAAAGAAAGCATTCCTTCATTTAAATTATTTTTTGGTTATCTTGAACTGTTTTCGTAGCGTTTCTTCGCTTCTATAAGTCCCATCAAGATTCGATTCGAACAAACAGTTTCTGAGAAAACCACGCTCAAACAAACAAACCAACTCTTTTCTTTTTATATATTAGTATAGATATTTCAAATTCTCTATACTTATATAGAAAGTCTAAGAAAAATTCTACTTATTCCAAAGTACTTATGGAATATAAAAATAGATCGCATATCGTTACTAAAATGAGTAATTATTTTAAATATAATATATAATCTATGAAAAAAATTTACACAATTTCAAAATACCTTTCGCAACTTCTTCACTCCTCCCTTCCCAAACCTCCTTCGAATCAGTATCATCCTCCCATCTACTCCAGCTCCCTTCCGACGTATTCCATTTGCCTCTCTTCCAAGACAGATAATCCCAATATTCTTTACCAATATGATGGTCAAAATCCGAATGCTTATCAAGACGGTGGTCAAAATCCAGATTCTTGTCGGCATGATGTTCAAAATCCGAATGCTTATCTGTGCGGTAATCAAAATCCGACAATTTATGCTCAGTGTAATCTCGATCCGATTTATAATATTTATCTGCGTGATAATTAACATCGGATAGACCGTATTTATCAGTATGATGAGGAGAATCTGTCTCGTGCCTATCACCATAACTATGGTGTTCATCCGAGTGCTGTCTACCTAGATTGTGGTAATCGAAGTTTTTATTCGTGAATTTGACGTCGTGTCTGTCGAAATCCGAGATGCGCCAATGATTGTAGGACTGTTTGAAGTCGTTACGGTTCTTGTAATAGGAATCGTAGTTGCCGTAGTACCCTCCGTACTGACCCCAGTTCTCGCGATCGTCGCCTCTAACTACACCTGGGAATATATAAAGATTAGAAGATTCTCTTGGGCACTGCATTAATTCATCTGATAGACATCGTCGGAAATTCGATCCCCAATTCCACTATCTACTAATCAGATATATACGATACTTCAGCTTTGCATACGAAGGTGAAGGGAAATCCACAGGCTGAAACTGAAACGTGATTCGAACGTCACGACGTTCCCCAATATGGTGGTTCACACGACCAGAATGTAATGTATGTAATTTTAGTGATCTGATCACACTCATTGAATACCCAGATTTCCAGACGAAGTTCTACATGTTAAAAAAAACAATTGTTTAGAAACATGCTGGATCAGGTGGGGGTCGAACCCATGACCCGTTGATTATCAGCCATACAATGCCACCATTAGATTAACGATTAGACGACTACGATAGCATCCAAATATCTAAGAATACAGAAAGATTTGTTAAGGAGTACTATATAAGTGATGGAGCAACCATTAACCTTGTTGTATACTAAACTTACCAATCTGATAAGGCACAAAAAACTGGTCCTCATATCGTTTATGCTGCGTATATTTTCTTCTCTCGTCATACCGACTGACTCCTGTGTACCCAGCGTCATACCAATCTATCCTGTCTTGGCCTTTCGGCTTCGATGATAAATAACCAGAGTGAAGGAGCCCCGGGCCCCGTAGTGTCTCTGGACAATTGGGTTCCAAGCTATTTCGGTCAAGCTCGTAAAAGTCATACGATTTGTCGTCTGCAAAGTCGCGGTTCAGGTCAAAGGCTTCTATGGGCTTTGTCATAAGTTCACAGAGCCCTTGGCCGCGAAATGATGGGTCTAATCTGAAAAAAAAAGTTTATTTTATTAAGAAGAAATGTGGGAACTGTTTAAGAACTGATGATATTTCAATCTTAAGTATTATAGCTATATCTTAAGCTTACAAACCAAAATAAAAGTAATATCAACTGGCAATATTTTAATCGTTTAGGGTTTTTGGCAGCATAATAAAATAATCTAAAAGCTGTGAACAAGATTCATTTGATAATTCAAATAACCTTGCAAGTATCCCAATTATGTCGTTTATCTAAATTTAGGTCAACGCCATACGCTGTCTTTTATGCAAATTATTGTTATTACTTCTATAGAACAGGGACGGACTCGGAATTTTTCATATTTTGTTCGTCGCTTTAACTTTTCTATGTACTCTATCGTGTGTTACCTAGCCTATTGGTCATTTAAACTCTATGCTCAGAAATTGTTAGGTATTAGCAAAGTTTGTGTAATAGTTTTGTGGTAAAAAGTAACTAACAACACACACAGTGCGCAATACTATTGCTCTAGCAAGATATGATACTAGTGCCTTTAAAATACTATGCCCCGTAATTTGTCCTATTCATAAATCCGTGCCTGCGTATACGCAAGGCTACAACATACAATACAGATGATTCCTACAGATTGCGCTGACCCGAGGTCGAACTCTGAACCAATGGTAATTAATCAACTTAATTATTTGCATGGTATTGTCTTATAGCTACTTCTTTGACTCTAGAGAACTCGAGGTGATGAATTTTGTAAAAATAAATGTTGCTTATTAATATGTTAGACAAAGTCAAATATTTCTATAATGATTTTTCACGGGTTATTTCTGTGAAATGTAAATGTGATTTAAATAAAACACTTTAACGGTTTAAAACGCGATATATTAGTTAAACTCATTTGAAAATGATTTTTAACCTCGGCCCAAGTATTTAATGTATATATGACTATTGAACTCGTATATTTCGATATTTATTTCTCAATAGCAAGACAGCTTATATTGCATAGCTTGGGTTTTCCTGAAATTAAGGTATATCAAGATGAGCTGTCGATCTATTTCAACTTCGTATAAAATCTAAAGCAATTCATCTTCACGCCTTTTTCACCTGCGCGTTCGTTTTCATCCATTGTGACCCTTTAAGATATATTCAGATTTTACGAAGTTGTACAGAATTCATGTTGCAAAGTAGGAGCATTTCTTCCATTCTATAAAAGAAAATGAACTTATCTCGCCGTGTGTAGAACTAATTTGTATGAAGTAATGATCTCACGTTCATTCGCAGCATTGTTTTAATTTCCTAGTTTTTCACATTTTTGGCGACTCCCATTGTCTCCGTTAACTGATCAACACCAAGGTCTATGATTAGGCTGTTTTTTATGTAAAATATTTGATTACATAATTACTATAAATTTTTACACATTCCACAAATATAAAAGAAAGACATAGATAGCTCGTTGCTTCAGTAGTAGCAATATATGACCGATAACCAAGGGATCGTGGCTTCAATCTCCACTGGGTCCAATTTATTTCTTATCTACTTATATTGTTTTCTGAAACATGTTGAGCTTCTTCTTGACCGTAGGACCATCAAAAATCCATTCGGATCACAGATAAAATAGTAATGAAATTTAATCGCCTTACAGTTTTAGTCTGTGGACTTCTGACTATTCAAAGTCGACAGTGCATTTTGTTGGGATGTTATATGGCTGGGTTATTCGCCTTCCAATATGTGAACCCTATTTATCTGTCTTTCTCGAACATAAAAAAGTAGTGGTGTATGTTAAAACCCGCCAACCCACATTGGAGTGGCATAGTAGGTCTACGCTCTCATCCGCTTCTATGCGAGAGGAGAAATGTACTCATAAGGGAAACATTTATAAGTTCAAACGGAATTTATCATTAAATGTGTCGAATAAAGTTTATATACATTGACGTATAACTCGTGTTAGGCAGTACTCTAAGTACTTGGGGTGTGGAGAAACCCGCACTAACAAGAAAAAATATGTAGTGCACTAAAAGTACGCAAAGAATGTAAAATAAAACTTGGCGATAAAAGGGGTGGCGGTGAGTTTATTGCCAGTTCTTCTCGTTCGTTCTATGGCTTTGATTTGAGAACTAGGTAGGTGGTAGTAAATGTAAAGTTTGATTCTTCAGTTTTGTGATGTTCATAAGTTACCTACATGAATAAATGATTTTTGATTTTGACTTTGGCTATATAAGTTAAATAAATGAACATAATTTGCAATCAAATCGCCACATTATAGATTACGTCATACGTAGAAATAGATATTTTTAATTATTATTATATTAACGTGTGTTTCCTATTTTGTCTGCAGTAAAATAAAACACGTTTGAAGATTTAAAATATGTAAGTTGAACTTATGTTTGATTTTTATTAACTATGACTCAAAGGTTAAGATACTTCGCAGGCGCCGTGGACACAGGGGCACTCTGATATATGTAAAACTTTTCGCGTTTAATATGCGCGTAAAATACAGTCAATACTTAGTTATACTACGGATTAGGATATAAAAAAGGAATCAAATTACCCACTTTTGGAAAGTGACATAATTATCTTACTTTTACTGTGTTTATTTAATTGGAGGACACGGTAGCTCAAATTATTGCAATAGCAGCAAAAACACTGCCGTCGATAAACCGTCGTAACGGTTTAAAAATATGTTTTTTTTAACTTTATTTTGGTTTTGGTGCACAAAATAAACAAAAAAAAAACACTATGCATGCCAGTTCCAGTCCCACCAGTGTCATAAATACTTTTCAGCTAATATATCACATACCTGTAATTAAAACTTTCGCAGTGAAACCGTCTTTCGATAGCGCACTCCCTCATGCAGTCTTCCAGCCTCTCGCAGTCCACCACTCGCCTCACGTGACTCCGGAGGGCCCTTCGCCCCGCGAGGACCCGACGGAAACACGCTAAAAATATATCAAGAGTGGTGTAAATTTGTCTTTTAATATATATAACTTAGAAAGATGGGAAGACGGGCTCGATAGTAATGGTACAATAATAAACGGGTCCTGGGTCCAACATTTTTCTTATAAATTTAAAATTTTTGTGACACAAGTTGCACGGCGTCTGGAAATCTGGACATTAAATGGATGCTACAGATAAAATTTTAGTCACGTTTCGTTTTTAGCCTGTAAATCTTGTTAAAAATAATGTAGTGATGTGTAAAGGGCCGCCTTCCATCACTCCAATGCTTATCTATCCCCCTCTATCATAAAAACATTGGTTCCCAATGTTGGGACCCGGTAGTACAATAAAAACAAATGACTTCTACAGGATAAAATATCTATAGGGATGAAAGGCTTATCCTGCTAATAATTGCTAAGGACTCGAAAATATGTCTGCAAAAAATGACCTTTGTCTTCGTGAACATTTTGGATACTGAGAAAGTAGGCAATAATTGCTAGAGAAATTTTTAAACTTAACCACTACGGTGATTCCATTTGGTAGCAGACCACAAAATGTGAATGGAATGGTATTCGACATTATATGTACATTTTTAAACTTAGATGAAATAAAATAATGGTTTAAAACCTGAATTACAATAGATTACTTATTGTTGACTACAACCGACGCTGCGGATACTTTACAACGGCCGCCGTTTTAAACTTTTAAAAGACTATACTTAGTAATGAATTTTTATTTTAAAGCATGTTTTTATTTTAATGCATTCTTCTTGTAGCAACTAAACCGTAAGACACGTTTGATAAACTGCATCCGTTTGATTAAATTTGCAAAAAATCCCAAACAATAGGAAATAAATGAGTCAGTGGGTCATTTTTTATTTCGTAATTTACGATTAATTCAAACTTTTTGTATTTCCAAGGATGTTGTAAATCAACGCTAATGATGATGTCATTCTTATTGTATGACGCTAACATAGTATTAGAACGATATATGCTAGATTTGATTTCTGTTAAAACTAAGTAAGGAAAATTTTAAATATTACAAAAGATTGTCACCTCGCTAATGATCAAATCTTCTTGATTCATGTTAGTATCTCAACTAGGGGTAACTTTAAAAATAATTATGTACTTAAATTCTTTTCTATTTCTTAAAAAAAAACATTTTGAAGCGTTTGAAATGCGAACGTTAACTTCTTTCAGTAAGTTAACTGATATTTATTTAAATAAAACACTTTAACGGTTTAAAACGCGATATATTAGTTACTTCGGCTCGACGTTTCGGATGCTTTGCAGCAGCCGTGGTCACGAGGAGAGAGTCCCCTTAAAATCATTTTCAAATAAGTTTAACTAATATATCGCGTTTTAAACCGTTAAAGTGTTTTATTTAAATGTGTACTACTCGCGTAAACTATAGACAGTATTTGATATTTATTTATTTTAACTACGGCCCGTACGGTTCGGAGGCTTCGCCGCATATATTTCACGTCTTAAATCTCTAAAAGTATTTTATATAGACGTGAACTACTCGCGTAAACTACAAACAATACTACATTATAAGAATGGTTCAAATTTTGACATATTAATGAAGTGAAATCCTGCTTCCGTGGGGTATCAGCATTTCAATATCCGATCGATTTTCTCTTCACACATTTCGAGTAAGATGGACCGACCTAAGGTGGATTTTATATTTTCCCGGGATTTTAACCTGTGCATTAAAAGGTAATTGTGCAAGTTCATGCTTTTACTTATTTATTTCCTTTTTAATAATTTTGCTCCATTAACTTAAAATCTTTTATATTCCACAATACCACCACTGAAATACATACTTGGTGCATTTTCCACTAAAATAACTCGAGTCCCAATCACACTGATAGACAGACATACAAAAATCACGACACCCGTATACATTTTGGTCGCACAATAACATGTCTATTATATGCACTTTCCACTTTTAATTTTTTCACTATCAATCACTGCATTTTTCTAAAAAATGTCATCGTTGTTGGTCGCCTTTTCAAAGTTAATTAAAATCGATATATTTTACGCGAATAAATAAAAAAATGGGTCAGAGGTTGCAAAACATAAATACGACTGAACAGTGGCATTGTACCGCGTAGGCTTATATGGAAGTGCAATACTCTAGTTCGATTTGTATGGATAAGACCGAAATAAAAAAGAATGGACACTCGTTTAGCTAGCTTAGCAAGGGAGACATCATCAGATAATTCGTTACGATTAATCAAATTAGCACTTTGTTTTGTATAGAATGTAATCTAGTATTTACTTTCTGCCCTATCCACCTAGACACAGTAATTTCATATCGCCGTCACGGTCACGTTTTCCATCAGCTTTTTTACCTGATTTCCAAAAGGATGATTTGATTACTACGTTTAAATCAAAAGTTAATTTAAAACGTGATTGATTTATTGATATGATAAAAACTCGATTTATTTAAGAAGACCTAGTAAAGTCATTATAAAAGCACACCATTGGCTCGGCCGATTTTAATGAAATATCTATTAAAGTTAATATGATAAATCTGACGACAGCCTGTATATAGCCAATCAACATACATAAATATAGCAACCACATTATAATTTTTTTTTTCATATTTTCAATAAAAAATCACATTTTTTGTTATAAAATGTGGGGCATTACTTAAAATCAGCGCTGTGCCTTCATCCAGGGACAATAAAAGCTGAGTGGTTAACTTCACTCGCTAAGTGGTGTACTACTTTCATATAAAGAAATATTGAATAGAGAATATCCATGCTAATCTAACGTCGCTTTGATTATTACTGATAAGAGACGCACTACGCTATTGTCTCTAAAAATTTTACGAAGTAAAAACGCGCTGTACAGTATATCCGACTATTGTGATCATTATGCTTTATAACATTAGACCACAGATATCCAACTCTAATTACATCATCGATATCATTACAGGGCGTCTACTGCCCAGCTGTGGGAATTATTATAAGAGTTGAATAACTTATATTGTTTTAATAATTAAATTGAGATTGATAGCATTTACTACTTTAGGCTAGAATATACAACTCAATACTACGAACGAATTATTGATGAATGATGAATATGATTCTAATTCTATATAAGTATAAAAATGTCCACCTAATTAAATTCTCTAAGCGATACCTATATTGCACAGAAGATACAACCCTCTTCTTCGAAAATTGTTTATGAATGTTTATGAAAATAATTCTGTTACTGAATTACAATTCCTTTTGTGCAGATAAAATGGATATGTTTATAGCATAACTGAGGGAATGTTTATTGCTGTTTTCAGTTTTAAACTACTGTATGAACTAATAAACATCTTTAAAATCTTATTTATGTATAAAAAGGATGGTAAAGTCCAAATAGATGACGGCAAAGACCTATATATAATAGCAAGCAAGACAAACCGACTTTAGGTTTTTTACTAATCGCACACATAATGGAAGGTCCAAACGATTTGACTGAGCCTCCTCGTAATTTACTACTTAAGTCTATCTGTGGTGCAAATTTAACGACCCAGCGACTCTGGGGAATTTTCTTCTTCTATTTCGTGCATTTGGAGCATCAATTAGCGTGATCGTAAATAATTAATAACGATAAAAAATGTCTGTAGTTTACGCGATTAGTGCAAATTTAAATTAAACAGTTTTAAGTGTTGAAACTGCAAAATATATCAGTTAACTTATTAAACTGGAGAACCTGCGACCACGGCTGTTGGAAAGCATCCAAAAGGTCCAGGCCGTAGTTAAAAAAAATCTAAAACTTAAATTGTATTTGAATTTTAAACCATTCATTGTTTTACTGAAATTGAACAACGGTAGTTAAAACTGTTTAAATAGTCAATAGAACTTTTTTTTTTTAATTTACAAGTTTGGTCACCGCCCTTAGGCCAATAGTAAAAAAAGCAATATTTACGTTTTAACTATCTCGTTGGTCTTTGTAATGGTACCAATAGAGGTTTAATAAAATCAATTAGTTAAAAATTCGTTCACAACCGGTCCAAAGTTTAATCGCGGTAACGATTTTAGTCTATAGATTCCAAATATCCAAGACCAAAATAGGTCGACTATAATGAAACAGAGTGAAGATATGGTTAGAGTATCACCTTCCATCAAGTGAATTTCATGCTCGTCTCCTCCTCTATCAGATAATGATCGCACACATATTAATATACTAATTTTACTCATTACCTTCAATTCTATGTGGTTTTTACTTCAAAGAGTAACGAAAATCTATAATACTAAATCTATAAGATTCAAATCTATAAAGTTCTAGTTGCATTTTCGTTGACTTCTGCTCAAGAAGAACATAATAATCTTTTAACTTAAGCCGCACATCAAAAGGTTGGATAACAATCTAATATCTTTAATCTTTTTGTGAACTTCATTGTAACGTATATCATATTGTAGAGATTACTGGCCTTCGGTGGCCCATTGTTAGCCTAAAGTACATTACAAATTAACCCATTACATCTAGGCGAAAATGTCGTAGCGGGGTCTACGACGTAGCGGCGTAGTGAGTTAAGAAAGTATATATTTTGTTTTCCTAATTAAATTAAACACTTTTCAACATAAAAAAAATTAAAATGGTATTGATTATTTTTAACAATCACTTTTAAATATGGCCTGACGTTTCGAATGCTCTGCAGCACCGGTGGTCATAGGTTTACTAAGATATTTGACGTTTTAAACGCTTAGAAGTGTTTATTTAAATTTGAATTACGCGCAATGTTGTCGTAAGTTAGTAAAAATATAATACACGACATACATAAACGTAGTGTTATTTAAAGTGTTCACTTTGAAACAGGACATTTAGTTATTCCTTAAAGAAAATATAGTTGGAATAGCTCGATTACTTCAAATATCAACTACAACGAAACAGATGGCACTAATGTAGCAGTGTAGACTGCCATTAGGGACCTTCCACCTTCAGTCCCTCCGTGACCATAGTTGCAAGGCATCCAAGACATCGGGGCGTAATTAAATTATATTATCTATCCGTAAAACAGTTTCATTTAAAAATCACAAACAACTGAATACAGAAGTAAAAAAGCTTCTAAAACAAAATTATTCTTGAACCTATGTAGGTACTGCCTTCTGAAGCCTTCACGGAACTTGTACATTAAATTACAACTTCCTCACTCGCATTGTTTTAAAATTTTGAAGGGCACGAGTTATTAATGTACGAATTGTGTTATCTAAAGTGATACATAGTGTTTTGGATTTGATAATAATATTGCGCTTTACATTATTCTGGAGGTTTATTTATATCAAAAATAAGTTTTTGAAGAATGAGGCAGACATAGTAATGTATCAGTTAAATCTTTCAAGGTTTTATTTATTTATATAATTTTATGAGAATGATAGTATTTATTCGAAAGGTGATTCTATATATATACTAAAGTGAAATAGCTACCTAATATCTAACTCGACTCTCGTCATATTTTTGCTTTAGATAGATAGAATTCTACAGACTGACACCGAAACGCGATTTCTATCTCTGGACTGTGGTTCGTGAGTCGGGCGGAATTTCTGATATTCCTAACACATTTGTTTTTGCCCATTCTTTAAAACAGAGACCCAGAGAATGAAGACGAATGAATTTAGAATCTATCAAATTAAAAGTTTTATGTTTTTCAAACACTTGTTTATAAAGGGCTGGTTCGCAAGCATTTGTTTCTCACAAAATCCACATTTGATTCCGTTAAACCGACGGCCGGCCATAAAGCTTTTGTTTTAAAATAATAATTATTAACATAACAATAGCCTCGAATGACTGCACAGCGAATGACCTTAACATCCATTTTAACAACGAATATTATGAACACCTTGCTGTCTGTGCCCTGTAGAAGGCTTCTGTGCGTACAACTCTCTTTGAATTTTTACCGACTTTTGACAGAGGATCGACTTTAAGATTTTGTTTTCGCTTATCACATTTGCAAAAAAAAGTACATATAGTTAAACACACTTTGAAATTTATTTTTAAGATTTTTAACTTATTAAAAAAAAATAAAGTTACTCACCTTTATACGAGAATCTGGTGTCCGGATTCCTTCCATACCCTGGTTCTTCATTATCGGTTATCAAAACCGGCCTCGTAGTTATAACGTTACCATCAGGCCGAGATATATAACTGGGACCATCTGGCCTCTCCTCAAATTCGTAAACCGGTTTTTCATTTGGCCTGTCTTGGTTGTAAGCGGGTAAACTTTGGTTGGAATAACCGGGTTTATCCGGATAAAGATTATCGGGTCTGTATGCTGTTTCGGGGCCAGGTTTCGAACCGTAACTATCGTCATATGCTGTATTAGGTTTATCTCCATAGCCGGGTTCGTAACTTGGCTTTTGGTTGGGTTTTGTTCCAATGCTTCCACTGTAACTGTTTGTTGGTTTATCTTGAATTGGCTCCCCATAACCAGCTGGCTTCGGTCTTTCATTGTCAACATAACTATCAGGTTTTGAATTGTAACTGGGCTTGTTTCCATAAACGGAATCCGGTTTTGTAGATTGGTATCCGGCTTGATAACTGGGTTTACTATAGGCGGTTTCAGGGTTAGGTTTGATGTATCCCGTTTCTCCATAACCGTTGGGTTTATTTGAATTTCCATTTCCGTAACCGTTACTAGGCCTGTCGTAATTATTTTGTTGCGTCTCGTAACTTGGTTTTGGTCTATTGTGTGGTTTTTCTTGGTTATATAATGGTTTTTCATATGGTCTTTTATAACCATACATATCGTATAAATGATGAGTGCCGTAACCAAGATGGCTGCCGAAAAGTGAGTTTTGATCATAAGAGGGCAGATTGTATGGTTTATTTGATTCATATTTGTTGTAGGTTTGACCCGCGCTTTGTGAATGTTGGTTGTATGCATTGTACTCGAATTTGTCATAGCTGGAAGGTCGATGTAAGCTATTCTCATAACCATTTGGCCTATAGCCATAACTATTATGGCTATTAACAGCACCAGAAGCACCAGAAGCTGTATTGCCATAAGCAGTTCCAGAGTTTTGTCCATAAGCAGATTCAGAATTGAGGCTGCTTTCATAAGCACTACCACCACTTTGACTACTATAGCTTCCACCAGTAGTTAAACTACTACCATAGGTGGAACTACTTTGACTACCTCCATAAGCGTTACCAGCACTTTGACTACTATAGCTTCCACCAGTAGTTGAACTACTACCATAGGTGGAACTACTTTGACTACCTCCATAAGCGTTACCAGCACTTTGACTACTATAGCTTCCACCAGGAGTTTGACTACTACCATAGGTAGAACTACTTTCACTAGCTCCATAAGAATTACCTGCACTTTGAGTACTATAACCATTTCCTGCTGTATCACTACTACCTTGGCTATTACCATAATTCGAAGCAGAATTTAAACTTGAGCCATACCCATTTGCAGAAGACTGGCCATAAGTATTATGATCACTGCTTGGTCTATAACTGGGTTTTTGAGAGGTTGGTTTATACGTTGTGCTACCGTAGCCATGTATCGTTTGACCAAATTTATTCCTATCGTATTCGCCCTGAGGTCTCACGGCATAACTACTTTCTTGATACCCATAGCTACCATGGCTTGATTGTTGATAGCCGTAATTTTGGCCATACCCAGATGAGCCCTGACTATAACCATGATATGGTCGCTCATTTGGCCTAAAGCGGGGCGGATCATATATTTCAACATGGATGTCATTGTTGGAATTCCCATAGCCACTAGCATATTGACTGTTGTAACTATAATATGGTTTTGACTCTTGATTTGGTCTTTCATATGCGGGTCTTCGATTCGGACGTATAAAATATTCATACACCGGTTCCTCTGGTTTTAATGCATAATTATTATCTTGGTGTGGGAAATAATCTGGTCTAGGATTAGGTCTAGGTTTGTAAAGATCGACTTCGTGATAAGGTATTACTTGCGGTCTATGAGGGCCGTAGCTCGGTTTGTCTGGAATATCTGGTCGCTCAGGTCTATAGGGTATCTCTTGGGGTCTATGTAACCCATAACTGGGTGGTCTGTCATCTGGCCTATAGTCCGGTCGTGGTTTGTAAGGAGTTTCTTGCGGGGTATGTACACCATATTTAGGCGGTCGGTCTTCTGGTGCAGCTGGGGTTGGCCTATATGGTGTTTCTTGAGGCTTGTGCAGTCCGTAGCTGGGCGGTCTATCATCTGGTCGTAAATTGTCATAGCCATCTGGCCTGTCGCTTGCGCTGGGCCTGCCGTATGGTTTTGTAAATTCCCTATCTGGTTCATATGGTTTTTCATAAAATTCATCAGCTAATGGGCGCTTATCTTCTTCGGGTCTGATTACGGGGCGATGTAGAGGTCCATTCTCTAATACTTCCTGATCCAAAGGTGTGGGTGGTGATTGTTCACAGTGAAACCGTCTAACGTATACGTCATAATCAGGATTACGTGATAGAGGTTTTTCATCTTTGATTTGGTTTTCGTTGATGTTGCTGAGGTTGCAAGTGGAATTTCCTTTAGCACCGACGCTGAAAGATGTAAAAAAATAAAAATAAGAATGGAATGAGTTTAATTGCTGCAAACGTCAAAATTGTAAATTTTTTTACATCAATGCGCAGATACGTACATATTGTATTTTTAATAGACTGTACTTCTTAATTATTAAATTATACATATATAACGAAAATATAACATGATTTGTACCTACAGTTGGATTTTGAAGCTATGATTTCGTTCGGTTTCAACATTATACAGAGATCAGTTCTCTTAGAGTTTAAACCCACTAGGGGTTTACTAGAACTGAATTCTCGGCGAATTTTTAGAACTAAGTAATGATACTGCTAGAGCCAGACTAGCCTAACTGCAATTTTATAGCTTGGCTTATTTATAATTTCATCGTCTAAAAATGGTAATAAGAGCACAGTGACCAAAAATTGTTAACATAATTCTTACACAAATAATAGTACAAATTCATTTTCGCTTAAGTTAATTGAGCATTTTTATTTTCCTCCTTAATGAAAATCATGTTTTTTGTTATTAGGCCACTCTAGCTCTAGCAGCCTCAAATATCATTTAAATATTATAGTATTTACCCGTAATCATACGTCTGGCACTGCTTATCTTGTTTGCAGATTTGCTCACACTCCTTTGTAGTTAGTTCCGTTACGTTTCTATAGATGGCGTCAACTGCTATTTGTTCTCCAATCGCGATACGCTCGAAGCAATCTGCAAATTAAAATCTAAAGTAATTGTATGTTATAAGGAAATTTAATTATATCTTTGTTTTAAAACTACATTGGTTTAATATTGTGAAAATGGCTTTGCATATTCGCAAATCCACAGACCGAATCCAAAACGCAATTAAACTTGACGGATTTTTCAAACTGGTCCGGGACGGGATTTCGGTATTCTTGTCGCTTATTTAGTATCCAGATTTCCAGATGGAGTTCAACATGTTTCAGAAAAATTGAAAATTGTTGAGAATTAAAATTAGAAAGATGTGGGCATCAAACCTACGACCCGTCAACGTCTCCATTTGAGTTTTAAAGTCAAAGTTACTAATCCTATTTATACTTTTGTTATCTGCCGAAACCGTTGGTCGCGTCTCTCCAGAATTTGAGGTTGGACCATTAACGCAATGCAAGGTGTTTAAAAGCTGAACGGCTATAACATCATACAGACATAACAAAACAATATAATTATACACAGATATAAGTAGAATACTACTTAAAAGTAAGGTAATAATATACATAAATCCGCTATAAACTATCTTAAAATTAAAAGTCCATATCGAAGTGAAAAGGGAGATCTGGAAAACTATTAATTAAATCAAATCATTTAATCCACACATACACAGAGACATAAAAATATAATGACATAAATAATAAACTTTTGTTGTGCCTGGAAGAAGGCACAACGCCTATTTTCAGTGATGCCCCACGCTTGACATTTGAAGTAGAACTAGAACTAGTAGAAAATTATTACATTGAAAGCATTGTAACAAATAAAAACATTTAAACAGAAAACCAAAAAAGATTTTTTAAATCTATACTAATATATAAAGCTGAAGAGTTTGTTTGTTTGTTTGAATGCGCTTATCTCAGGAAGTACGGATTCGAATTGAAAAATACTTATTTTTTGTTGGTTAGAGCATTTATCGAGGAAGGTTATAGGCTAACACATTGCAATGTGACTAATAGGAGCGAAGATACAGCGGGAAATGTGACAAAAATTGGAAAAATTATTCATCATTGTGGGTTTTCGAGGCCTACGCTGCAAAAACGGTACAAGATACCCAAAAAAAATATGTACTAAAGAAAGATTCCTCTTTAAATGATCTAAAAAAACCACGACGCTATATGTCTATCTTTTAAGATTATCCTGCAAGAACGACGGGAAGGGACGCGACCGACGTCGTATAAAAGAACAATTCCATGCGGGCGAAGTCGCGAGAGTACTAGCTAGTCTTATATAAAAAAACTTATTCATACTACGAGTACTTTAACTAACACAGTCTAGAATGGTGGTCCTATCTTAAAGTACTAAAACTAGGAAAAAGGTTGGTCTTTTCTTTCGTAAGGAGCGCGCGTCTAACTTTCGACATAAGTGTCGCATTGTCTTCTCTCGCAACGTCCGTTATCGGACATCGATATTGTAGTGTTATGTAATTTTTACCGAATTAGTTAGGCGTAAAACGATTCCACTTTATATTAGTCGACCAATTCTTGTATCATAGTCTAATATTAAATCAGATTATTTTCAAAAAACTTTAATATTTTTCACATCATATGACAAAAAAGGTTAGAGCAACAGCACGGATCCACAGGATGCCGGTTCAGATCCTGCCCGAGTCGTAGTTTTTTTTCAATTTAAAATCGATGAATATCATTAAAGTATGAAGGGATCTTTGTTATTCTTACACGCAATAAATCTATATACTTATATTAATACCATAGTATCAAACGGCTAGAAATTGGTAGAAATATTAAGAATAAATTGGTTCAAAACTTTAAATCCTTTAAGACTTTAATTTTAAGGCGTTACTTCAAATAATTGGAATTTGAAAAAATTCTTAATTGAAATTCATAGTTATTAAAATATAGTTTAATTGTAAGGTCCGATATAGTGGTATCGTGTTACTGTTTAAGATGTAAACATAAACTATATAATTTTATATACTCGATATTAATAAAGTAGGTATACGCTAGAATCTCCAACTTAATTTTTTATATATAATTAAGAACTTACCTTCAACCGAAGTCCCCAACAAAGAGTCTATGGTCAGCGTCAAGACAGCAGACGCGAGCAGACCTGGCCACAGAACTAGTAAATACATCATTTTTACCGACAGCATAATATTAATTGAGCATTAAATAAAAACTCCTTCGATTCAAATCTTCCAAACGTTCGATAAACTGTCAAATGTCAATTTGAAAAAGCGCGGTAAACTTTTTAATTTTAATCTCAAGGATACGACCGGCCAGGTTTGGTTTAGCAAATATTGTGGCGCAAAGCTCGACTCGCTCCGTGAGCTTGTAATTGAAGATGTGTTCGAAATCCTCACAGACCATTGTTCTTTACATATGAAATAGTTGTACTTATTTTTTATAAAACAGTCATGTTGTCTGGCAATATGCTATTTCTTCATGTTAAAGAAACAAAAATTGCCTACCTCATCCTAGGCACTAGTACTAAAAAAATGGTTAAAAAAATAGGGAAAGGAATAAAAAAGCAAATGATGTCGTTATTCCTTAAAAAAAATACTTTTTGCGACCAAACATACGTACTTGTAATTGTGAATTTCAGGTTAACACGAGATATCAAACCTTGAATCTGTCCTGCTTATTACACCTAAACCAATTTCTTAATACATTTTCGCCTTGCAAAAAAATGTAGCAAAGTCGGGTGATGAGGTCGTCGAACTCGGCCATCCTTTAATAAAATAATAAAAACAGTTACAACGTAGGAAATCTTAGCGTGAATCATGAAACAATTATAATTTAAATGAATTAACATGGCAGTCCCACGGCTGAAATGTCTACTATTATTATGAAGATGATTCATTTTACGTGTATGGTACGTCATAAGGTTGGATCAACACAGACTGAACAAAGAAGAGTAATTAAAAAATCTTTGTACCGATATATATATATATATTAATTCCAGTTATGTTTTCAAGTATATAAATTGTAATTTTATTAGAAAAATAATCCAATCCGCTTAATCCAATAGATTACTTACTATTCATTAGTATTCTTCTGAAATTTAAAAGATTGTGATTGAGGGAAAACTTTAAGAAAATAATCGTCGTGCCTACCGGTACACAATTGTATTTATAATTTTTGAATTGTTGACTCTAGCCCTCAGCCATAAAGAATGTCGGTATCCAGTAGTGTAATTCCCAAAAAAAGGCTAATATTGCAAAGCCATGTCCATAAAATATTTCGTTAAAACTAAAAGCCTCCGAGGTAATTAGTAGTTTCTAATCAAGGTTTATCTCGATGTATGTGCGAAATATATTAATAACAGCTTTTGGATTAGTGCAGGATACAACTCACGTATTTGTTTTTGAAACACTATTTTTTTTTTAAGGTACGTCTTCTCAGTGCATTTTGAGTTGTCTAATGGTGCAGAAACAAGGAAAATTAAAGTTTACATTATTTTTACAAGTATAGCAATTTAGCAAACAATACTATATTACATAAAATATATTTTAAAAATAACCGACTTCAAAAAGTAAACTAAAAAAAAACAAATAGAAATGATTTCTGAAATATTATTGATTATTTTTATAATAACACATTGGAAATAACTTTTTTTCCAACAAAAAAAAACATATAGGTATACGAATCGAGTTGAGAACCTCCTTTGTTTGAAGTTGATTGATTTATTAATTAATATAAAAAATACGCCCAATATATTTTTAAATAGAACAAGGTATAATAAAATAATACAATGGTGTTTGTAAGTAGTTCTCGCTGCCTTAGTTTGCCATGAGATTGTTAACTACCCTCTTATTTTCCCATATGTTATAATAAATATAGTCTTTAATTAACGCGAGAGTAACTTTCAAATGAAATAATTTTAACAGTTTGAAACATATTTTTAACTGCGATCGACGTTTCGAGCGTCTGAGGCTGCTGCACTTCATCGAAAACGTTGGGCTTTAGCGTTTAAACTGTTCATTGTTTTATTTACATATTTAATTCTATTCAGTTAGAAGTGACTATCTTACATCCTATTGACTTTTGTCAAACCGAAAATGACTGTAAATAAATACTTAGTTTTATTCGTATTTTTCTCGAACTTCAAAGATAATACGGATCGGACTTTCAGTTCGTTCCTTAAAGGATTCCAACATCACTCGTATAGAGATAATTACTCAGATATCGCGATAACGACTCATTGTTTTATTTCCTACGTCGGTCGATGACTTTACAGGTTTTTTGTTAATATTATGCGTCTCGAAACCGTTTTCTTGGCTATAAAACCCTGAGAGCAAACGTCGGGTCCGGCCCAATTCGATCGAGTGCGATAAATCACACGACATATGGCGTGCGATATATTGCAATAGCAAATATCTATTTCTATGTTAAAGAGCTAAACATAGATAATAAATTTATATTATAAATTAGGTATTGGCAAAACTCTCATACAAATATTTGTTTACAGTCCATAAGTAACAATAAATATCGTATATGTTCCGATTCTGAACAAACAAGAAAGTCTAGTAACTTATATAGTAACCCTTATATACAATAGAGGCAATTAAAACACATAATTTAATTTAAATGTTTATTTTTCCTTTATATACCTTACACCTAAGCGTTTCGATTCAAATCAAATACTTTAATGAAATACTAAATTAAAAAGAAAACGCGTACAATAATTGTGTTGCTCACATTTGTTTAAATAAATTCAATGTTTAGTGGATTTTGAAATAAATTTATATTTCATTTTTAAGTTAATCGCCGAAATAAAGTCTCTGGATTTTTTAACTATAAACATGACATTGCAAATATCGAAAATCAGAGAATCGGCGCTATAAGACATTGTGACATAGATAATAAACATTGTGTGCAACACACTTAAAAATTAACGCTAGAACTTAATTGTTGAATGCTTATAATTAAGAAATCTATACTAATCCTTAACCCCCCTACTTTGTTTGTTATTTTAATATATTTAATTCAATCAATGCGTAAAATCTTGTGACAAAACCAGGAAATTTAAATGTTGAATAATTAACACACAAGTAAATTTTAAAGATATTTATTTTGTAAGTACGTTATTCGAATTAAAAATGGTCAAAGTATAATACAATGCTGAATCTATAGTTTTAATTACATAAGTATTACCATATCACCTTAGATAAAAAGATTGTCTTATCAAATCAAACTAGTCTGGATAATAACAAAAATACAAGTTTCAAAATATATTACAAACATTTTTTTGCCGTTTTGTTTTTTGTTGTTTTTTTGTGTTTTTCAACTTTTTGCTTTTGCTCTAACCCGGAGAGGGATTAAACACGACGACGTAATGCTTAAAAGATAAGATAAAAATGTTCTAAAATTGCAGTTTTGAACAAAAAAAAAGTAGTCGATTCCAAAGCTGGAATTCTAGAATATTCTCTACGACAACCTCGCCGTTTGATCTCCACCAAACCTGAATAAGATGTTTCCAAGAAAGTCACACATACTTTGATGTATTGTTAGTAACGGTTAAGACACTGTTTATGAAGAAATCAAACAACGAGGCTACGATTATCACTAAATACCTAAATACTATAAGACTTGTTGATTACCATAGACTATTCAAGCGATTATTTAGTGCATTAAATACTGTTAAATGGCAACATTGGTGACAGCGTGTTCCAAATTCGAATTGAATACTGTTGTGTGGTGCGTTTAAAGATAAGTGAAAAATACTGAATTGCTGTCACAAAACGGGGTTGCCAGGTTGAAAGAACGATCCGAAAGGTTTTAAACGATACGTTATCCTCTATAAATTTTAGATTAAAACAAAAGTGTGAAGTGATCACTAATTCGAGTTAAAAGTATAGATATTTTTTGACAAAAATGTTACAGAACCTACGATGACAATATACTACGAAACCGTTACCTGGCAACCCTACTGCATGTTGTAGTGCAAGAACATGTACGCGGGGTTTGCGATGTCGGCGGCGAGGGGCGAATTGGGGGCGAGGAGTTGGAATCCCATGAACATGAAGGTGCGCAGGAGTGTAGCGCGATCGGGCCGAGTTTTGAGCACGCAGATGATGCAGCTGAAAAATTATCCAAATTATTAATAATTTCAATGATAATTATCCCGGAAATGAATCCAAGACTGAGTATTTAAGAAGAGCTCAGAAGTTGACTTGAAGAAGAAAATACTAACTTAGAGCAGCGCAGTCTCTCCTCAGCGAAATCAAGAAGCAGCATAAAGCTCTCTTTGCTGCCCGACTGCAGTACACCAGGAACACGGAGGTACATGGTGTTGCCCTTTACCACCTGCAATGAACCACAGCAAAATATATTACAAATAAAACAGGTAAAGAGAAAAGAAAGAGTTTGGAGTTACACATATATGTGCTTATTTTTAGCACTTTTACTTCATCGAATATGAAATATCCCAAATAAATAATATCTAAACAAGATGCTATGTTGCCCTAATGCTAGTTTGTCTTTGAATATTGGCAATCTACAAACTGAACCCGAAATACAAATTTTTATATCACGGCTTTTCCTTCAGTGTTTCTACCATAACTTTAAAATCTAAATTTCCCTACGAAGTTATCAATTAAGTTATCAATTGGTTAGAATCATGTTGATCGTCAACGATACGTTGCTGAATTTAGAACAAAAAGTTTCGAAATAAATGTATGTATAAATTTATCGAATTATGTGAATTTCCCGGACCAGTAATAATACTTGCACAATAATAAATCTGAATGTATCTTGCCAAGGCACCACTTCTTTGCAAATACACAGGCAGAGCATAATTAACTTTTTGAGTATTGCCCCTGGAGATGACAATATTCCCTTCTACTAACAAACGCCGCATGAGTCAAATGAGCACTTACAGCCTCCCAGCGCGTGAAGGTGTTCTCAGTGAGATAGATCTTGAAGTCTATCTTAACCGCCTTCGCATCCTTGCGCTCCAAGATCTTTCGGATGGTCTGAAATTTTAATGTTCTAACATTAATGGAGGTAGGGTCACTCAATATTTTTAAAAATTATGAATTCGTTGAAAGATCCCTTTACTGCTGAAGCTACAGTTGGTTCAAAAAATGCTAATACGTGCTGAACTCAGTACTGACCGCTTCCCTCTGCTCGGGGTCCACGGGGGGCACAGTGCTGTCCGAGCTGAGGCTCTCCTCGCTGTTGCTGAGCGAACTAACGCTTGACCATAGTAGAGTACTCAACAAGTCACCTGAAGAGGAGAACAACAGTAACCTTAATGAACTTAGTAGACACGGACAATGTATACTGGGCACAAGCTGAAAGTGATTCCCCTTTTTCGCTATTAGTGCCCTATTAAAAGACGTGCTATGTATAGACTTAATTCATGCTAGGCATCAAGATGTATTTATTAGGAATACGTACGGTGGTTGTCGTCGTGAGTGGGTGTTGAAGGGGTAGCGGGGCTCGAAGCCCCGCTGACCACCCCTCCGGGCGGTGCGGGCACGTGAGCAGGGACATCAGGACCACCTGGCAACAACAAGATTTAAATACCTACAGATTCACTTGAAATATATTTAAAGTTGACGGTTGATGAAATGCGTCATACAACATCAAATTAAGATGCGCGTTGTCTATCTATTTTGGGATACAACATTCGGAAATCCACTGAAAATAGAAACCGATTCAAATATCACCCGTGGAATTTTCTTTTTAATTTTACACCTCATAAAACATCCATATCCATTGACATAAATATTTTTAAATAACTGAACTCCTTGAATTTAAACCACTCTCACAAGTTGACTATCCAATGAGAAAAGATATTGAATGGGACTACATTTAGGTCTATGAAATGCTTTAAGCAAAGGCACTTACCACAGAGGCCCGGCGCCCAGGCAGAGCGAGAAGCACTCGGCGTCCGAAGCCGACAAAGCCGACCGCTTGCTGCCCGCCCCGCTCAGGGAGGAGGCGTCGTCACCGCTGAAAATCATAATAACAGCGTTAGCATTGTCAGCATCATCTTTTATCGGCGTCAGTAACTGTCACAGTTGGGGTCACAACAGATCTACTATCTGGGCCTTGATGGATCCTTAACCTACTTGTTCTTTTATTTACAATGATTGCAAGCATATAATTAATGCAAACAACATACAACATTCTATGTTTTCTAAACGTACAAAATATACCTTAAATATTGTCTTCTGTTTACGCCACTTAAATAAAACACTTTAACGTTTTAAAACGCAATATATATTAGTTAAACTTATTTGAACTACGGTCACCCCGTAGCTACGACTACTGGAAAGAATCTAAAACCGTTAACGGGTTTTATTTAAATATCTTATATATGTAACATCAATAGTTATTTGAAAAGTAGCATTCAAATATTGTTAGACGTCATATTGAGATCATACATGAGGCACTTTCTAGACTGATTGGATAAGAAGGCCTAACTAAAGATAAGTGCCACATCCTTATTATGGCAGAGTAACAGCTTTATACACATTTTTTAAGCCGGGACATTTTTAATGACATATAATGCTTAAGACAAGGTACAATTCTGACACCGTTATAAATTATCTTTATTTACAAAATGAACGGCTACACTAGATTTACTTCATAACACTGTAAATAGCTGAATAATATTTGCGCACATAATACAACTTGAGTTTTATAAGACTTTAATACTAGAACATTTACTTTTATTTAAATAAGGGTTTTGTCATAAAAATTTAGTCTTCAATACTTTTATCTTAATCCTTAACAGTTTATTTGTTGGGTATTATGTCAAGTACATAAAGATTTAAAAAATATGATAATTAAACAGAATTGTTAGAAAGCAAATAGCCAAGCTTTTAAAATATTTTTTACAGAAAAAGCCTAATACATAAATAAATGTAATTATTCAAACACGTTTTGTACCACACATACTCACCAGTACAGTTTGACAACCATTTTATAATGTTTTAATAAGAATTTTAAAACGTCTCAAAAAATATCACAAAATGGAATGTGCAGAAGAAGTGGTTTATTTTTACTTTGTCAACGATATTTTAACGGTTTATGGAAAATCTTTTTGACGCTGTATGCCATAAACGGCTTTTTGATAACTTCTGATTATTGCTGTCGACCGATGTTGAGGAAATCTGAAGAGATACTGAGAATTCAGGATAAACATTTCCTATGGAGCGTTTGCCAAAGTATAAATAGAATGAAACGCAAAAGACAATTTGTTTAAAAAGCCGGCAACATTGGCATCAATTTTGCACTTTATTGTTGCTAATTACGCGTAAAGGCAAGAATAGATCTTAGACGCCCTATTAACGGTGTAAAGATGTAGATGAGTAGATTTAGAACTATCTTTAGCCAGGGAATTTCTTTAATAGTTTCGTAAGGTCTTAACACCAAAAATACCTTTAATTGCACTTAGGGTTATCATGACTTTTCTCATGTTATCAGTAAGTATATCACTATACATATATCTATGAGCATCGTTATTAGTAAAAACGTATTTTTACAAACCTTTAAAAAAAACGGCAAGACGTGTCGGATGGTTTACAGCAACTGTTGTAAAGTCGAATTGTAAAAAAGTTAACCATAACCAATATTGCGCGTTTAAAACCGTTAAAAGTGTTTTATTTAAATTACAAACTAAAGACAGTATATAATAAACAGCCACTAATAATTTGGATCAAAATCAGGCAAGGAAATAATTAGTTACTGAAACATAAACGGCGCAACGCATTGGAAAGTTTACAAACATCTGCCGTGCTGGCAAGATGTTTTATTTATTAGAATGCACGACCCTGAATCAAAAGAAGGGTCATTTTGTATGAATGTATGAATGGGACCTTGAGAAACGTACTTTTGCTGAGGCTTCGTAATTCAATTTTCACTTAGTAGCAACATTCCAAAGATAACGTTGAATTATTTATTTCGAAGAATATGTAGAGTAGGTACGAATATATGCTTTACGGCTACGAAATAGTCATAATATAAAAACATGTTCGCTTCGACATATCTCACTCAGGAGGGTAGACAGACCTTCTTGTTAAGTTGTTGTAAAAAGAACAGTCAAAATTCAAAGCTAGCGAACTATTCGGGACAATAAATCAGTAGATAAAATGTTCTCGAATCGTGCCTACTAGGCCTGTGGTTTAGAGATATCGAAATTTAGGCACAATATATTGTTTCTATACTTTTCATTCTTACTGACATCTTATACATATATATTTCTATTAACTCAATGACCTATATTTCGAGCTCTAGCCATAATATACTTTATTGTAATCATAACATACGTTATGTATAGTCAAGTGACCGCAAATAGAAACGTGACTGTTAATCTCATAGGTTAAACTAACACATAAATTATTATCTGTAGTTAAATGAATCGCAATTACCTCGAGATATTTATTGTCTGTCTGTGAAAAACAAAGATATTATAAATCTACTTGCTGTGCACATTTTTTTGGTAACTTAAACCGTGTTTGCAGGATACGATGGGGAAACCCGCAAAGATGCATGATTGTCCCCTTTTTCTCCCCATATCCTGCTGTTTTTTTGGTCCTGACTAGCCACAGCTCGTTGTTTTGTCATAGTCTATAAGACTTCCTCGATAAATGCTCTAACAAAATAAAATATTTTTTCAAATCTAAAACTTTCTGAGATTAGCACGTTAAAACAAATAAACTATTCAGCTTTATATATTAGTATAGATAAAGATTACTGTTGCTATTTTATCTACATACGCGTAGATATTTGGCCAGATTTTTTTGCTCTACATTTATTTTAAAATTATAGATAGGCATTTCATTTAATTGTATATTATGACTGTAGGCGTCACTGTTCCGCCAATCACTAGCAGTTCCTTGATCCACAATACCTAGTTTTTCTTCTCGTATAGGGTAAATGCTAACTCAACTATACTAGCCAAACCATTTGCGTCAAAATTTGAACCCGTGCCATATTACACGATAAACTTTCACGTAATTAACATACCTAACGCCATCTTTGTAATATTTAAACCAGAATCTTATACATATAGTATTTTAAATATGTCAAGGTAGCTGATAACATGTTTCAGGTTAGACATCAGCTATGTTTAGATGCAACGGGGGAAAATACATTTTTTATACGGTCAAGTAAGGTTAACCTGCAATATAAATAACGAAAGCTGTTATATTCGAGGCATCAGTGCTTATTTATAGAGATTATTGCTTTTTATTATGCCTAAAACTATATCACGTTTCAAATGTAGCTAATGCCACGGTGAGTCGAAGTGAGAAAACCTTCAAGTAAAACATACATTCACTTTACAAATACGATGCTTTCAATTTCATAACTAACGGGTTGAAAACTAAATGTTAATCATCAATACAAATTTCTCTTTAAAAACGACGTCATGTGTCATAGACAAAATTTCACCGGTAAAATAAAATTCCATAAACACGCCCCACGTTTTAAAAATAAACCGTAAACACTTCTCGCGCCAGAGCACGTGATCATTGTTTATTTGGGTTCGTCCGCCATATTATTTTATCGACATTGCAAATGGCCGCCTCAGCTGATGTGCTCGCGGGCTCCTACCTATATACATATGTATGTGTCATTTTCTAGATAAAACAGCAACAAAAGCTAGTTTTTATAGACCACCTAGTTTCTGAGTAAAACACTTTGAAAGTAATTACAAAACTATATTGATTTATTATGTGTGCGGCTTACAAAAATATTAGCGATACCTTCTTAAATTCCTTACTCCAATTAGAAGTACAATATTTAAAAACTTCCGCAAATATAGAAGATATTCCATGTACTCTTCTCCATCATCATTAACTTTCCTCCAGGCAAGATATCTGCCACTTAATTAGAGGAAGTTAATTTTTTATCATGGAAAAACCACGCGAACATTTTCAAGCTATTAAAATTGAGTTAATAGCATAAAATTGTAGTGCAACGGGGTGCGATTTGATTGGACTTTTTTTAACGTAGCTTTTTATTTAATTCTTCTTAGTATATTGTTAAGAAAAGACACCTTCTGTTTTAACGAGGCGATATATTTAGCCCTATCTGTAAGTAGGTACATCTCGGTACATGAGTCAATGCACGTACGCAAGACTTGAATTACATAAGTGTGTATCACATTTATATCATGGAAAATTTCATTGCTTATCCACCTTCATATATTTAACTTTAAACAGTTTAAAAATAAAAATAAATAATGGCAAGCCGATATCCAATATGTTAATCTATATGGACATCTGCCATCCCTCTTTGTTAAAGAATTGTACAAATGCCTTTTCCTAGGGCCAAAAACTGTGTTATCTACCAATATGCAATTAAAAATGTGTTTTAAATGAAAATAATTTCACCATATATCATACCCTGATAAGATTTGATCTTGAATACAAAAAATTATAAAAATGCCTATTGTTGTTTGTTATTTTTTGGCCACATGAAGTGATAAAATTTCTAATTAATCTCAGAAGTACTAAGAATCCGAATATGTCTATTAATATAGGAAATTATAAGCTGTTAAACTATGCCATACTATTACTTATAAAATAGCAAACTGTAGGTGTAGTAGTTATAGGTACCAAAAGTGAAATATGAATCAAAACATGAAATCTAATAAACTTTATAAAGCCCATAAATCGTGATAACCTCAGTAAATAAAGCTTATCACACTCAAAGTCACATGGTGATAAGAATAAATGTAATGCATTTGTATTTTCAAAAGATTTCTCTTGTAATTTGTTTAAGTAATAAGATTGTATTTTTAGAATAAATGTTAGTCTCATAAGTACTTTAGTTTTATTATCTTTGACAGCTACTCGCTCTATTTTTAAATAATTTGCTATTTCTACTACCTACTTTTACTAACATAATCAAATGCACAATCCGTTTATTACCATATCCCATAAAAATGCTTAATAGATTAGAAACAATATGAAGTCACTAGAGACAGCGGCCTGACTGCAATTTTTATGACTCAAGTAATTTGTACTTTCATACTCTGAAAACGTTAATCTACAAGAGCACAGTGACCTAGTTTGTTAACAATTTTTTATACAAATAATAGTTAAATTCATTTTTGTCTAAATTACTTGCAAATTTTTGATTTCCTCCTTATTGGAAATCATGTTTTTGATATAAGGCCACTCTGCCTCTGGCAGCCTCGTATTTAAGCTCAAAATGGACATTGCACACCTATTTCATAGTGACATTCTAGAACTCACAGCGAGGTCATATGAATTAAGCCGCTCAATTAGCTGGCAATTGTCCATTGAAAGCTATCAATATGATGTGGTATATGATGTAGTAATAGCCAAGATTCACTGTGTTTTCAATTATGTTTGGTCGATATCACAATATTTTATATACCTTACATGGTTTTAAGTAGACTTGCAACGAATATTCGGTTACTATTCGGTATTCGGCCTATTCGGCTGCTTTTATTATATTCGGCCGAATACCGAATATCTACATATTATTCGGCCGAATAACGAATACTTAAATAATATATTTTGTCATAGAGAAATAATTGGTAAAATGAAAAATTAAAATCGATTGCTTACGTATATATTCATATTTTTGTTTCTGTTATAATCATATAAGTAGTCATTGGTACATAATACTATAAAAGTAGTAATTGGTACATAATAATAACGAGTACGTTAGAACAAAACAAAGGAGCGCGAAACAATCACGTCTGTACAAGTTTTTGGAGCAAAAATCCAGCCGAATACTTTTGCCTAATATTCGGCTATTCGGTCAGGGGTCTCGCCGAATATTCGGTATTCGGTATACTGCCGAATATACTATTCGTTGCAAGTCTAGTTTTAAGTGATATTTTAGGTTATCCGCATTTTTTTTTATTACTGCACTTGTCAATCTGAAACTGTTATTACACAAAGGTATTTTTATATTTCCTTCTATAACCTCTGTGGAACAGACTCTCACAGAGGTTAATACACAATGGTTAATGTAAGCTAAAAACAACTTATTATCAATCATGATAAGATGGCCTGGATTTCAGCAAGTTGTACCTAAGAAAAGTACAGAAAAAGTCTTATGCTTCACATACATACTGTTGTTTCCACACCTTCATACTGTCTGATGTAGGTAGTTAGAATAAATTTAAAATTATATTATAACAACTTATTTCAAATATGTAGGTAGTTGTGACCTAGTTCCACTATGATGTTTGAACATACATGTACTTTTATTAATAATAAAACTATGTATATTGAAAAAAATAACTTTATATATAGGTGTAATAATACTCAATGTGTATTAAGCTCTAAAAGTGTTAACAATATGTAATTTGAATCAACCTACAGCAGTTATAACTGAAATGTTCACATATATCTTATATTCTTTTCAACATCCTGTTATCTGTGAGGCATATAAAAAAAAATTGTTAGGGTTAAATATACAAAATATTCTTGTCAATGGTTATAAATTATTAATAAATAATGTAGGTACTCCCATCTTGAAATATAAGTAAGGACTGAAATGGTAACTAATTGTGTGTACTTCTGGTATTTTATTAGATTGTCAGTAAACCAATGTGAAAGTTGTGATATTATGCTAAATCTACTGCTGTAAAACTTGGAATTTTAAGCCCTATATTACACTGTGCATCAACCACATAAGTATTAGCTTACATGGCTGTTAAGCCATGCAAGGTAACGGTGATCCAATTTATTAAACAAATCTGTAGGTTCTAAGTTGCGATCTAGTGATGACGTAGAACAAAGGACAAGGACAAACTATATTTTTACCATCATACGTAATACTTGAAAAAGTGAAGAAAAGGGGTTATATTAAGTTTCCGCTTACATCCAAAATGATAATTACTTACGAATAAAGAGAATATTTAAAAAAATGTAAATACTTACTAAAAGTTTTTAGTTTTGGCAGCATTGGGTTCAATCAGGACACCCGCGACGTCATAATAATTACTACTACTAAAATTTAACTGTTGTATTAACTTCGTCATCCTGGCAAATCGTATTTAAGCCTTTTACGTACTCGAAAAGAAAACACGGTCGAACCGTATGGTTTTTTTGCGCAGAAATCGCAAAACACGTCTTTCACAACAGAAAAGCAACGAAATTAATGTCAACTTTAACCAAGAACAACCTGCTGTCAAAGGTATTATACTATTGTTTTGAAAAACACCCGAGCCTCACTTTTTCTTGTCTTGTAAAGTTACTTTTTAATTTAGCCGTATAATAATATTTTTCCATGATGGCCGCCGGAAACATGACGTTTATTTTTTTACTGCTTGAGCGTTTCATTTTACGTAGGGCTACATGTTTATATATTTCCGATTATTGTATAATTATTTATAAAATACATATTTATGTATGAAAGTACTATATAAATTGCAGTATTTACTTCATTTAAATTTCATTCAGGTTAACTTCGACGTGCATAATTAATATTGTATAATTACAAAAAAATAGTTAAATAAGACCTTTACATTTTACTGTAACGGATATGGTTAATAAAGTTAATTTGAATAAAATAATACTATTTCATAGTTATGATTTAAAATAGAACTTAAACTTTAATATTTACAACAAAGTATACGATACTCCATACAATATATTCCTGGAATTATCAAGTTGTAATTTCGTTTTCATTGAAGTTTTGAATGCTTCATTCATATTACCTGCGTTACGTCACAGACATATGTCAAAATAAATCGATAGTGTTGTGTTGCGCAAAGTGTAAATCGATGTGTTTGTTATCAACTTACCACTTTTGAGAAATTAACGATGGCATACTATTTTTCTTCAGATCAATACTTTTAAACCTTTGTTCCTCTATCATGTAATTAGATGCCGGTAAGGCATGGAACGTCATAACTCCACTTGTGGTTTACACTTCACAAAAAACACACACAATTATGGTTTTCTTTTTAGTCTTTTCACTGTTACAAACATTAATGTCACTTTCACCTTGGCTGTGTGTTCTAGAATGTTTTATAGTGAGTAACGACATTCAGGCTTGAAAGCTTTTGCACTACTGCTCTTGCCGCAATCAAAAGCTATATTATAATGCGATATATCTGTAACTAAGCCTCACCCCTCTGTTTTTAGGGATGGTGGAGAGTCACACGGGTTGATATTTTTTGTTAGGTTTAATTGGCGCCTCGAGCTTAAGACCCACTCGTCTGTAGCACCATAATTCAATAATATAATGAAATAAGTCTGGATCAATCCATCTACAGGAAGACATAGGCGATCAGACCTATTGGCCATTTCCGAATAAAACACTTATTAATTCTTTTCAGGGATAAGAACCCAGGGGCTGTCGCCAGACAAGACGCAAATAATTTTCTAAAACAAAAACTCTAGTCCATAAAACGAGACTAGTTAAAAGATGTTTTAAAAGGTCAAAGTGGAAAATATCCTTTTCGACTATTTTAAATAATTCCAAACTATTGTTTGTAAAAATAATAATTTATAGTATAGATTACTAATATATAAAGCTGAAGAGTTTCATTGTTTGTTTGAACGCGCTATTCTCTGAAACTACTAATTCGAATTGAAAAATTATTTTTGTGTCGGTTAAAGCGTTTATCTAGAAGGCTTTAAGCTATAAGATATCACGCCAATAAAAGCAAAGAGACAGTGGAAAATGTGGAAAAATGAAAAGAACAATTAATCTTTATGGTTTCCGTTGCGTGCGCTGCGAAAACTGTTCAAAATACCCAGAAAAATTATATGATAGATTGACAATATATGTCTATCTTTTAAAATAAGCTTGCGAAAACAATGGAACGCAGCCAACGTCATGGGTAAAGCTAGTAATTATTATTAATCACCCCGTGTACAACAAAAATCCCATAGCGCATGTGCGGCCCGCCATCGTGACGTCACCCTGTTTGCAAATTCCAAAATATTTGTCGTTTTCAAAAATTTCTGAAAATGCTTTGCCTTAAATCTTGTTGTTTGATGCCCGCTTACGCCAGATGTTCTTTAAACAATTTGTTAACCTTTTTGAAACGTTTAAATTAGGGATAGATTATACATTTTATAATAATTATATATTATTTATAAAAGTAACATATAGTTACGTTTTCTCAATATCAGTCAAGCCGTTTAGGTAATATCAGCAAACTCATCTATAATAATATTAGAAAGATTGTGTCAATTTAGTTCCATAGTAAACGTTGCAACATACATTACAATTGTTATATTATATCAGTTTTTCATAGAATTCATTACATACTGACCGATATTTCGTTAATATTGTGACACTTATACTATAAATAGTGTGAAAACTATTATATTCCTCTATATTTTCATTAAACAGCAACAATGAAAGCTTTCTTCGTTATCGTTGTCGTGCAAGCAATCGCACTGGTGAGTTTTTCTATGATATATTTTTGTTTGTCCTAAAATTAAATATCGAGATAGGCTGCTAAAATGTATGCGCCTTTACTTGTTTAAAGAATTAATTATAACCACTGATTTTCCTTAATTAGCAAAGTTATTAATTTAAATTTAACAAAATTCAAGCGGAGCATAATTAAAGCAGTAGCAAAACCTCATACTTGACATGCGTAAGGCTTTGCTGCTTACAAGGCTTTGTTTCTTGTCTCTATAACTAAAACTTCAAGTTTTAAACTGTAATTTAAAAACTTATGAAACTAAGCTATTTCCTTAAAATACATATATGTATATCCTAATTTATGATTTCAGAGTGCTAACGCCCAGTGCCTAAGATCATGCGCACCAAACCTCCTCGCTGCCCCATTAGCAGCTCCCTGTGCAGCGCCTCTTGCTGCCCCTCTAGCGGCCCCTTGTGTTACCCCAACTTTGGCCCCAGCCCCCTGCCTAGCGTCCACAATGTCAGCACTTACTGCAGTCGGCCCTAACGCTGTTGCCAGCAGCCTTGCTGATACACTATCTTTACTGACTGTCAGCAGCCTGCTGGCTGAGAAATTACCGCTCGGCTACCCACTAGTGGGCCCATCTGTGGGCTGTGGCTGTGGTAACCCATTGGGCTATTCGTATGTGCTGTAATATCGTGATCCTGACCGCCTGTTTTCGTTTTTGGTTTTTTAAAGCTTCTAGACAAACTATTATATTACTTAAAAAGGATTAATTAGATTATTGTCATAATAATTACGTATCTTAAATTTTCGTATGTATAAGAATTTCTTTCTCCAATAATAAAACAATAGTCCTTGCAATAAGAAAGATCAAATTTCACATTTATTATTTTAGACAACAAAACACGGACGACTTTGAATAAAACCTATTTTATGTTGAAACTTACTTTTTTTATTTTTAAATGATTCTTGAATCCATTGTTTAATATAATGCTATCATCAATTTACGAAATCGAGCAACAAGCACGTACACATTGCAGGGAAATGCAATTAAAATAAAAGATAACACGTATTGTTATTTACCTCAGTAAAAGCAAAACAATGTTCTTTACTTAAAAATTGATATCGTGATTTTGTTTTACTCGTAGTTTTATATTTATTTTAAATATATGTCAAATATTATTCCTTAGATGAAGATTTTAAACTCGCCAATCCGAAAACCAATCATTCAATTTAATACATTCTTAGGTGTTGTCTGTTAACTCCTTTTTTCTTTCTCACTTGTGTAAGTAAGTCTTAACTATGGGAGATTAAAACCATTTTAAAATTGTCAAGAGTCAGCTTTAATAAAAATCATGTATGACAAACACTTTAGGATACCTTCTTAAAAGATTTGCTAAGATGAACATAAGCTATTTTTAATATACACTGCTAAGAATGCGATGGTCGATTAGTAATTTGTCTAGAAATACTAAGCACATTTTAACGATGTCAACCTTCCGAATATTCCTCCATATCTGTATCGGTGTCATTGTCAAGAACACTTACATTAACTGGAGAGTCATCGTAAACATTTGTATCGTTAGCATTTTCGTAGTCTTCGAGTTCTTCTTGATTTTCAATATCGTGCAGAATCGATGGTTCGTTTAATTCAACAGGAGGCGTTGAATGATTCTGAAAAAATAAATTACACAACAAAGTTCATTATAATGAATTTGACGGTCTCGTCTAATGGTAGCAATGTAGAGGTAATAAACAGGTCGTGGGTTCGATATGTTTCTAATTTTTCAATTTATATTTTTTCAGAAACACGTCGGACTTCATCTGGAAATCTGGATATTAAATGTGTAGTAGGAATATAGAAATCCCGTCTGGGTCACGAACCACCGTCCACAGACGAAGAATCACGGCTTATTCGCGCTCGGTTTCAGTCTGTGGATTTCCGAATATCCAAAACCAATATAGGCCGACAGCGTATCTTTTTGAGATGCTTAGGCATGGTAGGTATTTTACCAACCATCAAGTGAAAACCATGCTTGTCTGTTCTCCTATATAAAAAAAGATTTAAGTAATCAATGCCATTCGTTCAACACGCGTGGGTCTTGAATCCACAAACAAAGCGTTCCGTGCTTTGCTCTTATCAAATGAGATACAGTACACACACGTTTTTATCCACTCTATTTTTAATTTGTATAACGCTATCATGTGCAAGAACATGTGAATTATAATGCTTGAAATGACATTGAATTTATAAAAAGGACGCTTTTTATCGCAAATAATTCGTAGTAGTTGAACTTTAAGTAATAAGTAAAATAATAAAGTACAAAGTAGTTAAATTCTACTCCCTCCAAATATCTTCTAATTAATGTTGCGACTTGATTGTTTACTGCTTATGCGTGAAATTGTTTGTAATATAACTATATATACATGTATAAATGTAATGTGTGCTGAGACGAGGGCGTCACGGAAAAACTCGAATGAGTTTTTGTTGACGCTTATGTTAAAAATAAAATGTAAAAATTTTGAATAAATAATAATAAATAAAATAAAATAAATACATATAAAGTCTAACAGACACTTATTTGCTTATAAGCTGAAGAGTATGTTTGTTTGAACTCGCTATCTCAGGAACTACTGTTTCGTTGGCACTGTTGGTAAGAGCATTTATCGAGGAAGGCTATAGATTATAAAACATCGCGCTGCAACTAATAGGAGCGAAGAAGCAACAGAAAATGTGTTAAAAAGGGGAAAAAATATTCATCCTTGTTTCCGGTGCTAATGCGTACGCTGGAAACACGGTTCAAGATAACCAAAAAATATTTATAAAAGAATGATTCCTCTATAAATGATCAAAAAAGTTCACGACAGTAAATTATGTCTATCTTTTAATATTAACTTGCAAAAACGATGGGACGCGGAAAACGTAGTGAGTAAAAGGTTAATTTTATAGAATTGTAAAACAAATTTGATTGATGCCCAAAATAACTATTCTACGCAGACGAAGTCGCTGACTCAGCTAGTGCTTAATATAGTGTTATTGAAAATATTGCATAAAAACTTGGATTAGTGTGAACCACTACATGACCCGGTGTATTTTATATCTTTTCCAATGCAATTTGAGTTAAACTTAATTCGTATGAATAAGACTTTCTTCAGCTGTTCAGCAGTCGTTTAATTATCAATGACAATTTGGTTTTCCGTTTCGCTACTATAAAAAATTTAGTGATAATGATGTGATGACATCATTCGTGATAACGAAGTATCGAGAACAACTTTTTAATTACGACGGTCCTAGAGCTTGAAAACCCTAAGAGAGTGATAATCAAAAAGTTATATAGCGTCACTCAAGTTAATAGTAGAAGTTGTTCTAAGGAGGCTTACCAAAGTTTCCGCCATGAAATGTTCAAAGCCCGTGATGTTTAGATGAGGCCGCACGCTGATACCTACAGGAGCTCGAGGAAAACTCCTACTCACTGTTCTGAGCATTTTCGGTTGCATTATCCTAAATCTCCTCAACATTCTTGCTTCATATGTTATCTGTGTATGTATAATAATGTATGTATAATAATGTATGTACGTGAAAGTCAGACGGTTTGGTAAAAAATATTTAGAAATAGGTTTAAGCTAATAGCAATATACAGAGATATAACTTTTGCTAAAATACCTTTGCAGGCGCGTGTAAATATATTTTACTCACTTGAAACAAAATGCACAGTACAGTTAGTTTCCAAATCATTTTAATTGCAAGGTCCATCGCTTTTTCACGTTACATTTCGAAATTGTCTCATTTTATACTACTATGTTCGTCTTATCGCTTATTGAGTCATATTTTACTTTTGTTCTATACTGTTAACGGCGTTTTATAAGTGTAACTACAAGTATACATGTTTTTGTAACTTTTCTAAAGTCAATTTATAAATTATTAAACAGTCAGTTAGAGTTACAAACAGTTATTACTTTTATATTTATAGTTTAATTTAAATGCTTTATGTTACTGAAAGTTTGCATAAAATCTGGGCTTAGAATGAACAACTGCATGACCCAGTGTATTTCGTATCCTCCCCAAAGCACACAAAGATTTATCTGGTAACAGAAAAAAGTAATGGAAATTAGATACTAAAGATACACATAAAAAAATGAATGCCTAAAATTTCTTGCTGACCCAAAATTACGGCACAACACTATCTTTACTTGTTAAAAACGAATTTTTCATAATACTTGTTTGAATTGCCCAAAAAAAAGTACAAGCACACAAATAAATCACCATAAGTTAGAAAACCAATTGCGTTCAGATTTTTAACGAAACCGACTTTAGTTGCAAGAGTCACCGTTATTCTTGAAAATGCTAAGTTGTAGCAGTATTTTATTTTTGATAACTTTAATATTTTTTGCATGTTGTTGCACATGAAGCCACTATATAGAAGAAGGCTCTAGCAATTGAGCTACCGAGTTGGTAGAGCAACAGCACGGAACGCTGACGATGCCGGTTAAAGTCCCGCCCGAGTAGAAATTTCTTTCAATTTATTTTTGATTTTTAAATTGTATTTATTTGTCAAAAGAGGAGTAGAACTTCAAGCTTACAAAAAAATACTGTTACATTCACATGTTAGTCAATTTAAATATCTCATTCTAATAAAAATTCATTAAAGAACAAGGAACCTAAAAAATGTGCTATTGAAATGTACCCGACTTGTTTACCAACATCAAATTGGAGCTCGGTACAAATCTCGGACTAGTTGAGCAACACCTCCGAATTCCTTCGCGTAAAACATGTGCAAAACAGAATGAAAATGTTAAGTAATCGCGATGTGCAAATTTTACTTTATTTTTTGTGTGTTACAGGTGTGACACACAAAACAGGGTGACCTTAAACAGTGCCAGAATTGTTTTTACGAAAAATAAACACTAAGGAGTCTCCCGGCCTTGTTAATCAAAGAGTCCAGCCTAATGTATCTGTTGTGTATATATTACATCATTTTAAACGCCCAACGGTTAAGACTTATTGATTATCTATACGAAAAAAACGTTATCACTGATATTGACATTGACAGTTGACATCGCGTCGGGCGAAGTTCTAAACTTTGGACACTAAGATAAGATCGAAAATTAGCGAATTATAAATGATTTATTTTACACACTAAACTGAATTTTATTTGCGGCGATAACTTATCAATTACTTGAAGACGTTGCGAACATTTATCTATTGAGAAAAACCACGCCTCCGTTATATTTTTTAAGTAGTTCATTAACAGCTGTACAAGTGTTCGAACGTCTTAACTTTCCTGTGATAAGAAAGTTATTTGTGTACGATTATTGATAAAAAATTGTGTTAAGAATGTCAGTGTTGAATAACTTTACTGTGTCGATAGCTAAAGGATTGCGCCGTAAGTATAGTTATCTATATACTTTTTATCTTTAAGCGATAACAGGTATTAACCTATGATTTGTTATTGTACAAAATAGCGTGATTATTAGTCGAAAGGCTCGTGACCGAGTGCTTTATTGAATAATATTGACATTTTTTTTTAATAGCCTTAAGAAGAACGTCGTTCTAGAAATGTTTATGCTCACAGCTGCACTTACAATATAGTGCATTAGTTTGAATTCCTACAATAATATTAATTTCATAGTTTTAATAATCATTTTTAATACTTATTCATGCGTCCATTTATAGATGTGTATTTAATAATAAATATATATACTTGTGATCCATCACAATTGATCATATATAACAGATCATAAGTTTCAACATATAAAAAATAATGATAAAGAAGTTTTTGTCAACTCATTCAACTGGAATCATTATTCTTTACTAAAATGTTTCACTTATCATTTACTTCAAATAAAATTGAGTTAATTTAATGTTAAGTAACTTTAATTTTAAGTATCTATAATGTGGTATTGGAGTTTTGCTTTGTTTTTTATTATTACCTCATATCACACATACACACACACTTTCAATCATAAGCTACTCAGTTTTGTCAAGGGTTAATTGTTAAAAACTTTGTATCACGATGAATACCCATTTCCACTATCAGGTGGTTAGAAGATACTATAGGCTGACTACCTAACCTTCTATCAGTCTCACTGATGGAAAATATAAATAATGTCTACTTAAACCTTATAGCCCCAAAGACGGTTGTATTTATAAAGAGTTTGTGTATTTTCTTTTTGCCAAGGACGCTTGTTTCAAAAAGAGCTGTAGCCACAGCTCTGCGTATGTTGTTTTCATAATCATTCTTTTAAGAGTCTGATATAAGTACACCTGACCTAACAAAGCAACTATAAAATAAACAAGTGGTCACTGTGAGGTATTGATATCTAGGTTTGAATTTTTTTTTATTACATATGTTTTAATGTGTATATTGAAAAGATTTAAGAACACTCTTGGTGCTGAGATTATCTTTATTATCAACCTTGCTCTGGTGATTATAACCTATGAGCAGACATAACTAACAATAACTTATTCTTCTATAAATACCCACAATCTTATAAATGTTATTATTATTGCATCTTAATTAATGTCATTCCATAACACATTTCCTCTGATTTCTTATCAGACATGTGCATGATGATAATATTTGCAATAATAATATTAATTTACTCATATATCTAATATCTAAAACGTTATTCATATTATAAATAAATTATAGAGTCAAGACAGAAGAAGATTTTTTTTGTTTTGTGTGCACTTATACCAAGTTATTTCGGTGTTATTTTCAGTAAATTAATGTATATAAATAACTACTTCTTATCAGACACTGCTAAAATTAAATCAATACAAAGTTGTTTATCACAGGTTTTTGCCTTGACATTCTAAGGCACAAAAATACTAAATCTATTGCTTTATTGTGTAACTGGGTAAACACATTTCTGTGTTCATTTTATTGAGAGATTTATTGCAGGCACATCATTGATCAAACTGTTGTGCCTTGCCCGACTGAAACAATTTACCCTGTATATTTAAATTTTAATATATGGCAGATGACATGTGCCATGAATAGTCAATAACCTTGGGGATAAGAAATTACACTTTTCAGATTCGTGACTGCATTCTCTATTTCTAGATCTTTCGCGAAAAGATCAGAGTACAATTACGAAATTGTTTAAAGTAGATAAAAACAATATCGGTAATTTCATCGACATTGATACTAAATTACGCATGAGATAAAAATTGTTTACCCATGGCAGACTAATATCAGGAATGCTTTAACTTTTGAAAGTACATAGAAAAATGTGTTTACCATTTTAAAGATAGATAGGTATTTAATAGGTTTGCATATAATTGGCAATAAATTAATGACCCATGTATGGCATTACTACTTTATACTATAGGTACCAATATTATAGGTAAGGTAGATTTGTATTTGTGTGTAATGACTAATTTTAAAAGCTTTTCTACCAATTTAAACAATGCATCATTAGCAATCCACATTACATAATGCCCTGAGAAAGCCCTCTATATGAGGCCGCAGAATAGCCTAAATGCAATATTATGACTTGACTTATTTATATTTTTTTAGTCTAAAAATGTTAATCTACAAGAGCGCAGTGTTTGAAAATTGTTAGGATAATTTTTACCGAAATAATAGTACAAATTCATTTTTGCCTAAGTTGATTAATTGTTGATTTATTTTTCTTATTAGGTCACTCTGTCTTTAGCTTCTTGTTAGTAAAGGTCCATCCTTTAAAGTTTAGTGGACATAATATACACATTTATATTCTTTTGAATGAATACAGCATTTGCCTATACATCTTGGGGTTGGTTAGAGAGAAACAAGAGAATATGGACCCCTGTACCTTAATTTAACAGGTGTGGTGTATAACTAGCAGATAGAATTGAAATAGCCTAAGACTTAAAAAATACAAGTATTGTTCTGACACCAACTTTCTACTATGCATATTTTTTGGTGCAAAGAGCTATGCCATACAGAAATAATTCTACCATAGCATAACCGCTGTCCTAATGACCCAAAGTTATCTCGTGTAACTTTCCACAATTCCTTCAATAAATAAAGCGATGAACGGGAAATAAGTGGTAAGAATCAATGCTGGGGCAGAGTTGATTGATAAGGTCTAAGTGGAATTATGCGGCTATTGTTTGATAAAGTATAGATATCTATTAATTGGGCATTTGGGTTTCTCGTAGTTTTACTGAACCTGAAGGTAGTTCTCACCTAATTCAAAATAATGTATCCAGTGTGTATGTCAAATCATAGGAGATCCTAGATTGGAATCATGAGAAACAAATTCTTCATATCGTCCTCTATATACAATCGACCATGTGAACCTTAGGGCAATGTGATTGCCCTAAGGTCCACTGGAGGAAACTTGATCCACAAGAGGACCTCCGAATATCCAAAGCCCCGAGCATCCACAACAAAGGTCGATAGCACATCTTGCTGAGATGTACTGTGATTGTAGTATTCTTCTTCCCCTTCTATCAAGTAAACGTCCTAATATGTCCTCCTTTATTAAAAAAAAATACTTATGCACATCAATATTTACCAGAAATCATATCAATCCTACTAGAGTTATTTTTATCGTCGTATGTATGTAGTGTCTTATCTAGAAAACTCACTGTAAATCTAGGTGACAAATGTTTGCACACTTATAGGGTCAACGGCCCAGGACGATAATTCTCGATGAGGCGATAAAAAAGGATCTAGTTCGTACTAACCGACTTGCGTCGACATAAATATCGTTTTTGGGAATTGCACCCATGGTCTTCGTGTTAGCTATATGTATTATCGGGCAAACATAATAGAGAATAAGTACTAGTTATTCTTAAAGTGATACTTTTATGGAGTGTACTTTGTGTTAAGTAGAATGTGCACCCAACTTCCATAATCCATTCGAGAGGTTCAGAATTCAGTCTCCGATCTCGCACCGGAAATGTACTCATATATTTGTTATTAGGGCACAGAAGTCAGATCAACTACTTGCCTGTTAAAGAATCGATCAGTGAAACGGACACGGAAATGTGTTCGCCCCATGCCCCACGAGGGGGAAACGGGATTTCACACATATTTGTGAAATGTTGCACCCCAAGAATAATATCTACACTCTTGGTTTTTTAAACAAATAGTAAAGTTTATTTTTTTATTAGTCTTTGACCATTATGGTCTGGTCTGGTCAAATCCTGTAGCCCCTGTGGGGCATGGGGCAACCTTATTTCTGATCCATTTCACTGATCGAATATTATATATAGGAAAGCAATGTTATTAAGACTTCCGTGCCTTGACCAACAAAAATTATTACCCAGGAATAGAGCTCTGAGCCTCTCGCGGCTAACATTAACATAGTGTTACAAAATGACAATTTGTTGTCTTTATCAGGTTTAAGAAATAAGGAGCTGCCGAACCGCCGCCAGCATGGCTCTAAGGAACACAGGTTGAAGATGGATAAATGCCTCATTGTTTCAAAGGTCACGAGATACGAGTATGAGAAGTGAGTCGCAGATGTGTTACTTGTATTATATCATTAATATGTGTTTTTATGATGACTTGATCTAATTGAGTAATGTGGGGCTAAGAATCAGCGGGTCACGGTTTTGATTCCCCCCAGGTCCAACATATTACCAAAATCCATTTTATACATGCACAGTTGGAATTTGGTTTGATTTGTTTAACATGTTTAAAAGGTAAGTTTAAGACTTTTAACGTCGGGCCGTAATTAAAATAAATTAACTAATATATTTCATGTTTGAAGCCGTTAAAGTGTTTTATTTAAACTACTGTTATATAATAATTAAAATTAAGCACATTGATTTCTTTACAGTTGAATAGTATCGAACATAAGTTAATCACCAAATCCATTAACCACTTCCAGACATAGCCACGATAACGTGTCCGACGCTGAGCTTGAAAAGATACTGCGCAATAGGGGGTCCGATTACGAAACGATGATATCGAACCATCGAGAACAAAAAACATTCGAGGAAGGCGTCGCCAGGACCCTGAAGGAGATGGGCGCGAATGTCGAGATGGCCAGCAGGTACGTTCCATCATAACGTTCTGATATCACCACAACGGTTTTTCACGGGTAACTGACATCTGAATTTGTTTGTCTGTTAGACAAACATAGGTATAGGATAGACGAAAGTGTACAGTTTTATCCAAAGTTATACATACATTACCTGTGCCCGCTACTTCGTCCGCGTGGAATAAATATTTTAGGCAACAAATTTATTCTCGCAAACAACATCCTCACAATACTCGCGTCTCGTTGTTGTTGCGAATTAATCTTAGGAGACTGTCGCGAACATTTCTTTAGATCATTAGAGAAAAATCATCATTTCATACTTAGTTTGTTGGTTTCCCCGTTTCCTTCTAATTAACCTCTGACTCAGACTGCTTCGACTAAGAGGAGCTAAGACTCCTGATATTTTATTAAGCCTTCCCCGATATAGGACCCAACAACACAAAAACTATTTTTAATTAGTACTAGTGACTTAGTTCCTAAGATTAGCGCGTCTAAACAAACAAACTATTATATATCTTTATAATATTAGCATAGAATGTATCCAAAAGTTGATTATTTTGGAGAAAGCGACAGACATCGGTCCAATTGGTTCCAAAAACAATTCAGTTGCTATTATCGCGAACTTTGGTCTCTCATGCGCAACATGCACTAAGCATCGTGTTTATGTGAATTGGAACAGCGAAAAACAATTGAAACAACAAACAAAAAGATTAATGCCGTCACGAATTGGCCAAGGTCGCCGCGTGTTCGCCATTTCCTACAATAAACCCGTTATCTGATATGGGAATTCACTAATTTTCACTTAAATCTTTAATCGTATTTGAATACGTGAATATTCTTTTCAGGCAGGGCATCCGTTTGACTTTTTAAAGCGTTGATCCATCATGTATATATTCTAGGATAGTAATCTCAAAATCTTGATATTTATAGTCCTTGCCGTTTTAATAATTCTGTGATATTATAAAACAATACCAGTCGCTTCGTGTAGTACTGCTAAAATTGAAAACTTTTTATTTTACGAATATCTTACGAACATATGACAAGATTAAATATCCTGACGTGAGTTTGATATTTTTGACGAATTTGTTGATTAGATGGTAGCAATGTATAGTTAATGAGTCGTATAACATGTTGAACCTCGTCTGCAATCTGCGAAATAAGGTTTCACTTCAATCAAATTTCTTAGTGGACTCTTCTTTCCAAAACAATCTTTGTAAGGATACGCTTGAGAAATGTTAGTCCCAGCTCTACGATAAAATAGGCTATTTATCTTCTAGGTTAACGTATAACGAAGAAATGATAAAGTGGTGTGATGCGGTGGTGCCGTGTGGCGGAGATGGAACCTTCCTTCTAGCTGCTTCTAGAGTTAGGGACGCCAAGTAAGTGTTTCCACTTTGCTTAAATTCTTAAATGATGGTTAATCAAAACTTTTAAGGAGACATTTTGTTACAATTGGTCTATATTTCCGTTCTATCTTTCTGGAAAATTTTCAAAATCCCTTCCCTTATCATAGAACGTCTTTCCAACAGTCAGCGTCAACTCTTTTCTTCTCTAATCTTAGTAGTTTACATCTTAAGTATAGAACAATTCAAAGCTTAAATTATTTAGAAAGAATTTCAATGTTGGAAACTGTAATTTTATTTACAGCAAACCTGTGATAGGCTTCAACAGCGCCCCCCACAAATCCGTCGGCAGACTCTGCCTACCGACTTGGTGCTCGAACGACTTGAAGGGTGCGTTGCAAGCTTTGAAAGAGGTAAATTCTTCTTATTTACTTTTAATTGTTTCAGCTAAGATGCAGTGTCTATTTATATTTTTATGTGTTCTTATAGAATTTACAACTGCCTTTAAACAATACATATATTAAATACTTAAATGTAAATTTTAAATAGTTTGAATGTAACATTTTCAACGGTTTATAACGCGAAATTATTTTTAATTTATTTTAACTATAACTTACCATTCTGAATGCTTTGCTGCAGCCATAGTTACAGTAATGATAAATGTCGCGTTCTAAACAGTTAAAATGTTTTATATTTATGTAGATCTTGTAATCCGTCTACTCGCTTGTCCTCCTTTATCATAAAAAACTCAATTTCTAGGGAAAGTTCCGATGGATGCGCAGATCGAGGATACGCACGACGATCACCAGCGAGCCAAAGCTGCTGGACACCATCACACCAGTTGACCTGCATACGCTGCACTATTGCAGGTGGGCACTGTTATCTGGACTGTCTTATTCTGTCTTTCTTGTCATTATCGGGCAGAAAAATTTAAAAATCTTACGTTTTTAGACATTGATTCATTAATGTTTTTATTTATAAACGACTAAATATATTATTCATTTTTATATATATTTACATATTAAAATGAATAAATTCATCAGGATTATGTGGTTACCAGCGCAGTCAGGCAATAAGACAAATATCACTCAAGATGTTTTTTTTTAAATAACAGGAGATGGTTTTCTCAAGTTTTTTAAAACTGTGGGTAATACAAAAACATGTAACAATTTTCAGATATCCCCCCGTTTCTCACCAAGAGGATGGCCAAGAAACGAGCGATAGACTGAAAGACCCACACGAAGACACCAATTCTAGTTTAGCCACGAAGGTGTTGCCATTCCTAGCCTTGAATGAGGTGATTTTTATATATTAATAAATAGTAAACATGATCAATGCATTTAATAATTATTGGTCAACACATCGTTTAGCAAAAGACGAGTTAACAGAAAATCTATAACTAAAACTATATTTTTCACACACACACACACCACAGCGTTCCGTGCTGTTTGTCTAATTAATTAAGCTACCGTGTCCTACACGTCGTCGTCGAATATTTTCAACCTATTCATACATGGACCTCTCGCGCAATGTCATTTCAACCTTAACACTTGCGTATTTAGGTTCCAATGTCTTATGCTTTCCAGCTTAAGAAAACATTGAAGATGAAAGAGTTAAAATAAGAATGAAACGCTGTGGATTCGTGTTCAAATTCTGCTCGTGTCCTATTTTTTTAATATCAAATGTGTTACTTTATTACACAGTTTAACACAAATTCAATTAAGTTTTGGCATGTCAGACATTGTTTTGCGCCGTTTGCAGGTGTTTATCGGCGAAAGTGTGACGTCACGTGTGTCTCTCCTCCGCCTCAAGATAGATAATGGTCAATGGACGCACACTAAGAGTTCGGGGCTGTGTGTGACGACCGGAACTGGTAGCACTTCGTGGCACTACAGGTGAGCTGATCAAACCATACACCATGCAGAGGCAATGCTAATATGAAGCTACAATGGAACAACCAACTTAATAAGAATGTATAATACATATATAGTAATTTTTTTCGCGACTGGCCAAAATGGGAAACCAACAATGATGGATTAGAGATTCACATACTGTGTCACTCAACATGTCAAAACTTCGAATGTAAATACAATATAAATGAGTAATTTGTTCTTTTAAGTATAATTTTCCGTTTCAGTATTAACTGCCTGCGGACTCACTCTGTTCTGCAGCTGATGAAGATACTAAACGAAGAGTACGGCGTCTGCGTCGACACGTCTTTGGAGAAGGCGAGAGATGTCACAGAGAAATACAATCAGAAGCTCATGTTTCCACCAGGTTAACAACAAACCAATTATTATTAATATATAAATAGTATTCTTATAAATTTTTGCAACCGTATCGTATCCAGCGTTCTTCTATATTTTATTGTCAAATAAAGAAGTGGATGAAAAATAAACAGATATACATCGATTGGGGGAACATGGGTATTAGTTTTTATTTCTGACCATTTATTTACATTTTGGTTGTTTTAATGATAAATCCTATATAAAGAATATCTTAACTTTCAGACTCGGAGCAGCTGGCATACTCGGTACGTGAGTACATAACTTTCGAAGAGTGGCCCACACCTCGAGGGCTGCGGGTTCGAGACCGCGCTGAAGCGGTCACTGTTCGAAGCCATTGCACTGATGCAGGTACGTTTTTGTAGTGTTTTACGACTATAAATATGTATATAATTTTTTTCATCCTAATAAAATTTATAATATTTACAATGAGTAAAAAATTATTTTGAAAACTTGAATGTAATTGAACGTGATGGCATTATTTAAATAAAAATCAATTAGATTGAATAAATTCGGCGAGAATAAACACGAGCCTCGTCAATTGCACCTCAAAATGCTGTGGATTCCGGTTCGAATCTCGCCCATGTCATCGAAACTGCATTTTAAAATCTTAGCCAAATTTATTAAACGTAAAATAAATTATTGCGTGCAACGCCATCTATGGACCCATTCAAAAAAACTTTTTAATTAGCCTCTACTGTCTCAGGCAACAATTGTCAAACGCAAAAAGGAACTTTTCATCAAGAATCCTCTACTTTTATGAAAAAATGTTGTTTTACTTCAGTTTTTAAAGTTTTATTTCTTTATTAGGTCTGGTAATAGATGGAAGTGTGTCGTTTCCCTTCAACGATGGGACACAAGCCTTATTAGAGATTCATCCGGAGGATTCCCTTATGACTGTGCATATGGATGACGCTTTGCCGTATTAGGAAAACCATATTTATTGACATTACAAGAAGACAATAACCCAACCAAAAAAACTGACGATAGGATAGAAGACAGGTTACATAATTTAAAACTACCTTAATTTTTATCAAACAAGGTTTTAGAGTAGTTGTATAAACCCTTCCAATTACTTTTTATGTTTAAACTGAATGTTATATATTGATTGGATTGTATTATTATTACTTTCTCTTCAAAGTATATTAATGTATGAGGAATGTTACTTATTATGTATTTTCTGTAGTTTGTATTTATTTCAACTACTACCCGACGGTTCGGTTGCTTAGCAGCAGCCGTGGTAAAAACTCTTATCATCTAATAGACATTGCGTTTTAAACCGTCAAAAATATTTTATTTAATAGGTAGTTATGTTGTATGTAAGACTGAATCTATTCGTTCTAGCACTAAGATATATAACTATTCGTATTTCGTTACGTTTCCTGCATTTGAACAATGAATGTAGTAAATATTTGTAAGTGATATAACAGCATTACTTATTTTAAGTATAAATATGTATTCGAAATTATATTATTAGATCTTACAACTATTTATTTTAATTGATAATAATTAATTTTATATTGTTGTTTTTTATTGGAAATAAAATTTTGTATTCTAATTTTTGTTTTAATCACGCGTTTACTTATATTTGAAGCAACGTAACGTAAGCGTTAAATAAACACTTTAAATCTGAATTTCAGCGGGAAATATTGACTTTGGTGGACGTTAAACTAAAGACTTGCATGGAATTTGAGCCAGTATGTAAGAAATTGTCGTGTTTCCTTAAAAATACAACAGTTCGGTGAAACTCGGTATGAAACCTTAATACCATTTAAGTTACAAATGTGAAAAAAGTATTATAATAAAATTTTCATAGCGTAATTTTTAACATTTTTTTTATATATTTAATTATTATCAAAGAGATCCTTAAATAACGCGAACTTAACACTAAGCGTTTTCAGTCTTTGGCAGCAACCCTCTGATGCTGAGGTCATACACAACCTCTTCTATCTTTTTCACGTCGTATTTAAGCGCGTCGAAGCGCTTGCGCAGGTGGTCGTTCTTCAAATTGAGCAGTCTGTGGAGAAATTGTTGAAAATAGATGACGTAAGTGACAGTTATGATTATAAGTAATAAATATAGGTTTAAAACCTTTTTCAGGTGGTATTTATAAATTCATCTTTAATAATTTCCTTATAAATTTGAACCTTAACATCAAGGTCTTAGTGTCGATTTTTGCGAAACGATACGTTTGGTCCCCTTTTTAAAAAAAAAATATTATGGTAAAAAAGGAATCATGATCCGTAAAATTTGATATACCTGAATCCTGCATTCAGTTCCATAACAAACTTGGATATCTGCTGTGGCTTGTTGTAGTCACCGTGTGTCACAGAGTTGACTGCCAAACGAGCCTAAGGTAACCATACTCATTAATGTTAGAAGTAGTACATATTATCAAGAAAGTAAAAAGTGTAAGTAATGGTGTTGTGGCTTTATAGACTATATTCTACTATATCTTTTCCTCTTAATCTTGTAACATATATCTGTCTCTACACAGTACTATACAGATTATTCCAAATGATATCAGAATCATTTATCAACCTGATATAAAGTATGATAGATTAATTCTGCATTCAATAAATATTTCTACAATCAGAGAAAGTATGAATAACAGTAAAGAGAAATCCTGTTTAAGTGTGACAAATTTGTGTGTTTCACTAATAGGTTTATTTACAGGCAAGTGTGTGTGACCCTGTCTGAACGAAAAATCAATTTTTTTGAAGCAACAACTTCCCCTAGCTTCAGGGGCTTAGAATATAACTAACCAATTCTGTACATAAGTGAAGTAGTCCAACTAGATATTCCTCGATATCTAAATGAAAACCTTCCTTCTGCTCCTCAGCACTTACTGAAATTTAGAGAAAGACATATCAACATTATCAATTGGTGGAATACAAGAGTAAGGTTTTACTGTGCATACAGTCCTTCGAAAGATTCTATTGTATTGTTAACTTACTTCCTAAGATGGCAGCAACAGTTTCATGTGTTGCCAGTAAGCCCTTTTCTAGCCAAATTGTGAGAGATATGAGGTAGCAATACCTCTGCGTCATGTATCGCCAGTGATCTTGATACCTAAACATGACACATTAAATTAAAACTCTTTGAAGGCTATTTCAGCAAAATTTTAAGTGGCTATACTAATTATAGGTATCTATTATTTTTATTACTACTAGTATAGCCACTTAAAAAATTTGATTTTAAGTGGCTATACTAATTATAGGTATCTATTATTTTTATTATATTACTATATTGTTGTAATCTAACCTACTGGGAATCTTCATAAAAATGTTGCTTTATATACCAAAACATTATTTTAAATATATAATTTCTTCCACCATTACACTGTATTTTTACCTTACCAGACTGAAACCATTATTCGCTATTTCACAAGAACTTAAGGGCAATAGAGTCATATAGAATGGTTAGACTTGAATGAAACTTTGGAATAATGAAATAATACCATACTTATAATAATCTCCAGAAGGTACAACTTCTTTCAACTTGTTATACCCCACATTGGCTTTTTCAAATAACTCACGGGCTTTGAGACATGCAGCTGGGACTGAAATTTAATTTGAAATTACAAAAGCAATGTTCAGCTAAAAGTAATAAATGTGTCAAAAATTTACTGATATTATGACTAAAAAGTCGTATATATGAGCTATACAACGTTTAATAAATCATTTTCAAAGAAGCAGTTTAAAACTACTTAATAAATCTATACATATTTAAGTATATTGTAAAGTTATTTTTTAGTGATACAATACATACATGAAGGTTTCATGTACACCAATAAATAAGTAGACTTACTGGCAGTCTCATCATGATGTATAACTTGTAGCACTGTGGTGGTTTCTCTTGATATTTGGTCAACATCTTTGCAAATGTTCCGGATAACCTCAAAACGAAAATAAATGGGCACTTTTTATAATATTTTACAATTTATTAGTTTCTAGGTTATTAAGCGTACAAACGAAAATTAGTTCACCGACTAAAAACATAGCGCTTAATTATTTATGAAGAAGTGTAATGCGTAAACACTAACTTCACGAATTTCCTGCTCTTGGTCGAGATTCTTTTGGAACTCGCCAAATATTGTATTAATAATGTGATTCGAGCTCATCTTGTCTTTATTACTGCGATAGTATTATTTAATTTTATTTAAAGTTTAAATTTACAATACACAATAAAAACAAATTTAAACCGGAATGTATCAGTATCACCACAGTGACAGACACAGTCTAGTCAAATGTACTAGAGGTTAGAGAATAAAAAACAAGTGTCAATACAGTCCAAACGTATCGTCTGTAGTAGATTGTGACTTTCTCACTTTACATTATCTATAACAAAATGGATCTAAAAACATGGAAGCGACTTGTCAATGTCATAAAAATAAAGCAGAAACTGGAATGATGGCCGGTGAAGTGGAACTAGCAAAATCTGCTGCCCCTGGCGGCGATACTATTTTTGGGAAGATTCTGAGGAAGGAGATTCCCGCTAAATTTGTCTACGAAGACGATGAGGTATGCAAAATGTTACTAACTATGGTGGTAGAATTTTAATGGAACCTTCTAGTCGAAACATTTTTCTCAGCTCACTACATCGTATCTACATCTAACAAGAAAGGTTCTTTAAATTGGAAATTAGATTCCCGATTCTATAATCAAAGTTAAGTTAGTTTTAGTGCTACAATACGTAGTATACAATTTCATAAACAAACGGTACCCACGTAGGATAAACATTTTAAACTGTTTCCAGTGTGCTGCCTTCCATGACGTCAACCCGCAGGCTCCAACCCATATCCTGGTGATTCCACGGAAACCAATTCCACAGTTATCTCAGGCTGAAGATGGAGATGAACAGCTTCTTGGTAATATTAATCAAATTTTGAAGTTCTTCCTCTTAAACATATTTCCATAATTTGTAATATATCATAAATCAAAATATTTGAAAAAATGTTACTCGCTTACCTAGTTACAGTTATGAATGTCATAACGCTAATAGTTGTTGTCAAGTATGTAATAATTTTTAATTTACCTTTAAGTACACATTACCAACAATACATGTTGCATTTATTTTAGGTCACCTTCTGACAACAGCTCGTAAAATTGCAGCACAAGAAGGTCTTGATAAATCCGGTTTCCGCTTAGTTATCAACGATGGCAAGAATGGTGCTCAAAGTGTATATCATTTACATGTCCATATTCTTGGTGGCAGGCAAATGCACTGGCCACCTGGTTAAGATGTAGAAAATAAATTTGTTATCATTGTCTGTGTTAATTATCATTGCTTTTTCCTTTACCTTGTTCATTAGATACATTCCTACATTTATTATTACTAAGTTATGCAAGTCTATAACAATATGACGCCTCTTAATAAAAAGGCATATAATCAAATGTATTAACTTTTATTATTTACATGTTGACGGCAATTAAATGGCGATAAATATATTTTACAGTGCTGTATTGCCATTTTATTTCAGTATATATAAAATATAAGAAGACAGCAATATAGTTAAATTTACAATATAAGAATTTAAGTACGTAAAATTTAAGAAGGTAACGGAAGGCATTTGTACTTTCAACAGAAAATAAACTAAGCAAAGAAAAATAACATTGTTGTTCAATACATATCGACGAAAACTCAATTCCACTCAGATTTTAGTTGACAAACACGAAAATACAATTATGTACATATATCTAGTAGGAAATTGTATTACGACAATATAAAATATTACATACAATATATTAACTATTTTAAAGTTGCTATATACAATGCGAATCACAGTCTTTTATCATTATTACAAGTTATTTAATACCATAGATGATGTTGTCTTTTTGGTTTTAAATTGTTTATGATGAAAATGTGTATATTTAGTGTAAAAAAGTGATACGGGTGACTGAACATTTGATTTTGACTTCATCAATACACCACATTTTGTTATTACGATTGGTAACCACTATTAAAAGTCGGGATAGGACACAGTCAAATGCGTTAGGCCAAGATCGGTACAGCCCCGTATAAACTCATTCAAGAAATAAACCTTGCATAAGGGTTATTAATGATGGTTATGAGCAAAAATGCATCCTGGTAATTTCTTAAAACAATACTAACAAATGTTCACTAAACAAATTTTAACCAGATGAAATTCCTCTATTTAAATAAATACATACACAACTCAAATCATTTCTTTCAAAATGCATATTAATTCAATCATATATTTTTATCTATCAATATCAAAGTGTTATCAATAGATTTTTAGATAACATAAGTTTAGCTTGTTTTGCAGGTGTGTCAAAATGTTCATGAATTTTGGCTAAGTGTGACGCACTCGTGGTAGTTTCAATTAGGAAGCTATACTTTACCCCCAATGGGGATCATACTTATTCCATTCATAGCTGGGGGCAAGGTAGACCCGACGGCCTTTTATGAAACACGTCACTACACCGCGATATGCTGTCCGTGGTATGCCACTCTGGAAGAAAAAACAAATCTTAGACATTTAAATATAACCCCTTTTAACGGTTTGAAACACGAAATATATTAGTCGACTTATTTTTTACTTTCGACTCCAGTCGTGACCACTACCACAAAGCATCCATTCATACCACGAAACGTCGGATCGTAAGTAGTTAAGGTAAATGAAAAATAAGCTAAGTAATGTAGTTCTCGTTTTTAACTGTTTCAAATGTTTGATTTATATGTGTAAGATTCGCGTAAACAGACAATATTCAATTTTGAGAAATGTAAAACTATGTTATAGGTAGGATTTTAGATCATGACATATTGTATAGTAAAGGCCTTCAATGTTTGAACCTTATGTACATGTACACATAGTAAATGCAGAACTAACTCTGAAATCGTCCATGAGCCCCAGCTTCTTGGCTGCGCGCTGGTAGCTCTTGGCATTAGAGTACAGCACCCGGACCGGACCACTGCCGTACCCCGCCACCACGTCCTCGGCGGAGGACTCCGGGAGAGAATACACCAGCGACGTGAAGTTATCGTCGTACGCATCCTGTTGATGCAAAGCATATTCTAGTTACTAGGTCAAAGAGTCGATAAATAACAATATGTGACAATGTTTTCTCACTAAAACTGCAATGTAAATAGCGACTGGACTGGAATCTTAACAGATATATATATATCTCCGAACCGAGAAAATATATATATATATATATATTCTGTCGCGGACTTTCTAGGTCATTTAGAGAGGAATCATTCTTTCATAAATATTTTTTGGGTACCTTAAACTGTATTCGTAGCGTACGCAACGGAAGATGAGTTCAAACAAACAAACTTTTAAACTTTTTAATATTAGTATAGATTTATATTTGAAGCATACCTTTATAAGATAGGTGAGGTTCAACTTGGTGAATTCCACAAACTTCATGTTGAGCTGCATGTAGCGCAGGTGAAGGTCGAAGAAAAGACCTTTGCTCACGCCCACCTGCAACGTACCAAAGTGTTTATTTTGCCATCCCAAGACGAAACACGACAAAAACATATTGGAATAAAACACTTTTAACGGTTTTAAACGCGATGTATTAATTAACTTATTGTGGATTAATTTTAACGACATCCTGAAACCCGATGTTACGTCGTTATAATAAATTGTAAAGAAAATATATTATTTTAATGTGTATTACTCGCGTAACCTACAGACGGTTTAAAACGCGATATTTATTAGTTATAGTTGAACTTATTTAAACTACGGCTTGACATTTCGCCTGCTTTGCAGCGGCAGTGTTCCCGGGGTCGTCCCGTTAAAATAATTTTCAAATAAGTTTAACTAATATATATCGCGCTTTAAACCGTTTAATTGCTTTATTGAAATGTGTACTAATCGCGTTAACTACAGACAGTATTTAAATACTAAAATTTTATGTATTTAAACAATAATTAACACTACAAAAAAATAAAAATATACCTTTCCAAACGAATAAGTTCTGGAAATCTCTGGTCTGATGCATGCTCGACCTTGTGTGTTTTCTGGATCTCGTAGCCAGTCGTCAAAAAATCTAAGAAAAATCGGTAGAGGGAGGACTTTTGATTAAATTGCCAAACTTTCTAAGGAGGAGTCACAGCGTCTCGTGGGGTCACGTATTCGAATCCCGGGGTAACTATAAATTGTTTCGGCTAGACAGAGCACAGTGGTTAATCAACTATGTACTTGCCTCTAAATAAAACGATTACTGAACGGACACGGAAGTGTGATCGCCCCGGGCAAATGTTTTTTTTTATTTTTATTTACACTCTTAATCGACTACATATTATATTGAATATCAAAGTTTTTTTCTTCTTTGCTAATCCTTGAAATACTTTACGATTCTCGCTTATTCGCTACAGACTCACGCTTCCGGCCATTTTGGCTCCAATTGGTCCCAGGTCTCGCTGCGTAAGACCCACCCCAGACCCGGGAAGAAGTCAGTCCTGTGGAGGAGGTCTGGTCGGGTCAGGTCTATCAATTCCTTCTTGCCGTTGTCGTTCCACGCTGATATACACCTGGAGATTCAAGATTATTGTCTCTTTTCCGCAACCACCGAGGAACAAGGATAGAAAATTGTTCTTTTGGGGTCAACTTATTAAGCGTATTAAGTTGCAGTGTTTAAATGCGAAATTCGACAATTTAAAGATAAGGTAAGGGTACTAGTAGCTGGTCGAAAATATCAATAGGAGCTGGGATTCGAACCCAAGACCCTGTCACTGTCACGGCGTCACGGAATCGGCACAGCGCTTACCATATACTTGGATCCCTCAGCAACAGCGGATACGTCCCGAGAAAATATTCAAAAAAGTCTGGAGATATATCCAAGTCATCTGCAAATAAGAAAACGACGTTACATAGAACTCTTTAAACGGTTTAAAACGCGAAATATATTCGTTAACTTTATTAACGGACTAACGTTTCATACGCTTTACAGCAACCGTGGTCGCGGGTGTTCAGGCAGTAGTTAAATTAATGTATAAACTAATATTTTTCGCGTTTTAAACCATTAAAAGCGTTTTGTTTCAACGAAATACATAATATATATATATTACATTTTTTTTTAAATATATGTATATTAACCCGTTGTAAAGGAGCGACAAGTGCTGTATCCGAAAGGTAGTTAAAATGAACTAACGAGTATATTGGAAACCGTTAAAATTGTTTTATTTAATGTTAACTAGGTACTCGTGTTAACAGACAATGCCTCGTCTATGCAAACAGAACAAACATATGGGCGTCACGAAATGTGCCGCGGTCTTGTAATAAAACATGTATTTGCCATTCTATTAAGTAAGGTATTGTTGTCACATCAATTGTGTATTAACGCTAGTAAAACCTCATTATGGATATAAAGACAATATATGCAAGAACGAACACCATATTCTTATCTTATAAGCTAGTTGATCCGGCAAACGTTTGTTATTTGCAAGATTAATATTGCTATGATAGTTCAATTCTTAACAAACAATTGGTAATTCAAACACGGGCAGGACTTGAACCGGCATGCTCTCTCTCTCTGTTGCAACAGCACGGAACGCTGACGATGCCGGTTCAAGTCCTGCCCGAGTCGAAAAGTTTTTCAATTTAATTTCGATTTTAAAATAACATTATAAATATCAAAGTGTTTGTCTTTTTGTATAGGCAAATTCATCGTTAAACACACAACCAACACAAAAAGTCAAAAAGGTTTCTCTGAGGGGAGAAATTAAACTTTGGACTGCTCATCCAATTTTGATGGAGTTAAGCCATACCTTTTGTTTCTTCATGCATTGTAACCTAACACTCCATCTACACACCTTCAACAATGATGACTGCCTCGTGACCCAGGGTCCTGAAAACGTGGTTCAACGCGAAGCGGTAGTGGCGCGCGATCTTGTAATAGCCCTTGAACTTGACCTTGGCTCGGGTCAGAGGGATCTCCGAGAGGTCAGGCTGCTGTACCACGCTTATCGTCGGGTCTGCGTCGGTGAATGCCTTGATCACGTGGTACGTTGCATTGTGCCCGCAATCCTGGGTTATTAAGATTGAGATTAACGCCAAACGGATCTTTGGGGGATAGGAAAAGTATGCCTTAGTGCTAATGCATGGCAAATAATCAACAGGTCGCAGATTCGATTCCCACCAGATCTAAATGTTAAAATCTGTCGGGTGGTAGGCATATCGAGGTCACATCAGGGGACGAACCGGCGTCTTTAGATGGAAAAGTGTGTATAGTGCGACTGCGATTCGGCGACAGCCGTATTTCTTATTCTAAGAAGAATGCTCAAGCGCAAAATAGCTGAGCGGCTTCCTTTTGAAAACAATACTTAATTGCTTCTCAAAAGGAAGCCGCTCAGTGTCGTATTTAATTCAAATATAAATTTAATTTGTATTTACATATTGATATTGTTTGTTAGATTAGGTTTTCATTTTAAATGTTGTGAATCTAAATAAAGGCATATCTATTTGATTCTATTCTTATTTAAAATAGGTCGACGGTGCATCTGTCTAGTTACCGGTGCTTCACCTCCAATCAAGCAAATCTTTCTTGCTTAGTGATGCTTGTCTGTCCTCCTCTTTCATAAAAAAAAGTTCGAAACTTTGTTTTTAGATGTTTAAAATGAAATTTAGATTAAAAGTTTCACGAGCGCGACTCGCCCTACAACCTGATCAACCAATAAAACGTGCAACGGGGACGCTGTGGTTAGCTTAAAGTCCCGCTTAACTGTTTATTGTATTCAATTCACACCGGGACAAACTATCTTCGGTCATTGAATAATCGCCACAGGATATACCTGACTGACTATAATCGGGAACGTCTCCTTGTCCGGTCGGAATTTGACTAAGTTGTCCAGACACCGCTTCACCGTTATCCTGTCGCACGCTATCACTAGTACGGGAAGGATGGGATGGAAATCTGAAACAATAGACAGTCGTATCATATTGGCTGACGAGATTCGAACCCAGGATTATCAGAGCTTAACGCTGAGAAACAAGTCTTACATTCAAATGAGACGATTTTAACGGGTTTCGGAGGCAACTGCGTGATCGTAGAGAAACAAAGCATCCGAAACGTCGGCCTTGGTTACCGTAAATTTGAAATAAGTTAACTAATATTTTAAACAGTTAACGAAACCACCGAGGTGGTCAAGATTTTATCTACTGAAGTTTGTCTATTTCCTTTTATTTACTCAGTATTCCGATATTCCCCATGGAAAACCTGGTTGTAACAAAACGGGTTCAAATAACCTGAATAAAATTAAAAAACTTGAAAAACGTGAAAGTTTTAGAATTTTAAATTAGTTTCTTATAAACATATTATTTGCAATAAAAACACTATGATATTAATGATTTGCATATAATTACACATTTCAATTTATTTTATATTAAAAGTCACGATAGCAACCTCAATATTTACCAAATTGGGCGAGAGGTTTTAGTTTTGCGAAACTAGTAAAAACTGAATAATAAAGAGTTGCGGCGTGTTTCTTGTCTACGTTTCTCGACAGACGAGCATGTGGTTCATTTGATGGAAAGAGCCATACCCTAGCCATAAAACAGGGTGCGCTGTCGGCCGGGTCGGTATTTTGGTTTTGGATATTCGGGAATTTACATAAACCGAAACGCATATTTACGGATTCGTGATGTGAATCTAAAACTAGCCAAGTGCTAGTCGAACAGATTTATAAAAATAAGTACCACTTCTCTGAGTTCTCTTCTTTTAGTATCATTGCTATAATACCAAAAGAAGAGACCTCAGAGAAAAAGTTAGTGAACAAACGAACCCAAGAAGCATATAAACAACTGGCTGATTCACGCGACTTCGTCCGCGTAAAATAATTATTCAATAATCAAGTTAATCTTACAAGATAGACATATACTGTCGCGGTCTTTATTAAAGATCATTTAATGAGGAATCATTCTTTCCAACAAATTTTTTGGGTATCTTGAACCGTATTCGCAGCGTACGCAACGACCACCAAATCCACAAGGATTAACGATGTTTAAATAAAACACTTTAACGGTTTAAAACGCGACATTTTGTTAAACTTATTTGAAAATGATCGTGGTAGGACGACAGTGTCTCCCCGTGCCCACGGCTGCTGCAAAGCATCCGAAACGTCAAGCCGAAGTTAAAAATCATTTTCAAATAAATTTAACTAATATATCGCGTTTAAAACCGTTAAAGTGTTTTATTTAAATGTGTACTACTCACGTAAACTATAGACAGTATTTAATTAACGATGTTACCCGTTTTTTCGACATTTCCCGCTGTATCTTAGCTTCTATTAGTCACAGCAATATTTTTTATAGTCTTCCACAATAAATGTTCTAACCAACACAAAAATATAATTTTCAATAAGAACCAGTAATTCCTGAGATTAGCGCGTTCTAACAAACAAACTCTTCAGCTTTATATATTAGTATAGATATACATATAGTAGCGGAAAACCTTTATAATTTATTAGTTAGCCCTGTTCTACCCTTTGATGAGGAACCCTAATTAATCTTTAATATACCTTCCCAGGTGTACTTACGTAGTAACTACTACCTTAGGTATAACGTGTTCTTGTGAAAATTAGTTTCATATTGATAAACATTGTTCATGATGGAATTTAGGTATTGAAGGAAACTTGCATATAAACATCCTTCGATTGTTAATTTGGTAACTTTTAAAGTTACTACTGCTACTAAATATTACTAAGGTTATACTAACAACTGAATATGGACTGGCTGTGGGCCTGACTCGTTAAATAAATAAAGTAAATTATTTAAATGAAATATAATTAGTTAACACCGAAGCGCAAAGGCTGATTTACGTACGTTTGAAAACGTTTAGTTTATCTAATAAAACCATGTTAGATAATTCTTACAACATTAGTTTGTTATCTTTCAATCAATTTACCGACACAACGCGTGCAGTTACTTTTCAAAGACACCTCCTCTTCCTTTAACCAATTACATTGATAATAATAACTAACAGCTAATGATGATGAATTGCATTGCGAACTGAAAAAACAGTTTACTAAATATTTACATCAATCACTTTTAACGGTACTAAACGCGAAATATATGAGTTAAATTGTTTTTAATTTATTTTAACTGCTCTACATTTTGGATGCTTTGTGCCTGCTGCAGCATTTAACTAATATATTTTGCATTTTCTACTATTATAAGTAAGTGTCTTTTTTAAATGTGCACTACTAGTGTAAACCACAGAAAAAACTTAATAATGGTACAAAGTTTTCTCATCCATCTGCAAGCCAAAGTATTATGCTACCACTTTAAGAAAAACACAATTGGTATGTTATGCGAGCCATCTTATAGTACAACATAATAGTTAAAGTAAATTGGGTTAATCCGAATTCAAGGCAAATGATGCATTTTCTGTGCTAATCATTATTTACAGCATTCCAACGTATAAATACTATAGATATACTGGAATACTTTTTAGACTTCTGAAGAATATAATCTATAGATTAAACATTAATAATGATAATACGTTATCATACCGGAAATCGGAGATTATACATGTAACTGGAAATTTGTATTTAGATATTTGACACTGAGAGTCTGTGTGAGTCCCGAGTTATTAACCAACTTGAAAAAAGTAGGTTCTTAATTAGATTTAAAGATATGCTTTGATCATTATTTTTATGTTATAATATTTTCAAAGTAGATATTTTGATTCATATTTTTCTAATAATATTTTTGCTTTGTAATTGTTCCAACCTCAAACTTCAAAGGTAACTAAATCAAAAACAAATTACTTTTTGCAAAATAAATATATTTTTTGTTTACTGTTTAAAGTGGTTTTATTAAAAATTATTTTGTATTTGTGAACCTCAGTGTTAAGTTAAGTGTTAATTAGGGAATCAATGTTATTAATGCCAAAATACAAATTACAATAACTCAATTTCTTATTAAAAAACAGTCAGACATTTAATTTTCATTATTAACGAAGGTAAACTACTTTTTTTATCAACAATATCTGCTACTAAATGTTCTATCAAGATTTATTCAGTAATGTAACAGAAATAGATAGATAACAGATACAGAATTTGTTAAAAATAATATCATTGCTTGGGACGGTGGTACATAATAGTAGTTTCACAAGCTATATGACAATTGTATCCAATCGTTTATTGGAGGCAATTTAGATAATACACTAGCCATGTGGCCAATTTCACTGATAACTGTTTGTATGACAGTTATTCTTAGGATAATACCAGCGAAGACTAGATAAGGTTAATGCTATGTGTAACTTATAATGAAAACTTAGACAAGATTCTACCATTTTCTACTACAAAATACATGTTATTTGTTATAATTTTTTTAAATGAACTGAAAATGTACTTACTTTTAAAGTCTATGCTATTTTCTAGATTTTCCTTGGATATTTTTTCATTTCGCCTCTTGAGATGATGTTTCATACGATTCAATAAATTGTTACTCTCACTTATATCATTGTCCAACTGTTCTTTTAACTTGTCTAGCCTAGTTTCCAGTTCTTTTAGTGTGTTTTTATTGTTTACGTTAGGAACAAGAAAGTGCGATGAATATGAAAACAAAAGCCAAGCACATATTAAACAGACACCGATGATAATAAATTTTCGTAAGTTTACACGCATCGTACACGATTTAATTGAAATTAATTCAGATAAGCATAATGCGTCCGGTTTGTTGGGTGGCTTAGCTCTGTATGATAATTGATCAACATTTCGCGAGCCACGACACTACACGTACTAAATATTGTAAGATAAGTTCAATAGAAATGGTTAGATGTGGTGCGCTCTTCTATAAGGCTACACAAAATAAAAATATTTTAAAAAACTTTATTCACAACATTCAACGAAACATATTACATACATATTTTTAATATCCACATTACCGAAACTCTAAGCTGTCATACGTGAATATTATGGTATTTGACACTGACGTATGTCAGTGGTATGTCAACCAGGTATTTGTACAGTAATGAGCGAAGCTTATTTTAATTTTAAAAGGTTTATTTATTAATTGTATTGTTTAATTATTTTAATTTGGTGAAATTACATTTCTTATTATTTCAAGTAACTTTTAATATAATATAAACAATATGAAATATTGTGCTGTCATAACATACGTTCCATGTAATTTATTTCATCGACATCTGTTTTCTTTTTAAGACACCATCAAAAAGTTCGATTATGGTTTACTAGATGGCGGTGTTTTAAATAATTGCCTAATTGGAATATAGCGCATACGATACGACAAAGCGAATAACACTTTAAATCTCAAATTGCAAGAGATATAACCCTTATTTGAAGCAAAATATCAATGTGAATAAAAGTATGTATACAAAATATTTCACAAACAGAAATATGTTTTTTTTTGCATTATCCGCAATTCAGTTTCGGTTTGTTTCGAATGTGTAAATTCCAATTATAATACAACCGATAATTGTAAAGGCACTCTGCTGATAGCGGCATCACGGTATCTTGATTCTTGTTTAGTAATTATACAACAACGCAGAATTATTGTTGTTCTGCAATATAAGCTTGTTTCGAGCGCTGTCGGTAGGTTTGTTTGTGCAATCATGTTTAAAAACCCGAAATATGTGTATGGGAATTGTGAATGTCGCGTGTTGGCAACACTGCATTTCGGAGAGGAAATATTGAAGAGAATTCGGGCTCATCAGGATAATGTCGCTCTGGTAATACTGAGATGTTAATTTCATTGACCTTTGTCTAATATTTATTAATACTTGTAATGATTATAATCTTGGCATGAATAGTTTACCTACGCTATACGCAGTAATTTTTTATTAAAAATACAATTATTTGCTAGCGTGTATGTTTAAATGGAGATTAATTGTGATAAAAAATCACGTAGTCTGAAATAAAAAGTAATACTGCAATGACGTTTAATGTTTGTTTTACCATTAATTTTATATGTTTAAAATCAATTGTTTACTTCTAACTAAATTATAGTATAAAGTAAGGATAAATATTATATGGTTGTGAATCAACGTTATACAGTGCAACCTTAATATAACGTCTTCCTCGATTTAACAAATTCTTCGTAATCCCCTTGAATTGTCCATAAGAGTCAATATAAAATATACCTTTACATTGCGAGCATTCTTTACGTACAACCTCTTTATAACGAATTTTCAACTATCAAGAAAAAGTATTCATACCTCTAATTAACAAATTTTGCCAACTCGAAACCTTTATAAAGTATTCATTGTTGTTTGATGGAAAGTAATGTAAACACCTCTCTCGTCACTATTGTTAAAGATTTAAGTTAAAATGGATCAGAAACGTAAAAGGTGTCCCTTATCGGTTGCAGAAAAGCGAAACATTATTAATTATGTTGACCAAAATCCCATGACGAAAAAATTAGATATAGCTAATAAGTTCGGGGTTCCCGCAAGTACATTGGCTACACTTTTAAAATTTATAGATAAGTTTTCAGAAGAAAGTGATTTTAATCTAAACAGTAAAAGATAAAAATCATGCGAGTTCAAAGACTAATACGAGTAATATTGAGGTGTATAAAACTATTCTTTTACCTCTTTACAACAAATTTTTAAACCAATCTAACCTCAATATAACAAACCTCAGTTCAACGAATTACTTGATATAACGAACATTTTCTCGTTCGAATTAGTTGTCCGATTTGGTTATATCGAGGTTGCACTGTAATAACATGTCCAAATGCATAAATAATTTAATTGTGCGTAGAAAATGTCTTGTTAAAAATCTGAATCCACTCATACACGCCCAGAAAAATATACCTTGAACTTATCTGAATCGAGCTTGACAACTTGGCGCCGTTACCCGTAAAGTAACGTAATGAGTTATCTATCTGTTATTACAAAATTAAGACCTTACGTATGGAAAGTATTTTGCCTGGATATTCAATAATGTAATTAAAATTTAAAAAATAAATTTCTATTAGGTTAGCTTAAAGTTAAAGCCAAAATCGCAGGATTACGTTCCCATTGCCCGCGCGCAGTTAATATCGATAAACAATATGAACCGGTTTTTTTTTCTAAATAATAATTTAATAAAAAAATATTGTAAATTAATTTATTTATTGTTATCTTATATCGAAATTATTATTCCACTTTAATTCGACATTCGGTTAAATAAATATCTTCTTATGAGAAACCTATCTATCGTTCCGTTATGAATTAAATTTTCATAAAAAACCTTTAACATCTACTTGAATACGTTGAAATTGCGCGTTAGTTGCATATATAAAAGGATTGAGAAATATCGATCACGGACAGGAGACTGTTTCTCAAAATTCACTATTAATCGTAGGTTCGAGTCCTGCTCGCAGTATATCTTTGCTCAATCGATATTTTTTAGATCAATGGCGCAACCGATGAAACGCTTACGTATGCATCCATGGCCCAGGAGGCTATAAATCTTGCCGTCTCGCTCAAACACCTCAATGTAAGAAAGGGAGACGTGATCGCGATATGTTCGGAGAACAGGAGAGAGTTCTGGAGTACTGTTATTGGTATTTTTTGTACTGGCGCTGTAGTGACAGCCATAAACACTACTTATTCCAAAGGTGAGATAATACAATAGCTGTAGCCGTTATCTATACTAATATATATGGCTGAACCGTTTGTTTGTTTGTATGCGCTAATCTCAAGAGCTACTGGTTCGAATAGAAAATTCCTCTTGTGTCGGTTCGAGCAGTGGGAATTGTGGAAAAAACGGAGAAAAATTATTTATCTTTGAGGGTTTCCGTTGCGTGCACTGGGGAAACGGTTCAAAGTACCAAAGTACAAAGGTTCAAAACCCACAAGATATATATAAAAGAATGATAAAATATGTCTATCTTTTAAGATTAACTCGCTCAATAGATATATTACCTACAAAAATAAAACAGTTTAAGGTAACCTATTTTTACGATTAGACTTTTCGTATGTTTTACATACTATATCTACTATCATCTATCTTAATTTAAAACTATTTAAGTATTTATTTTTTTATATACTTCCCTAAATTAGTAATAATATTCGTAAGAAAGCTGTATACTTTTAATTTAGAACCAAAAGAAGTATTTTTGGAATAAAAAACTTAAACGGTTTACAACGCGATATATATTAGTTAAACTAATTTGAAATTGTTTTTAACTACGGCCCGACGTTTCGGATGCTATACAGCAGCCGTGATTGATAACTAATATATATCGCGTGTTTTATCGAAATGTAAACTACTTGTCTAAACCACAGTATTTAAGAAGAAGTGTTTGAATAAGAAATATGTTACTCGGTAAATTAATATTTCCGCATACTAAGAAAATTATGCACCTTTCGTCCTTCTCAAGTCGTATTACATAGCAATTAATATTATCTAAGAGTTGTTATCAGCGCAAATAAAGTTCGCGAAACGATAACACTATCTAAATCAAACTATCTTTATTGTTATTCTCGTAAACACATAATCAATTACTGTGAAACCGTAATGTGTACTTTGTTCGCAATGGTATATCCTTAATATTGCTAGAACAAAGGTTCAAGTACTAATTATAAATTATTACATCATGATAGCGATGTTTGAAGATTTTTTACTACAACCGGCCGTGTGAATTCTGATACGAGCTTTACTTCAAGCGACCAAGAAAATGTTTCAGGAAACTGGCATTTCCTAGAACCAAATATATTATACATACTAGCTTTTCCCCGCGGCTCACACGGTTTAGAACACAGCCTGTCGTTTGGGGGCGAATTTATAAAAACGGTTTTCTTTGTTTCAAATAGTCTGCATACCACTTTATGTTTTGATCCTACAAATTGCGAAATTATCTGCCGCCCCCGATTTTATGAAAGTGAGTTTACAACGAGACAAAAAGCCTGTATTTTTCATTCTTTAAACTATATCGACTTAAAAAATCACTTTAATTCATCTCCAGACCGTTAAATACGGACTTATACAAACAGACAGACATTACACTTTCACATTTATAATATTAGTATGCATATGTCATATGACAACACGCAATTGTTATGGTAGATCTATTATCTATCTATATATGTGTAAACAAATGTGTTTGTATAAATCAGTATAGTCCAAAAGAAAATATAGCTTAGGCTATAAAACGGATCGAAGTAAAATTGTATGGTTACACAATTACTATGATGCAAACCTTTGCTGTAATAAAACAAGTACAAGATTACAATTCTTCGAGACGTTCAGTCTGTGCTTCCGTAGTGTTATTATAATTCTTTATATTTTTTTATAATCGAGGCTGCCAGATAGGCACATCTAAACAACATGCGTAGTCCTATTTTGTCTTTGGACATTTGGATATCCACAGACTGATAACGAAACGCAGATACTCACTGCACGGTTTTTTTTAACCTGTAGACAGGGTTCGTGAGAAAAAAATATTCACAAGTCACATTGGACCCGGCGGTTATCGAATCCACGACCTTATTACTAGCCATACATCGCTACTAAACTTCCCTAAAGCTTCAATCGAGAGATTACGAATAACTAATCTTTAGGGGAATGTGTGCTAAATTGAATAGTCCGTACAGACGAAATTACTTCCAACGCCACTTAATACTATATTTTGACCTAGTTTCAATAACATTGTGATTAAAAAACGAATTAATGCATATATGCCATGTTTTAGCTCTCGATTAGCATATCTAACATAAGTTTTACGTTGTACGTTGTTATATCTTATCAAGCAAGCAATTTAGGTTAAATTTAAGTATTGTTTAAGCTTCTATCTGTCACTGCTAATCGTATTAATTGAATATATACTGAACTTTGTTCGTGTGTATGTCGAGTGTTTACGAAGCGATTTTAGTATTACGTCATCATAATGTAATAAAACACTATTGACAGTTTTAAACCTAAACTGGTTTAAGACCGCGACTGTTGCTAAGCAAACTAAACATCGCTTTAGTTAATTTGAAAAAAATAACTTACATATTTCACGTTTTAAACGGTTAAATATGTTTTATTTTAATGTAGACTACAGACAGTATCTCAGCTTAATATACCAATGTAACAGTTATTATACTTATTACTATTAATATCTTTACTATATTCAATTTTGAGCTACAAAACATTTTGGCACGGATCAACCAACCAAAAGTAGCTTTCATGTCTTTCTTCCTTGACTGCGCTGGCGCAGCAACTCAGTGGGTGTCGGCCTCTAGAACAAGCAAGCGCCACTTTTGTATTATCTACCTTTTCCTAAAATTGAATTTAAGTAGTCGCACGAAATACAGTTTTGACGTATTTGTGTGCCCACATCAGCGTTATTATTCAAGTTTCAGCTAGACATACAAACAGAACTGATTATTTATTGCATAAAAATAGTTTTTCACTAAGTATATCCGAAGCGAACCCAGGAGCCAACAACATATCCCGATAATGCCGTCCGCTCGCGATAGCGAAACGTCGAGAACCTCTTATCGCTTACGTCGGCCGAGCAGCCCGAAAAAAGCCCGTGAAAGCTTTACAGAATTTATTAAACCCTATGCTTGTCTGTCCTCTATGTAAAAAAATTAAAATCTTCAATCTTTAACCAAGTCAAGAGTTCTTTAAGGAAATATTAAAGAATCATTAATTTATTCTCATTCGTGCGCTGTTTTCCTCATACATTTTGTCATATCATGATATATTTATCTAGCGAATACCTAATCTTTATCATTCATTATAAAATTAGCTGACTCACAGCTAACAAAGGTCACATCGGCTTATGATTAATACGTACAACACATGTTCGTATCTGATGATAATATACGTGAAAATGCCTTATACACTGATCTTTATTTTATGATTGTTTTTGCGGAAGAAATTTGTGGTTTACGCAACGCACGCAATGAAAACCTTCCCTCACAAATGAAGAATTTTTCTAGTTTTTCCACATTTCCCTCTTATTTTTTCGTTCCGGTTGGCCGTAGCCCGATGTTTCATAGCCTAAAACCTTCCTCGATTAAAGGTCTAACTTACACAAAAATAATTTTTCATTTCGAATTAGTAGTTCCTGAGATAAGCGCGTTTAGACAAACAAACTCTTGGTCTTATTTTCCAAAAAATAATCAATCAGCACTACAATCCTCTACAATAATGACAACTTTATTCAATTTCAGATGAAATGAAACACGTACTGGGCATCTCAAAGCCGAAGTACATCTTTTGTTCACCATCCACCTACAAACAGCATTCGAAGAGCTTTAAATCGATAGAAAAAATCATTATTTACGGAGACGAGAGATTCAGTAACACAATAGCTTATAACGATTTGGCCGTTGCCAACGTTAAAAATAAGGTGTTAAGGGAAAATGTCAAATATGACGATTTCATGTGTGTGGATGTGAACGGACAGACGGATGTGGGTGTGATTTTGTATTCTTCTGGGACAACCGGTTTACCGAAGGGGGTTATGCTGACACATCTTAACGTATTGGCCGCTTGTACGTAAGTATATAAGTGGAATACTATATATTTCGACGTGAAAATGAATCCTTTACCGCTTCGTCATGAACGTAGTATAGGGGAGTAAAGGAAAGCAGATACCTCCATAGAAATCGAACAAGCAGAATAGAGAAATTTATTTATTTAATTTTAATTTACATTTCCATCTTTACAGCTTATAACATACTAATACAATGAAAATGACATATATGGTTCTCTTCCAATTTAAATTTCTAACATAACATGTTGATGAAGTGACATGCCATTTCAGACCTATGGACGGGGGATTTGTTACTAAGTCACTGGCGATAGCACCATGGTATCATAGCATGGGGTTAATATCCACCATGAGACAGTACTTCATGGGATCCACCATCGTTTATTTGCCTAAATTCGAAGTGGAGCTATACTTGAAGACAATTGAAACATATAAGGTGTTGTTTATAATCCAATAAATAATTTAGTTCTATAGAATGGTATGGTGTCTAGCTAGCGTTCGCGGATTCGAATTATGTACTAAACAGTATAATAGCTTTATACAGTACTAAAGGATATGGCACACGTTCTTTTGCCTTAAGAAGTACCCTAGCTGTGTCAGCGATTTCGTCCGCGTAGAATAGCTATTTTAGACATCAATATTTGTTTTTACAAACCTCATTCGCGCACCTTGATGTCCATCTTAAAAGACACATATAGAGTCGCGAACATTTTTAGATCATTTAAAGAGGACTCATTTAAGTATTAAACATGAATTAATTCTGCACTATTTTTATTTATATATTTCAGATACTGTCTTTGGCCGTATCACCACCTGTATTAGTCGCTATAAGCAAATTTAAATCCAAGTACGACCTAAGCTCAGTTGCAACCATTCACTGCGGTGCAGCGCCGTTATACGAAGAAACAGCTAACGCAGCTACACAAATGTAAGTAAGCAATCTTCCCACTTGCGTGGTATGGTCACTATAGGCCACGCAAATAATAAATAATGGACTGAAGAAATATAGTTCGCCCATAATTTCGCTGTGTCAAAATTTCTGTGTTTTCAAACAAACTGATATTATTATGTATTACAAATGTGTTTGCAAAATTCCGTTTCCCCCGTGGGCGTGGGGCGAACACATTGTATTTATTGTACTGTAATTTGAACTAGTTCTTAACAAGTCTTTAACAAATTGTGTAAGGCTTTCACCGCCATCGTTAAGCATATCATATAAACAACGATATAATTCTTTATTATTTAGTTTTATCCATATAAAAGTGAAGTCCCGTTTCCCCCGTGGGGTATAGGGCAAAGTTCGTAAGTTCGTTTCCCCGGTATTCGAATCCAAGACCTCTCTTGTTTAACGCAATGCTAGGCAACACATTCAACCATTCAGCTACAGCGCCGGTCACTATAGTTTTATACTTATTGTCGTTTTGTATAGCTTTCTTCTTTAAATTTGTCTTGTACAGTGTTAAAAGTAATCTCTCAGTCTCTATTTTGTTGTATTCTATATAAGATTTAAATAAATAAACATTATTTGCAGCTTTCCGAACCTCCAAGGCCTGTTCCAGGGATACGGTTTAACAGAGACTACCCTAGCTTTAACCTTCAGTTATAACTCGGAAAAAAGTGGCAGCGTCGGTGGCGTTGTTGACAACGCAATCCTAAAGGTTTTTATAATCGTATACTAAGTGGCACTTACGTCCTTTTGAATTTGAACGGTTACGTTTCATCTTTTGTAAACACAAATATTGTAATTGTCATTCTTTCATAAACACAAATAACACCTTTAACGTTTTAAATAACAATATATATTAGTCTAGTCTAGTCGTTTCCGAGTTGAGACCAAAAGCTCTAAAGCAAGGACAGAGGAAAAGAGCCGCTATTATTAAAATTGTCGATGGTCGACGAGTGTTACACCTTTAAAGTTTTGAAAGGCGAAAAATTATAAATTTTAATGTATTTCGTTGCCCCGTGACCATGGCTCCCACAAAAAATCTGAAACGGGTCGTACACAATTTCAAATTAAGTCCACTTATTATTTTGCGTTTTAAACCGTTTAAAGTGTTTTATTGACATGTTTACTACCCGCGTAAACGTACAGTCAGTACACATCTTTTTCCTTTCTATAAAGTTTTCTTTTGGTCAACTTGGAAACAACTTATAGATGTTTGTAAATATTATGTAAATGCACTTTCCTCGATCAGATCGTGAACCCAGAAACAAAGGAGGTGCTAGGACCCAATCAAGAGGGGGAAATATATGCCAAGGGGGTGTCTGTGATGAAGGGCTACATCGGAAGGGACAGAAAGCTGGACTTCGACGATGAAGGATTTTTCAGAACTGGTGATGTCGGGTATTACGATGAAGATAGATATTTCTACATCGTGGATCGGCTGAAAGAGCTGATCAAGTACAAGGGATATCAGGTAGGTTTATGACCATGAAAGATGTTTTTTTATGATAGAGGAGACCAGACAAGCATGGGGGTCACCTGATGGGAGGTGACATGCCTCAGCCATATAACACCTACACAAGTTGCGTCGTCGATCTATTTTGGCTTTGGAGGCATCCATCCGGAGGCATACGGATAATTTCGATATTCCTGCCTACGTTACGTATTTTATCCTTATTGCGTGTATTATATTGATGAAAACTATCTTTTGTTTTAAAATTGTGTACATTTTTCCGGGCAAAAAAACGTTTACGTAAATATACTGACTTGCTAACGTAAGAATATTCAATGAATTAAATTTATATCGTGGGGAACGACCACAAATCGCTTGAACAGCCCGTATATATTGGTTTACAGTTCCTTTCGGATTAGTTATCAGTTGCGATCCTGACAACTAAATGAAGATTTTATATTTGTTTCACTTTCCTAATTTGAAAACTAGAGCATAGTAGTAGAAAGCCATTTTATTAACGTTCAACGTTTGACTTTGGATTTGAATCTCATTTTGATTGCAGGTACCCCCAGCGGAAATCGAAGCGGTACTTCTGAAGCACAGCGGCATACGTGATGCTGGAGTGATAGGAGTGCGCGATTTATTGGCTGGCGAGTTGCCCCTGGCGTTTGTCGCTCTCCAACCGGGTGTACAGCTGACAGAGAAAGAGATACAAGACTATGTGGCCGAGAGGGTAAGAATAAAATCGGTCCAGTTTTTAGATAAGTTAGATCAAAATATACTCTCTTGAAACTGTTACCTATTACTGTCTTAACATACTAAAGAATTTAAATAAAGGGAAGACAAGTGCTGTGACCACGGCTGCTGCAAAGCAATCGAAACTTCGGGCCGTAGTTAAAATAATTTCCAAATAAGTTTAAATAATATACATCGAGTTTTAAACCGTTAAGGTGTTTTAATTAAATGTGTATTACTCGCGTAAAGTACAGACAATCTAAAATATATATTTATTATTTTTCAGCTATCAAATCCAAAGCATCTTCGTGGCGGAGTGAGATTCCTACCAGAAATACCAAAGAATCCGTCCGGGAAAATATTAAGAAAAGAACTAAGAAAGTTGGTTAAAAGTCCAAAGAGTAAAATCTAATAACAACTTCTAATATATCCTTGGCGATATATGACAAAACATTTAACTTCTGGTTTCTGGTTCTTTTTGAATGGGAAAAAATATTTAGATGGAAAGTGAGGATATAATAAAACTTAAGAAATCTTTAGTTTTCGCCAGTAGTATACATTTCAATGCAACATTTTTAACCGTTTAAAACACGTTGTAAGGATGCGAAACGTTTGGCCATAGTTAAATTCAAAATAAGTATATTACGCGTTTTGACCAGTTAAACGTGTTTTAAAGCTTTAGTGTCTTCAGATTCGTAAAATATGAAAGGACCTAGTTAAAGGAATTACTTAATTATAAAGTTGTGATTCATCTATCGCCAAGTTTTACTGTCAAATTTTAATTTAAGAGATTTCGATTCGAAATCTTTTTGTTTAGCTGCATTAATTATCTTTAACCATAAAAAGAGGTAATAGGTAATAGGTAGGTAAATATGTATGCGAAAGACAGTGTATTTAATTTAATTTTTTTATTGTATAATATTAATATTAAGTAAGTGTAGTTTTAACGTTGTGTTAATACAATATAATATTTGTGGTCCATGTTTGTGTTATTTTTTAGATTGTTATAGCTGAATTTTTATTTTATATATTACTAGCGGCCCGTCCCGGCTTCGCACGGGTAGACATAAATAGGTACATTATAAATATGCTAATTAAAACGACCATGAATCACTAAATTAGAAAAAAAAGTATGCGCGTCCTAGCTGTTAACGACCGTTGTCTATCGCGCTATGTCAGGAGCCGCTGCGAGCGTTCAGTGTTAGAGTCCCGTGCACGCGTTCGCGAATTCCTAGCTCTATTTCCTTCAAGTCGCTGCGACGATCTTGCATCTTGTTCTGCAAGACGAACTGAACGTTCGACACTAGATTCTCTGGCTCGCGATTGGGACGCGTGCGCTCTAATACTTTCCAGACGATCATTTTTAGAAGAAGACTCTCCAATACGACGAACTTGTGCTAATCTCGCTTGGGAACTATTCTTAGGTATTAACTTTAAATCAGAGAAATTAAGAATAAACTAATAATAATACAAAAGAAAATATTCAAGTTCAAAGCGATAGTTCTGAAAATAACAAACATTATGCAAAGTGTGATTCCTAATAGTAAAACTAAGTAGCTCTGAAAAGAACTTTTTAAGTGAAGCATAAAAATGTTTAAAAAAAAACGAAATATTCAATGTCGGTCGTGTCCACTGCGTAAGGAACTAAGGAGCCAACTGCCCCTTTCGTCGAGTTAGTTACTCGATGCGCGGCGCGGCGGCCGCCGGCATGTATTTTTATTTTAACTTCATGATATCTTTTGAATGGCATGTCCGTTTTTAATATTTAAAAAAGTAATCATCGGGTATTGAGACAGACTTGAATATTAAATTATTTATTTGGATAAAAATTCCTTTCAATATCCAAATAAATAATTTATAAATGGTATGGATAACACGGTTTAATTTTGATCGGCATTTCTATCAATTTGTTAAATGTAAAAAAGTAGTTTTAGCGACGTAACTACAACAGTTAGACATATGCTGTCGAGATGTTTTTTGTAGATATACAGTGTAAACTCCATGTAACGTCACTCTATTTAACGACAAACTCTCTTAAGCGTCGAAATTAATTGGCTTTGGTTGGTTTAGCTTGTTTTTCATACAATGTTTCTTCTCTCCATTTAACGACAACTCTCTATAACGCCATAAAATGCACAGTCCCTTCAGTGTCGCTATATATATAGAGTTTACACTGTATATTCTATAATATTGTCAAACATTTTTTTGTCCTATCATTAATACTTTTCGCAGCGTATGCGAAGAAAGACATTTTACGGCTAATTTTTTTACGCCTTCCGTTGGTTTTAGTAATAATTTCTATAGATGCCTATAGCCATCAAGTACTAAATATAGCCTAAGTTACTCAGTGATAATGTAGCTTTCTAATGAGAGAAAACAATTATTCAAATCAGCCCAATACTTTTTGAGTTTATCTATTACATACATAAATACAAATCTTTCCTCTTTATAATATTAGTATAGACTAGCTATGCCAGCGACTTTATCTGCTTAGAATATTTATTTTGGCCATTTAAATTCATTTTTGCAAACCCCTTTATCTTTATAAACTTATGCTGTTTCCCACGATGTCGGTTGCGTCCCTTCCCGTCGTTCTTACAAGTTAATCTTAAAAGATAGACATATTTATTTCATAGTTCTTGAGATTGCTTTCAAACAAACAAACTCTTTAGCTTTATTTATCAGTGTAGATATTATTTATATTTTTCCATAAACAGACACCGACAAGAACAATTGCTAAACTTTATTGGCAGGCGTAAGAAACTTCAAAGAACAAAAAAGCCCTATAAAATAACACCTAGTTACGTAAAAGTTTCACTTTACATGAATCGTTTTTAGTCACTTAAGCTTCGACATCCGGTTTGATAATACTTTCGTTTTCGACGTTCGTGATATTACAACAAATATAAATAATACGTTTAAAATATCTTAGTGTACAATGCACAGATAAGACACGCAAAAATGTCTCATTCACGCTTGAATTTACCAATATTAATAATAGCGTTGTTGAGTGTTGTGAAAACGAAAAGTGAATTTGTCAATGAAAATTTATACGATTCAAAGAACATCCTAAGCGATAGTACTATCGGTTTACAAAGACTTATAAATGAGAAGAAATTCGACGAAAATCTAGTGAAAAGTGTCGGTCAGAACGCCAACGTCGTGAATAATTACGAAGAAATAACAGTCTTAGACAATGGTGAATTGAAAAACTTGAAATATAAATCAGCGAAACCCAAACTTCCCGGGAATTTTAAAGTGACAAATAGAGATTCAGTGAGAAGTAGTGTCAAAGGGAAACTGGATAAAACCAAGTCGAAGTTCTTCGATGAGATTGGATGTAAGTACTGTTCATTATTGTTTCAATTCACCCCATTCACGTCAAGGAGACACGGTGATTATACTATGTTATAATTTATAATTATAAATTTGTTTATAGACTAGAACTTACTGAAATTGCTGTGTTCAGTAAAAAATTACTGAGCTTTACAAAATAATGAGTTCGCACAAGTTTAGGTAAAAAACCGTATAGTACCTATAATATTTAAATAAAAAAAGACGCACTGTATACCTCCATCGATCGACGTTTTTAATTATATTCTATACTTTGGTTTTTTACGTTAAAACAGTACTCTCAAAACTGATATTAATACTATTTTAGACAGATAAGATAAGTGAAAAATACGTAAACATTGAGATTACTATCTAGATTGATTTACAATCAAAATAGTAACCTGTATTGCCTAAAAAATGACTTTCCTCGGATTGAATCCAGGACCTCGTGCACAATTAACTTGGAAATTAAATTGGACGCCTACTTAGTGTCCGTTTTTAATTTCATTCAAACATATTTGTTACCTATTAGTCATAACTCTACGCATCTTATGTAATAGTAAAATACGCCAATCAACAAATAAAATTGATTAGTCATTGTTACTTTATAATTGGACAAGAGGCAACGCTGCACAATGTGAAAGTATGCGAGACTATTTGACCCGGAGTAAGCCAGACCTTTTCGTAACAGAAGAAGAAAGGAATAATATGAAATTAGAATTTAAGCCTTAAATTCCATCCGACATAAGGCCGCTGGAGGCAGAGTGGCCTGATAATTAAAACATGATTTTAAATAAGGAGGAAAATAAAAATGCGCAATTAACTTCGGCGGCATTGAATTTGTACTATTATTTGTATAAAACTAATCTTAACAAATTTCGGTCACTGTGCTCTGGTAGATTAACAATACAAGTATATAAAAATATTAATAAGTCAAGCCTTAAAATTGCATATAGGCTAATCTGACTCTAGCGGCCTAAGAAATATAAAATAGCCGACGTCAATACTATTCGTTTGACATTCAGTTCTTTCAAGAATTTGAATTTTGACAGGTGTTATGGTCGATGTTATGGTAGTAATGTATGGCTAATAATCAACGGGTCCAACATGTTTCTAACAAATTTATAATTTTTCTGAATCATGATGAACATTATCTGGAAGTCTGGATATTAACTGGGCGGAAGGAATATCGAAATTCCGTCCCGGTCACGAACCAGCGTCCACAGGTGAAAAAGCCAAAATTAGTCGCGTTTCGGTATCAGTCTGTGGATTTCAGTATATCCAAAGCCAAAATACGTAAACAGCGCGTCTTGTTGAGATGTTACATGATTGGAATTTTCACCAACAATCAAAAGAGCCCTCCTTTATCATAAAAGAGCGCTTCAGTAAAAAATATGTACATATACTAAATTTACCATAACTCGACGAGTCTTTCCTTTCGTCGAAGTCGGGTACACAAAAAGATTTGTTTTCTACTAGATTTCTAATAAACTAACACCTGTTCAAACAAACAAGATCTATGTACAAGTGCCCCAGAAATCTAGCCTAGATCACACTTAGATCTATGCAAAACCGAAAACCCCGTTCAGTGACGTCTGACATTCTAAATATAAAAATTAAAAGTAAAACCGGAGGCGGCTTTCAAACAGCTCTCGCCGACACCTCTCTCTAGGCGCCTGTTCAGGGGTAATCAACATTTATTCAACTTGTTTCCTTATTTCAAACGTTACGTTCTTTACGGCGCGTTATATGCCTTTGCTAAGTTAAGTAAGCAATATATATTTGAATAATCGTAAATTTATTGTAACCTAATTGTATACCCTTTTTAAACCCTTATGAGTGAAGATGGAGATTATAAGGTGTTTACTGATAAAACTGTCTGTAATAGTACTGTACGAGAGTAAAACACATTAAGATAAAACACTTAAACGGTTTAAAATGCGATACATATGAATTAAACTTTTCGTGGAACGTCAGGCCGTAGTTAAAATGATTCCCAAATTAACTTATATATAACGCGGTTTATACCGTTAAAGTCTTTTACCTTAATAATAAATGTTGCCACAAAATTAATGTTAAAATAATTTGTCAGTCATGTCTGGTAGTAATTGGTTCGTAAAATGTTGAGTACCCCTCAATAAAACGTAACAGCCCGACAAGTAAGATGCGACAGTGTTGCGGCTAAGCTATTTTCAATAGCACGCGTAAAGATTATTATTAGTAGCAAGTGATAATCATTTATTTTATATTTATTTTTTTCTATAAAAAATCTAAGTTGGTAAGTGGGAACGTTGAAACGAATATCTATAACAATTTGAAGAATCCAATCGGGCGATACTTACAGTTTAGATGATGGTTTTCTTTAATATTTTTCACAAATTTTATATTTTCCAAGTATAAACGCATACACATACTTTCCTCTGATGAACTTAAAATCCTGTATTATTTTAAATCACCGGTAATAAGAAAAAGGTACACGCCTTTAAAATCCTCTAGAATCACGACAAACAGACAGACAAACCAAAAAAAAATTGACGAATCTAAATAATTTTTAAAAATTTAAAGTATATTTTATATTTACTTTAAATCTAATCTTATATAGTCTTAAAAAGATCATAAAAGTTTTAACATTAACAATAGTTTATTATACATATGTTGGAAATCTACGAAGCATGAAGAATGAGAATATTCTTTGTATTGAATCAGTACTTTCTGACGAGATAGCTTTATGCTGAGTAACCTTATAATTATTGGTAGATATTTAGATATTGAACTAGTTTACGCGAATAGTATATGTGTGTACACATTTAAGTAAAGCAGTTTTAACGGTATAATATGCAAAATATGTTCCAAAGTGCAAAGAAAAATGCTGCAAAGTATCCGAAACGTCGGGCCGTAGTTAAAATAAATTGTAATACAGTAATATATGTCGCCTTTTAAACGTTGAAAGTGTTTTATTTAAATGTAGGTTTTATATATATAAAAGTAATTGACTAGATTGAATCTCGGGGTAATATAACACAGAAGAGAAATAGATTCAGAACCGTGTCTACCCCATGCTCCATATTCGGGGGAAACGGTACACAGTTACTTAATTTTTACATAGTGAATCTAGTAGTTCGACTTTGTGAAATAACACTTAAAATATGGCAACAATAGTTTCAACGCATCAACATCCGCAAAAGAATTGCTCATCTTACGACAGTATAATAATATTGTTATATGCAAAAACGTCACGTTCCGTTTCACACGACTCTTTTGAGCGTTTGACCTGGAAAAGTCGTGACTTCAAAATCTAATTTTCTTCTCTAATGACATTAAAAAGTATATTTAAACATCGCTCTTCTGCTTATGTAGCATACAAATTTTGTGTAATTATTATAGTTTTAAACCGTCTCTGTGCTGTGTTCACAAGAGATCGTGTCTTCGATCTGGGAAACATAATAATTATTTCGGTAGAGTAGGCCACTATTCTGATCTATTAATTGCGATAACTGAATAATCTTATTTACATAAAGAAAATACGTAGAACACTTTTTAACTTATTTTTAATTTATTTTTTTACGCCCAACGTTTCCTATACTTTGCAATGGCCCTGATCACGTGGGTTATTTAAGATGGAGGGTGTCCCTAATGTCAATGTCAAATCTACGCTAGCGCCATCTGTTTCGTCGTAGTTAACTAATTGCTTTGCGTTTCAAAAAGTTAAAAGTGTTTTACTGAAATGTGTCCTATTTGCGCTAACTACAGACATAAATAAGTTGTAGCTTTAGTTAATTTTAGGCCTCCAATATATACCAGAATTCTTATCTGTTTTATTAATGGAGTTTTACCCGAGGCCAAGTAGCCTCCTCCAATCGACACAATTTACATGTTTCAAACTTCCCATCAATAAAAAAGAGAAGTAATAATAGAAGTAATAATTCTACTTAAGAGTCTATTTTCTTTCATAAACGCGTTAAATAAATGTGCGCATATAAGACACGGTCTCATGTAAATAATCCTTGCAACATAAAAACAATAAAAAGTTACGCAACGTCGGCCTAAAAAAGAAAGTGGTCACGTAATTCACGTACAACGGAACGGTCCATCTTCAGCCAACTCGCTTTCATTTTGCGCGCGAAACGCAATTTGCCGCCAGTATGAGGAAAGGTTAGAATGACATTGATTTTCTACATGGCTCGTATAGTTTACCATTGGATAAAGAGGGCTTAAAAAATCCCTATACAGTAGCTCAATATTGGAGTGGTTTTAAACGATACGGTACATATCGTATTTCTAATCTTCCTCTAGATCCTCTATTTATAAGCAAAATTCGTAGGATGTTTTATAACACTATAGACAATTCTACCCAAGGCAATTCAAACACTTGACGTAGACGAATAAATTTTTAATAAAAGACTCTTTTTAACTGGCTTTAAACCTGAAATGTATTATAGGATGCTTTGCAGCAGCCGTGGAAACGGGCGGAATGTTGCAAAGCATCCGAAATGTCGGATTAGTATATGTAGTTAAAATACATTAAAAATATATAACTAATGTGAAATATGTTTTAAACCGTCAAAAGTTGACTTTTTGAGAGACTGTTGTTTACACGAGTAGTACGCATTTAAATGAAACAAATTTGTCCTATTTAAAACCATCTATTAATAATGACGAAACTTCGAAACCCATTTCTCTTCGACAACCCAACATAATAAAATGACTTATTGTTAAATACTGTCTATAGTTTACGCGAGTAGTACACGGGGAGACTGCCCGTGACCACGGCTGCTGCAAAGCATCCGAAACGTCGGGCCGAAGTTAAAAATCATTTTCAAATAAGTTTAACGAATATATCGCGTTTTAAACCGTTAAAGTGTTTTATTTAAATGACTTATTGTTTTTCAAACAATCATTTTGGACGGGAAATGTTGTACGAACGATATTGCCTATAGTTATGCTAAACCAACTTTTGCGTTCCTCTAAACTTGTTATTTACGTTGTAATAATGTGTCGTTGTTACATTATGGTAACCCTAGCAACGATAGAAAGACTCCGTTACTATCTCTTCATCTAAACGCAGCTACTGATAATGATTAATTACCTCAATCGATTAAAATAATTTGACTCAATTAAGCTGTTTGCATTGTTTTACTTATGTGTTCATCGATCTAGTTTAATGCAGGGTTGTCAACATTTTTTATAATTTTTATACAAATAACCGTATTTAAAAAGCGACATCTATATGTATTATTAGAATGATTTTTCTTTAAATGATCTAAAAAAATGTCCACGACACTTTGTCTATTTTTGAGTATTAAGGCGCAAGAACTACGGGACGCGACCGATGTCGTGGGTAAAATTAAATGTATAAAAATGACGACGAGGCTTACAAAAACAAATATGGGTTACTAAAAAAAATTAACTCTACGCAGATGAAGTCGCTGACTCAGCTAGTACTTATTTAAATGGACCCTCAATCCATTCACACTTAAATAAATGTACTACTTTTTAAATAAAACACTGGTAGATAACTCGTCAGTTAACCTACCAGGCAATTGAAATATTATTACCGGACCTTTAAGTTAATTTTACATATCATTTGAATCAAATAATCATTAAACAACTCGTATTTAAATAGCGCCTTTAATACATGGTTTTAGGGTTCATTTCTATATCTGATGACACTTGTTTATGTCCTTTTGACTTTCATTAGCTTTCGAAAGTCTAGGGAAAGTTCGGAGCATGTCCAAAGAGGTTTTATACCTTTTGTAATTGTTTTACGAGATCAAAGGTGTTATATATTTTTATTATGCAATTAAAGTGTTTTTTTTTTTCAAGTTGTAGCTCTAACCGCTTTCACTAAGCCCTTGCGAACTGTCCCTTTAGTAAACGTTCTACAATCTCTATATTGATCTTAACGCTACTGATCGATACAGGATACTTTATTTAACGTGTTATAGGCTCAAATCCCGCTAGGTCTAACGTGTTCCTTCCTGCTTTTTTGTTACTTTTGCTTCTTTAAATTTAATATTGTTAGAATATTTCACTTTCTGTCAAGAGAAACCCATGCTTTTGTCCTCCTCTGCAATGAAAACAGTAGGAAGCGGTGAAAACCCGGTCTTACTGGGAAGTTAAACCTCGTTGGATTCTTAAACAATTTTCCGTGTTGCCATAACAAAAAGCGTTACATCAACGCAAATAATTGAAATGTGAAATTGTGTCATAATTAATCCAATCCGCAGATAATGAAAACCGTTGCGCAATAGGTACATTAACACAGAATAAATAAAACATTAACACGTAACACAGAGAAAATGAAACGAAAGTGAACGCACGTTACTTCCGATTTAGGCGCGGGCGCATCAAGACGTTAGTGTTGCTATGTACAAAATTGTGTCAAAGTGAAATGTGTGTGCGGAGTGCGCGAAATTTCAAAATTCGAAGAAGAATGTTGTGTTTTTTACTCCTCGTTGTGGTGAATTTGGCGGGTGGTTCGGACACAGACAACGATGTATTCTCTATGGACGAAAGTTTGGAAGCGTCCGATAGGCGGAGGCCGGCCAACGGTCAGGAGAAGGATATTTTGTTGTTGGACGCGCTGGGGAGGCGGAAAGGCTCGTACGGCACCGGCTATAGCTCGTCACAGGAAGACGAATCTATTATGGACCTTTTGGGCAAAAGTAAGTATCGTTGACTATGAACAACTACTAATTTCAAGTCTTAGGCAGTACGTTACACAAGACTTGAAAAAAAAGTAAAATTCCTTTGAAAGACGTTCGTCTTTCTTTAAGTTACTCCTTTAACTTTGTGAGACTCCTTGGTGTTAATGGATCTTATCAATGGGTAATTCAATTAAACGTATAATTTTGATGGTAGGAAAGTCGATATTCCTCCAGGCCACGACCACCACCCACAGATGGACAAGCCGTGACGATGATCGCGTTTGGGTTTCAGTTTGTGGATTTTTTAATATCAAAGGACAAAATAGGCCATCAGCGCATCTTGTCTTGTTAATATGCTGGGGTATTTTATCTCTCCTTCTCTATTATATAAAAAAAGAAAATATCAAATCTAACTTTTGTTTTACTACTACTAATTTTTAAAAATCTCAGTTTACAACAATCTAAGAATGGAAAACACTTTTAAATAAGGGTAGTATGTACAACAAAGTCGTAAAATAATAAAATGGTAACGGAGTCGGGGGCTTGGTTCTACTTTAAATATAGTAGGGCACAGCACCAGTTTTCGGGTCTTAAAAATTACCGCGAAAGTTCTTAACGTATCCGACAAGTTTAACAAAGAAAATTGAAATTATGAAGTATATAATCATAGACATTAACTAAAATACGACTAATGTAGCTAAAAACATGACAAGTTACAAATATTTTCAGCACTCGGGTATTTTCTTATAATATATGCATACTAATATATAAAAGTTAAAGAGTTTGTTTGTTAGTTTCAACGTTTGTATAAACGGGTTAATCTTAGAATATACCAGGTCGTGAAAAGTATTTTTTTTGTTAGGTAGATAGATCATTTATCGCAAAGGCTTTAAGGCAGAAACAGGGGAATAAAGGGGAAAGTTTATCATCATTAGTGGCTTCCGTTGCGTGCCCTGCATAAACTGTTCAAGAAACCAAAAACTATGTTTAAAGAATGAATCCTTTTTAAATGATTTAAAATAATGTCCGCGACTGTATATGTCTATTTATTAAGATTAACTCGCAAGGACCGTTTTTTAGTAATAAGACTTGGTCAAAATTAATTCATTATTACCAATTATTTGTGAAAGTGTCGATACAACTCTCACAAATTGGAAAATTTGTATAAATATTGGAAACAATAAAACAACGTTTACCGGGACAGCTAGTAAATAAGAGAATATAATACAGACTGTATCTAGAACATTTTAGACTCGCGTTTCTTAAAGGACTATGAGACGAAGCTTAAATTTACAGTTAAATAGCATAATACAAAGAAAAAACCATAAAAAATGAGTTTATACACAAGTGTTAAGAGACGGTTAAAAAGAGTTCAAGTTCAAGAAAAGAAACTCAGTTCTCTAAATTTTGGATTTTTTGTGTCCAAATGTAATTACTGGTTTTAATTGACCTTCATTAGATTCTGGGTTATCATATATTTTGCTGACAAATTATTCTGAACGAAGCCAGGTCAAACTATTGCCAGCAAACCATTTCAGACTTGCTATATGTTACAACCCGGATTTCGTCATAATTAAGACGAAATTGACATGCCTGTTTCAATTAAAACCTATAGGTGGAACTTTTGTCCAAAAGTGTATAATTTGAAGATATAATTTGTATAAAACTTCTTCCTTGAAAGGTATAATAAATGTTTAATAAAAACTTTTAAAGGTTCGAAACCCGAAATATATTAGTTGATTATTTGCAATTTATTTGAACTCCCGCCCTGACCACGGCTACTGCTAAGCATCCGAAACGTCAGGCCAAAGTTATGAATATTTTTTTATAAATTAACTGATATATTTCGCGACTTAAGCGTTTAAAAGCGCCTTAAGGACTTATTCAGGTTTAATACTTATGTTATAAATAACCAAGAGACGATGTATGATGGGAAATGTTATTTTGCTAGTTTGTGGATTACTTGTAATGCGTTGCTTGAGATTTTTTTTAGAATCCCATATCAGTAGGAGAAACGAGAGTTTACCACCCCAATTATACAAAAGATCTTATATCTTAAGGTTAGGAAACTAGTGTATATCAGTGTTTTTTTTATATAAAATCGAGTACTTTCTCGACATACAACACGCCAAGAGATAATCTACTTATCTAAAAAAACTCTCAGCTATGTAAATGAGAAAAGTTAGGCCAAATAATAATAGAAGGTGAACCACCTCGATGTCAATATATCATTTTCACTGTATTCCATTTACTATCATTAACTTTGATCACGCGATCTCGAAGCAATTAATGGCTTCTTGATACAACAAATATTAGGTAAATTGCACATGGAATGTTGAAGTGAAAAGCCACGCGGGAGTTTGGTCCAAACCCCACGTGAGTGATATTTTTTGTGTCTCTCCTGCTTTTACCCTACTACGGCGAAGCGGGAAGGCAACGTACGAATTTTTAAAGATAGGACCACAAAAAATACCAAGTAAAGTTATGGTTCTGAATTCAAGGTTAGGATCTCTTAAAAAAGGGGCAAACTTCCCCTTCTACTTAAAAGATTCAAGGTCTTGTCCACGACGTCGTCCGCGTCCCGTTGTTCTTGCAAGTTAATCTTAAAAGACAAACATATATTTACGCGGACATATTTTTAGATCATTTATATAAGAATTATCCTTTTTTAATTTTTTTTTTGGGTTTCTTGAACCATTCTCGCAGCGTACGCAACGGAAAACCACAAAGATCTCCCCATTTCCTGCTTTTAGCCCCAGTGGTTCCTAAGATTAGCGTCTTTAAACAAAAAATAAACTCTCCGCTTTATATATAGTATACTTGAAATAAGGTAGGCTAGCTATCCTCAAATATAGGCTTCATAAAATAACTATTTCATTTGCGGGGAATCGTATTCGTTTGTATAATTCATTGACAGTTGAGGTTTCAAATTTATCAATAAATAAGTTTTAAAAAGTCATAAAATTTAGATTGTCTCAAAAGGCGTACTATAAAGACTTCTTTAATGACAGGGCTGCCTGGCAGTGATATGAATTACGCCTTAGGAGATTAAATTCACAAAAATGCATTAGTTTGTAAGACATGTTGAAAAAAGCCAGACTGAGTTTCTTGGGTGTCCTTCTCGGCGATGTTGCTCTTTTGAACACTCTGTAGAATCACGACGAACGGACACATAAACATATTAGTTAATATTTTTTTGACAAATCTAACTAATTTTTATAATTTTACAGAGAATAAAAAAATATATATTTTTTTATAAATTTAAAGTAATAAAACTGTATAAGATTTTGTGTGTTATGCAATTTCCCTCTCCATTGCAGTGATCCCTCAATCTTGCCGCTTCCGTGGAGCTCGGTATTCCTGCGGGCTGAGCATTTCGTGTGTCCTGGGGGGTGGGAAACCCCTCGATCTCTGTTCCGGGGGGATGATTTGGGCCTGCTGCGTGGACCGGGACACGACCGAGAAACCAACTGAGATTGCCCCGATTGTACATAATGCTAGTAAGTACATTCCGTTTTAATAACATATATTAAAAATAACCGATAAAATGTGAAATAATTACTTCTTACACTTTAATATACAATTTACCTAAACAATGACTCTAAAAAAAAAGACAATTAGTTGACTATTTTGTGAGAGTACATTTCGCGGCTAAGACTCCTATAATGATTCAACGCTTGGTCGTTTTGTAAAACTACCTGCAAGTGTACTAGATATAAATAAGTACAAAAGTAACATTTTACAGAAATTTAAATTAGTTAAAATTTAGCAAAACACTCTGTTTTCTCTAGATCACAGTATAAGTTTTAAAAATATAACTCGTGGGTGGTGTAGTAGCTAACCATGTCTGTTTGTCACTAATTTATGTGTGTCTAATAAATACAATGTTAATTATTAGTGATGTATACTAAACTATGAATATTGCCTAATATAGTACCTGCCTATGTCGACTTAAGAAACGAGAGTAAGATTTAGTGGATGGAATATCCTATAAAATGGATATCTTCTTATTTTGGTTGTTGTTATATAATACCTACGCCACGGTATCGATTCTTCTACCTCCAAATTAGCTATAAATTCCAAATTAAAATGAAATTAGATTTGTTGACATACTGGATGCGATTCGTGGTCCGAGAACTTTAGCTGACTAGTTAGTTTTACAAAAAAATATTAATTACTGTCTGTAGTTGACGCGTATAGTACACATTTCCATAGAACACTTTTAATGGCTTGAGCGGAAATATAATCGCATATATCGTAACTTAACGATTTATGTAGATGCAACAAATTTAACGACACGTGCGGCACTTGAACCGGTACAGCGTTCCGTGCTGCTGCTCTAAGGGGTTGTCCATTAATCACGTGATCTTTTTTTTTTAATTTTTTAACCCCCCCCTCCCCATTGGTGAGACGTAGTGAGGTTTAAGACAACCCCCCCTTCCCCTTCTAAACATCACGTACAAAGAATCTTTTTCTGAATATTATCTTAATTTAAATACAGGTATAGACTATAATCTTATTTTATTCTGAAATTAAAGACCATAATAAAAATGTCTACACCACGAATGGACGAAAAAATAAATACACGCGATATCTTACTAAAAGGGTTATTTTCGTGATTTTTTAAAAACTCGACCCCTAACCAATTTAGCTACCGTGTCGTTCATTTTTTTTAACATAAACAGACCTTTATTTTATATACTGCCATCATGGGTCGTAGTAAAAATAATAATTTAGCGTTTTAAATCTCTAAGTTTGTTTTTATTTTATTAAATAAGTAGTATTCCTAAGTGCAGCCACGCCTCGCAACGGCTCGGCTTCAGGTGAACGGCCAGCGATTTCGTCCGTTAATCTCGGTTTTCCCTTCTGATATAACATTCGTAACCAGAGCATCAATAGATCGGAAAGCGAAAATTACTCAGTGAAATTGAGTGAAAGTCGCCCGGTCGACCGTTAACACAATGAGATAAGTGACATGTAATTAGACGTGTTAGGAATTGTTCTTCGAAAGTAAATTATGGGCGTTCGTCAAAATTGTGGGTGTTTATCAAAATTGCTGCTCGAAAATGGAATGGCGGTGTTGCCCCCAGCGCGATAAATAACATGTCAACTGTCAAATGCAAACAACGCTATACAATATTATAAAATAAGTTTTAGTTTAGAATTTTTTTTTTTAAATACTGTCTATAGTTAACGCGAGTGGTACACATTTAAATAAAACACTTTAACGGTTTAAAACGCGATATATTAGTTAAACTTATTTGGAAATTATTTTTAGCCGTGGTCACGGGTCTGTCTCCCCGTGACCACGGCTGCTGCAAAGCATCCGAAACGTCGGGCCGAAGTTAAAAGTCATTTCCAAATAAGTTTAACTAATATATCGCGTTTTAAACCGTTAAAGTGTTTTATTTACATTTTTTTTTGTACAAATATTTCTGTTTGAACTATTTTAAGAGACAATAATTCACTCTAATTTGGATTGTGAGTCTTAATTAAAATAAATTACTAGTCTACTTCTAAAACGTTACCTATAAGTCCTTTTTTATATGATAAAAGACGCCGCCAAGCATATATGGTTCACTTGACGGAGGGTGCTATACAGCAGGCATATAACATCTTAACAAGATGTGCTGTCCACCAATTTTTAGCTTTAGATATTTGGAAATCTGCAGACTGAAACCGGAACAGCATTAAACTTCACAGCTGTTTCATTTGTAGATCGTTCGTGAGCCGTACGGAATTTCGATATTCATACCATCCATTTAATATCCAATTATCCAGACGAAGTCATGTTTTAGAAAAATTATAAATTGATTAGAAACATATTGGATCTGATGAGGATCGAATCCATGACTAGAATAGTATTGCTACCATTCGACTAGTTAAGCCAAAAAGGGATTTTAATAATCTTTACTCTTAATCTAAATACAAAATCTCGGACCGCAACAAATTTCTCCTTCAATTGATAACAAATTGAATAACATAATTACATCGTATCATTAATCATTACAGTTTCTACATAATGATAGATGATGCTGTACACGTAATCATTACACGGCCACTTCCGATTCAATCATTTTGTAATGATAAATTCCATTATGTAATTATTAATGCACTTTCTTCCAATGATTCAATATTGTTACGTATCTATTGATAGAAGTTCTGTAACTTGTAATGTCAAGTATATGAGGTCGTGTAAAGCAGTGATGCGCAGACTTGTTAAGACTACGGGCCACTGGGGGAAATCATAAACTGGTGGCGGGCAACCTGAAGTATAGTAGGTACATATAATAAAGAATCGTTAAAAACGTATTAAAATTGAAAAATAATTTAGTAATTTGAGTACTGTTATTGCCACCAGTATTCGATCTGGAGCCGCAGTCTATGCATCTCTGGTGTATGTTTTTTACTGAATTAAAACCCTAACAAAGAGCGTTGCGTCGTAAGACCTAAGTAGTCTTTATTATTTCTACAGAATCATTGAAAAAATACCTTATTAAAACCTAGAATTACCTTCTCGTATTCTCCTACAATTCTCCCACGATATATCGCACAAATTTACTATCAGACGATCTCAGATACAAAAATATCTAAAAAAATGTATATCTCCTTATCACCGATGACATAAAACCCCCATGACCACTTCACACCCAGAACATATACTCAGACGCTACAACCAACTTTCTATAAGCAGGTGACCTAATAGAGATCATCGGCACATTCCCACACGATACATACGAGACAAACCAATTCGAAGACCCCATCATCATATACACGGACAACCGTCCACACAAACCGGTCCCCGAACCGGACAGACCGAAACCGGATTGGAATTACTTCCACGTGAAGCCGTCGTACCACGAGAGTACGACCGGGTATCCGGCTTTCGAAACGGATAGTGATGATGATTATGTACCAGTGCATGTCTCGAGGCCCAGTTATCCGGGTGAGATGTTTACAGTTTGCATGTGGCGCGTAATTCGATGTTCTTTGAAATGACCGTATTTGGATTGATGCAAATAGGGTTGCGTCTATAAAAAAAAAACTATTTCTGAAATACGACATACAGCAGACAAGTCATTGCGCTATAGCTAGCGATAATAGAAAAAAATACAGACTTTTTTTTAATATAGAGAAGAACAGACAAGCGTGGGGTCACTTGATGGGAAGTATATGTATGTATATGGTATAGTTGAAAACAAAAGTAACCGTTCGCTTTCAGGAAGAGTATTGAAACGGACAGTTTGTTAAACGCTCCATAAACTGTTGCTAATACTCTGAAATAAATGAATACGTAATCGATTATGATAAACAAGAAGCATCGAATTACCGTTATTCTGTTTTTCTATTGCTTTATTAGCACTGCGTTTTCATAATCATCATGCACCTTTCCAGATTTGTACAGCACTGGCTTTAGCACAGCGTTCTAACTCTAAATATTGCTTTTGTGGCGGGAATTTTAATTGTGTATAAGTTATTAGGTCTGGGTCGTTCTACTTAGGATAAGTAGCAAAGACATTAACTCTCAAACAACAGTACACTATTCAATTAACATTCACCAACATAATTTTTGATAGCCTAATGTAATAAGGGCGTTTCCTCAAAAAATATGAAGTATATAAATTAGTGTTTGTAACTCTACCTACGGTTTAAAACGCGAACTATATTATTTTTTCCTAGAATACATTTGACGATTTGAAACATCGAAAAGATAAAAATGAAATATTATAAATATAAATAAACCATTTTCAACGATTTAAAAGCAAAATACATAATTATCTCTTTTTTTATTTATTGTAACTAAGGCCTGACGTTTCGGGTGCTTTGACTGAAGATGGAGGGTGTCCTTAATGTCAAATTCAAATCTGCTACGCTAGCGCCATCTCTTTGGTTGTAATCGGTACACCGTTTTTTTTTGATCTAGTGTTTTTCCATGGGCTTGACATCTTGAGGCAGTCCTCTGTCTTTAAATTTAGAAGGTAAAATAAATAAAAAATGAGTTAACTAATATATTTCGCGTTTTAAGCCGTTAAAAGTTGTTCTTTTGAAGATGAATATTAATAAAAATAGTTCAGCTTTTAAACCGTTTTATCTATATTTTTACTATTTCATAGAACGAGCGGGTTTTATTAGTATTTAATGTATAAATAAAAGTATTTGACTGTTTTTTCAGGCTGTGGTGAACACTTCACTCGATCGAATCGTATAGTCGGAGGTCACTCCACTGGTTTCGGATCACATCCCTGGCAAGCTGCCCTGATCAAGTCAGGGTTTTTGAGTAAAAAGCTAGCGTGTGGTGGCGCCCTTATATCGGACAGATGGGTTATAACCGCCGCTCATTGTGTTGCTACGTGAGTTTATGCCTTATCACTTTGTAGTGAACCATTCCAATATACTATTAAGAGTGTTAGCTAAGATAATATTGCCAGGGGTAACTTTTATTTCCTTGCAAATAAAACTAGCCTTTAATATTTCAACGCATGTTTTCTGCGAACAGACCTTTTCTACTCTTCTCAGACAACCATGGAGTTCACTAATTAGAAGATGAAATACTCCAGCTACATCTATACAAATATATAAAGATGAAGAATTTTTTTGTTTGAAAGAGCTAATCTCAGGAACTACGAGTTCAAATTGAAAATTTATTTTTGTGTTGGTTAGATCATCGAGAAAGGCTATAGGCCTTTTAGATATATTTATCGCCCTGTGACTAATAGAAGCGATTATACAAGGGGGAATTTAAACAAAACGGGGGAAAATTTTCATCTCTGAAGGTTTTAAATGCTGCGAAAATGGTTTAAGATACCTAAAAAATGTGTATGAAAGAATGATTTCTCTATAAATGATTAAAAAAAAAAGCGACGCTATATATCTATATTTTAAGATTAACTTGCAAGAACGACGGGAAGGGACGCGATTGACGTCGTGGCTAGCAGCTTAAATTTATAAAGATGACGGGGTTTACAAAAACGATACGAGACGAAAAAATTTAGATGCCCAAAACAACAATTCTCGCGGACGAAGTCGCTGGCACAGCTAGTAAAAAATATACAAGAAGTTGCTGTCCACGTCTTTTGTTTGAGACATCCCCTTTTCACTTTCTTTGACAACACTTGTTCTTCTTCCAGAACGCCGAACTCTCAACTGCGCGTGCGCCTAGGGGAATGGGACGTTAGAGACGCGGGTGAGCGGTACTCGCACGAAGAATTCTCTGTGCAACGAAAGGAGGTGCATCCAGCTTATGAACCGGCTGATTTTCGAAATGACGTGGCCTTGGTCCAGTTGGACCGAGGCGTCGTTTTCAAGCAACACATTCTGCCTGTGAGTTTGTTTAATTATAAATAATTAAGTTAATAAACCTGTGTTATATCTGTTATTTACGCGTGTATACATTTAAATAAAAAATAAAAAACAAGTTGAGCTACTGTCACGCCATCTGTGTTCATCGAAATATATTGTTATAAAAGTTTTACTAGCTAGCTTCTAGTCATAAAGAAACGAGCATCTTCGTAACTATCTTCGACGATTTCAGGTGTGTCTACCACAAAAGCAGATGAAACTAGCTGGTAAAATGGCGACCGTCGCTGGCTGGGGAAGGACGAGACATGGCCAGAGCACTGTTCCTTCTGTTCTTCAGGTAGACGTTATTTATATTTACGTAACTTTGCTTCTTAGTTATTTTATGAATTGTAGTTAATGAACATTAACAATAAATAGAATTATAATTCAAACTCAGATTTTAAACACCAGATTCAAATAAATGAGAAATAAGTTATAACCCGGTAGTTAAAAATAAATATTATTTTCATTTAATTTATTCAAATTCAAATTAACAGTTTATTTAGTGTTTAAGACACAGTTAATAATTAATATTTTCGATGTAAAATGGTTTAAGGTATGTTTTATCCTACTGAAAAATATAACGTATCAATATTTATGCTAACTGACATTAGCACATAAAACTATGTACTTATGTTAGCACAAAAATATTTGACGGGTTCATTGGTGTTATGTGTACAAATAATGAACCAGTCGTGAGTTCGATATCCGACGGATGCAACATGTTTCTCATCAACCTGTATTTTTGAAACATATTGGACTTCGTCTGGGAATTTGGATATTGAACGGGTATAGGAATATCGAAATTCGATCCGGGTTAACCACCGTCCAAATAAAAAAGTCGTCAAGTTTAATCGCAGTTCGGTTTCAGCCTGTGGATATCGGAAGCCAAAATCGACACATCTTCAGGTGTATTATAACCGGGGTACTTCACCTTCAATCGAGTGAACCTTTTTTATTATAAAAAACTTGGTTAATCTAGGTGACAATTTTTACTCAGTTGCTTAACATGTTGACAGGAAGTGGACGTAGAAGTTATACCGAACGAGAGATGCCAGAGATGGTTCCGTGCAGCAGGAAGGAGGGAAACGATCCACGACGTCTTCCTCTGCGCTGGATATAAGGAGGTCTGTTTGCTATACCATTACCTAATGACGCACAAAAGAGTATATGAATTGTAGTAAACGTTTGACACGATTTATTTCTTTCAAAGTAATATTTAAATAAACATTTTACCGTTTAAAACACATAATGTCCATGTTAACTTATTTGCAATATCTTTGTTCGTATTGTGTATACGAACAAATATATTATTTGTATATATAAATGCCTTAAGCGCTAAAGGTCCTGGATTTGAATCTCAGGGAACCAATAAATTGTTTCGGGTATATAACTATTTTCCTGTATAGCCCTATGCTGCACGTGGGGAAACGGGATTTAACTTTTGTGTATGCCGTGGTCACGGGGGGGCATGATGTTGCAAAACATCCGAAACCATTAAAAGTGATATATTTAGATGCGTACTATTGGCGTAACTACAGAAAATACTACTAATATTTTTTAAGGTTTACATGTAACACAAAGCAAGAACAAAATAAACACATTTTCCTAATTATTTTTGAATTAATTATTACACGATTTTTCTGCTTATCATTCAGGGTGGTCGCGATTCCTGCCAAGGGGACTCTGGCGGTCCACTAACCATGAAATACGAGGGGAGAAGCACCCTTATAGGCCTGGTTTCTTGGGGAATTGGCTGCGGACGGGAACACCTGCCCGGCGTGTATACGAACATACAAAAATTCGTGCCGTGGATAGATAAATTAGTTAGCACATGATTTTACAATATCAAATTCAAAATCTTTGATTCAAACGTGATTTGATAAAAAATTATAATAGAACGTAATTATAACAAAACTCAATACTCAAAGAATCGTTATCAGAAGGTTAACTTTTTTAATGTCTAAAGCTGCTTTAACGAATGCTTAGAAAAGTTTATCCAAGATTCATATGTCTATAAATTTATGCATAGTTATTATATTTAAACTATCTCATCTTACTTACACCAAGGTCTGTATTAAAATTGAAGACCGTACCAATGCATTGAATGAAATTCAAGAAAAAACTGTCATAATTGATAAATTGTACAAGGTTAATATCAAGTTCGACCGTCGTAATTCAGTAAACGTTATTGACGTTTCGTTCTCACGACGACTAATTCAGACGGTCGAAAATCGATGTAGTTTAAGTCGTAATTAATGATTATTTATTTGGCATAATGATGAGCATAAGAGAAAGTTTACTGCATTCATTTAGAATAAAATAACGGTTCTTAATAGCAACTCCATAGGACCAATACCTAATTTCTTAACTAGAACGTCGGTTAATGTAAAGCCTTAAATGAAAGTTTAATACTTCAGTACCTAAGTTTATTGATAAGATGTAAAACAGATCTAATAGAAAAGAATAGAAAGACGAAATTGTTTTGGTAACGCTAGAATCTTCATGTGATAATATTTTACTCTACTTAGAAATAAGTAATTTTTGAGATTTTTTGGCATGGTTGTTTATTGAATGTCTGTGATTGTATTAACGGGAGTTAGATTACTTAAATCTTAATATGTTTATCCACTATGTTTGAAAGACTTTCTTAAGTTTTAAGTAGTCTGCAAATAACGAGTAAAATAAACGCCTGATCGAAATTACTTAGCAGCATGTTATACATTGTTAAGAGTTTTTCAAAATTGTTTTAATAACTTTTATCGCATAGTACATAGATTTCAAGCCTGTAAACTCCACTCCAATCAAATGAATGTGTTAGTTTTTAAAATAGACGGCGTCTGATTACGAATAAAGAAAGAATTGTTGTCATGAACGCAAAAACATTGTAGAGCATATTTCTTTGCAATACGTAAAACAAATTTTAACTATATATTGTGACGTTAATATAAGGATCTCGAAAATGGCTTGGTTTGCTTATATTCTGTAAATAATTTCTTTCTGTGAATTTAATGTTAGTTTTATTTGCTCGTTACAGATATGTAAATTATAACGAATCCTAAATTGTTCTTAGGATATTACCACGTGGTAAACTAGAGTATTTTTTAATTTATTACTTTTTAAAATAAAACATTAAAACTTATACTATGTTTTTTTAATTAAGTGTTGAGTGTTTTGTTGCATATTTGTATGTTATTATGTATCAATATATTCCTGTCTATAACATTTACAAGAAAATATATTAAAGAAGTTGGTAACCTTGCAACGTAGCAATACTATGAAATGTGCATAATATATTTTTAATTATACTTTTTTATGATAAAAAAGGACAGACACGCATAGGGTTCATTAGATGATAGATGAAACCTCAGCCATATACCATCTAAACAAGATGTCAGCCTATTTTGGCTTTGGATATTCGGAAATCTATAGACTAAAACCGAAACGTGATTAAACTTGACGACATTTTTGTTTATGGACGGTGGTTCGTCACCCCGATGGAATTTCGATATTCCAACCAATAATCCGATATTCTCATAATTCGATAATTCATATTTTCTAGATAAATTAAAAATTTACCCGGTGAGAACCGAAAGCACGACCCGTTAATTGTTAGCCATACATTGCTAAAATTACCCCAACGAATCCGTCACAAATGCCCAATTAATTCAAAATACGATATAATACACATAACTATGACAGACATCGTCTGGAAACAAGCTATAACACGCTAGAGATTAATATAGTGCATTAAGATCAAATTTGGGTCGCGTAATCAATAACGATTAAAATATAATATACAATTAAGAACATACTAATCGATATAAAATATATATTATGGCCTAAATTGCGCAGTATTTTTATATGAGCGTCTTAGTTGTTCTTGAATCTTACAATACGAATTATACTGAAGTGACACATTATAATATGTATAGTTGTAAAAAACTTTACCTAAAACTAAAACGTTTGCATAGATGTCGCATTAATGTTATTGATATTCACATATATTGATGTGTGTTTATTTTTTACGTCCAATGGATTTTATTTTAACTTTAGTGTTAATTCTTATCAACACAATTATATATCAATGTCGCAATAATAAGGCGCCTTAATCCTTTTTTTTAACTGATGGTGTGAATGCCTAATGCACGCCCACGTCGGGCAATAGTGACATGGAAAGTCCGGTAAATCGTAAAGCCGACCAAAGGCACTAAACGCATCACCAGCTCTCTACGCTGCTTTGAGGGAGCCCTGGGAACACGTTTGTACGAGTCCAAAGCGCCCAGCACCAATGTCCATTTCAGACAAGGCAAAAGCGAGATTAAGGATTATCTTGGAGGTGCACATAGCGTCGCCTCCTTGCTCCCAGTCTCACCGCTGACAGTGGGTGATTAGACCCCGTCTCTCTTGCTTTTTATGCTGCCTCCTTCTGCAGCATCATCAGCTCGCAGAAGGTCCAGGCGTCGTCTCCACAAAGCATGTGTGAGACGACTTGGAAGGTAGAGGTCACCACATATATCCTAGGGTATGTCAAGCTATGCCATCTGGGGTAGCGTAATCAATGTTGGCACTGAGGAGAAGACTCCCGTTTAGGCACCTTGTGGAGGCGCTTTAACCCTTACAGGGCGATAATATGGCTGAGACTAAATATTCGAATACAAAACGAAATTTAAATAGAAAAACAAAAATATCAGTAGAAAGGCATAGACGTATAGATTTCCTATAATTTCATATGTTTTATGTTAAGATGCATTAAAAACTATCAATTTAATAATAATTCAATAATCGATAGCGATTTTAGCTGAAGGGAAAAATATTTCTTTTGAGCGTGACAGGGTTAGAGAATGTAAATTAAATATACTCGTTCTGTTATATCTGATATACACAAACAAGCAAATAGAACGGGGTGCATTTGGATACGAAATATATCTAGTCTTCATTCAGTATCTGCGTCTAAACCTTCTCTAAGACTAACTCACAATGTGCTTCATGTTAGATTTAAACCACCATATTGTGAATGTAAATTTGAAGAGCTAGACATACACTGATTGTGGTCATCAATTGTACCAGTGTATGTGTATTCCTCTACACCTATCAGAAGGAACAATTGATATATGTTTTAAACTAGCAGTTATTTATGTATCTACAATTCCAACACACTCAGTGATCTTGATATGTAAGGCTATAAGATAAAACTTTCGTGTTGATTAAAAAAAGCAAGTTTAGAATATACAACTTCTTGGGCCTCAAGGATAAAAACTTTAGTAAGATTATACGAGGGATTTTGACTGACATTTATTACTTGTATCACAGTACTTATTAATTTTATGATAGTTATTTATGATTATTGACTTCTTACACCTTAGTACAAGGCTGACATATAGTAATAAATTCATAATATTAAATATTGGTAAGTTATACTTACGATATAACAAATAAAACCTGATGATTAGGCGGCTTAGTTTATTAGAACAATAAATATAGTCTGTAGTTAACGCAAGTAGAGCCTATTTCAATTAAACACTTTTAACGGTTTAAGACACCAAGATATAAAAAAAATATCCCAAAAATAGTATACCGGTGAACGAGGATTCACCGTCAGACATTTGTGTAAGGATCTAGCTAGTTCCTCGAACTATCAACTATAACAAAACAGATGACGCTAGCGGATCAAATTTTGTATAGATCTACAACTCCCACATGACCACGCCTGCTGTAAAGCACCCAAAACATTGGGCCGTTGTTAAAGTAAATTAAATAGTGCCTGTCCGTGTCGTAAATTAGAAATCTAAATAGATTTTTGATTTTCACAGTACATAATTATATATTATTACCCAGTAGAGTTGAGACAAGCTTTTCTGGATTAAAAGTAAAATGACCCGAAATTATAACATTTAAACAATTATAATTACACGCTGTCACTATTTTCGCTTTGGAAATTCGGAAATATACAAACAAGAAACCGAAAATTACAAATAAGATGCACCTTATGGGAAACGAACCTACGACAATAGCTTTGCTTGTAGATTTAAGAATGTATTAATTTTGTGATTAATAATAACAATTATTATTATAATTGTTATCACTAAACAGACAATCGGGACGAAAAGTTTTGTAATGGTTGAGATAAAAATTCAACACTTCCAATAAACTCGCAAGCGGAACCATTCTATTGAACTTTCAAAATTCATATTGTTATCACAAAATCTCTTTGGCATAATAGAAATAGCATTAAGTAATAACCAATTGTAGATAAGTTCTGTACAAAATAGCGTTCATATAATATCCTTTCAATGGAAACTAAATATCTAATAATGGGTTTCAAAATTGTTCACGTTATTTAATATAGATTTTTTTTATCCGAAGTCGGGTCCCACATACCTACTGCTGGACTGCCGCGGAGCTATGACAAAATGACCAATATTAAGACTTAAATACGTGCCATGTGAGTGGTGACTACTAGCTACTACTACCACATTTTCAGTGATCGTAAAACCTACGTCTATTTAAGTAAATAAATATATCTGAAGACAAGGGAATGAATTAAAATAAAAAGTACCTCGATAATTAATCTTACATTGAAATTAGTAATAAACCACAAAATAATATTCAATAATAAAAAAAATGATATATGCATATCATGATATGCAAAATATGATGCATAACGGTTTCTGAAAAAAAAAACAATTATTAAACCAGATAGAGAAGTCTTATAATTATGTGCAATTTTAAGGCAATATTGCATATTTAATAGCATTTCTCAGTCACGTTTGAAAATCGAACCCGCGGAACCAGTTCGAATCCTGACATCATCTTTATAAATCGAATCATAAAAAAT